CTATCGAGCAGAGCGAGAGAGTGGAGCAACATCAGCTCTTAATACTAGCTCTTAACACCTGCTCCTAACACTATCGAGCGATACTATCGAGCAGAGCGAGAGAGTGGAGCAACATCAGCTCTTAATACTAGCTCTTAACACTAGCTCTTAACACCTGCTCTTAACACTAGCTCTTAACACCTGCTCTTAACACTAGCTCTTAACACCTGCTCTTAACACTAGCTCTTAACACCTGCTCCTAACACTATCGAGCGATACTATCGAGCAGAGCGAGAGAGTGGAGCAACATCAGCTCTTAATACTAGCTCTTAATACTAGCTCTTAACACCATCGAGCGACACTATTTAGCGAAGCAAGAGAGTGGAGCACACTAGCTCTTAACACTAGCTCTTAACACTAGCTCTTTACACTAGCTCTTTACACTAGCTGCCACCGACACAATCAATAGCCATCAAAAGCCATTTCATTTATCTCTCAATAGCCATCTCCTTTATCTCCAATTTCCACTCTTTTCACTCTTTTCACTCTTCAATTTTTCATTTTTCAATTTTTCATTTTTCAATTTTTCATTTTTCAATTTTCAATTTTCAACTCTTTGATTTTCAATTTTTCAAAATTATCAAGATACAGCTTAGGGTTACCAAGATACAGCTTTAGGGTTACCAAGATACAGCTTTGGGTTACCAGCTTATAGTATTAGATTAAGGAATTTCAGTTAAAGGTGTCAAGCTTTCCAATGGCGGACTACACCAATACAGAGTTAATTTCCATGTTTTTTGATGATGAATTTAATCCATCGGCATTCATCAATATGCTAATTCACAAGGTAACTAGTGGAAGCCAAGCTTACTCCAAAACATCCCTATCCAAAGTCTCCCATACTATAAACCAGCTAACAACCCATTTGGACTATACGATAACTGATATTGCCACGAACGAGTTACAAAACAAATTAACCATTTTGGAAAACTCAAACTCTCTCATAAATTCATCTAAACTAGATGAAGATGAACACGAGTCATTGGAAACAACTCGTTTACAATACTATATAAACATACTAAATAATTCAATTTTCACTCTTGGTGCTGAACTTGCAGAAATCAATAAACAAATTGATGCTTCAAACGAAAACTTAAACAATGAATCTATACAAACTTTGATCCAATTGAAACAAGTCAAGACAAATCTATCGCAAGTTATTCAAGTGTTTGAAGACATTATTCAACTTTTATCCAAAAACAATATTGAAAAAACAACCTTTTCAGTTGAAGAATTTCAACAAGTTCTTAATGATTTGTTGGAGTCTATCAAATTAGAATTAAATACCCAAAATTCCGCTCCAAAAAACATTCTACTAAACCATATTGACAAGTTGATTCAAATGCAGGATCTATTTACAAATATGAGTCATTTCAACTCCCCGTTTAAAAAATTCATCTCACGCTTGATTATAGAGAAGGAACAATTTAAATAAACAACATTAACGTAGAGCTAGTTGTTTCGCCGTAGCCTCTTCCTATCCTCTAGCCCTAAGGCTTGCTGTTTCACCGTAGCCTCTTCCTATCCTCTAGCCCTAAGGCTTGCTGTTTCGCCGTAGCCTCTTCCTATCCTCTAGGGCTAGATGTTCACCGTAGCCTCTTCCTATCCTCTAGCCCTAGGGCTAGATGTTTCACCGTAACCTCTTCCTATCCTCTAGCCCTAATGCTAGCTGTTTCACCGTAGCCTCTTCCTATCCTCTAGCCCTAATGCTAGCTGTTTCACCGTAACCTCCTCTTTTCCTTCTCTTCCTCCCCTTTTCTTCCTCCCCTTTTCTTCCTCTACCCCTAGTTATCTCCCCCCAATCTCTTTCTTTCCTTCTCTTCCTTCAATTGGTGCTCCTTTGACAAATTCCTATTCAACACTTGCAACTTTCTCATCTCTTCAACAGGGTCAAAATCACCACTACTCAAATGTTGAAAAGTTTCATCGTATTTCCCAGTTGATAAGGGCGCGTTTCCCTTCATTCTTTTCCTCATGTCAAATACACCGTTCTTGCATTCCAAAAATGCTCGTAAATTGGCCTTACATAGCTCGGGGAGGTCTTTTTTCAACTCTGCATCACTAAGACATTCTTTTGGTGTGTTTCTTTGAATTAATACGCAGGGAGATCTCTGAAGACATATTGCCAAAGCTACTCTCTGATCCTTGCAACTGAACAATTGGTCAATACAAATGAACCTCCGATAAGACTACTGCAATTATACATACCTTGCACCCATTTACAAACAACCTTCTTCTTCTACTACTACTACTTCTACTACTACTTCTTCTTCTTCTTCTTCTTCTTCTTCTTTTTCCTTTCGTGCGAATTTTTCAACTTTCTTTTATGGAGTTGAGCGTTTAACGATTTGCAAGGTAATAGGGTTGAAGATAGAGCTGGAAAGAGTTTAGGTCAAAGGCTATAGAGGTACAGAGAGGTATATCCAGAGAGATATTTACTAGATACATTTAGAGAGAAGGGTTTGTTTGTTTGTTTTTTCCTGCTAGAGTTGGATATTGCTTTGGTTTGGCTTGGTTTGCTTGTATGACGATAACTTTTGTACCCGGTGAGGTTAATAAAGGTTTATGGACAGCAGTGCAGTCCAATTGGAAGAACCACCATCTAGTGGTTTATGGGTCGGGAAACAATTTGATTATTGTGTCTATAACGGTACAATCCACCAACAAAAACCCCAATCCATATAATGTCGATGAGAGCTTGCAAACTTTCTACTTGGAGAAGGATCCGGAAGCAATTGATGTCAATTCGAACGATGGTTTGATAGCCGTGGGGTACGATCAAAAATGCTTGATTTTCAAACCAGTCAATGAGTATATGAAAAAACCGCGGTTTGTCCAAGATGTTTATTTTGAAATCGACAAACTGGCAAAGATTAATTGTCTTGAGTGGGCAAGCGATGAAAGTGAGTTGATTATAGGCACATCCGAAAGGCTTTTACTCTACCATATCTATGATAAATTTGGCAAATTGAAAGTGAGGAAAAGATGGGATTCTCAGCAACCGGTTTCGATTAATCACATATGCATCACACCTAATGCAAAACTAATGTTGGCAACTAGCGGTCACTATGACCGACTAGTTAAGGTGTGGTCAAGGATAAATTACGGAGATGAAAATACCCTATTTGAAGTGTTTTATCTACCGCATGCAAAGGGTTCCTATGTCAAGCAATTCCATTGGAGGAAAAAACTAAACAAGACCGATTCCAATGAAAAGATTATAGACTCTTCTATGGCAAACATCAAGAATATAAGAGAATATATCAATACCGGGAATGAGAAAAGCGAAGTGATATATACATTCACTTCGAATCTGGAATTCAAAGTGTGGGCTTCATATGAGTCTAGTGGGCATAACCAGATTTGTAACTGGGCAAATTTGAACTTGGATAAATGCTTTGGCGAAGACGATGAGGTTGGATCGGTTTTGGTTATTGAACATGATTACCTAAAGAATGCGCTCATTCCAGAGCTAGAGAAGAAGAAGAAGAAGAAGAAGCAGCAACAGCAGCAACAGCAACAACAGCAACAACAGAAACCTCAACAACCCCAACAACCATGCTTGTTTGATGGGGTTAATTTAAAAGACTTTGATTTACTATTAGTCATCTCGAAATCAGGACTTGTCAAGTTATTCGCACTATCTAACATATCAGAGACTCCTCCAAATAACATCAAATTCATACCCATAAATCCCAACTTTGCTTGCAGATTTGGAACACACGAGTATCCTGAAATCTCTACAATTGATGAAAAACAAGACTTGACAGTTGAATATATTCAGTCTCTGGATTTTTGCACAAACTACCTAAAACCAATAGTGATTAAAAGTTTGTGTAAATTAAGCAATGATGGGAGAGTGACGCCTCTTTCTTTTCTAATACACGATAGGGTGAAAAATACCCTCCGATTCGAAGCTTTAGATTTGAAAAAACTAGTCGCCTCACTTTCCTTTTCCTCCCCCCCTTCAAAGTCATCCTTGGGAGTTACTCTAATCCACAAGTTCCAGGGTCAAGTTAAGTCAATACGAAAACTCATCAAATCAAACTCCTTATATACATCAAGAAACGTGATGTTATCAGTCTCCAATTTCCCTCAACATAATCACATTTGGGAACCATTAGTCTTGGAGGAAAACAAACTAAATGTAATGTCAATAACAAAGAAGTTTCAGCTCGATTTGGGGGAGAATATTTCTAACAATACACTAAGCACCAGCAATGGTATATTAGATGCTACAATTATAAATGATGTTGAGCCCCCAATTGGTTCCAAACGAAGACACCTTGTAGTGGTTTTGGAAAAAAACAACAGTGTAAGTTTATGGGATTGCAATGGATTCACTAAGGATGGCAGATTGGCTAAAAGAATCTGCAATAAGTTTTCAACACGGTTGAAAAAATCAAGAGCTTTTGCCATGACTGAATATCCCAATAATACAAATTCTTTAAAACAATATCTTGTTGTATCTGTTTCTGAAAAGGATTCAATAGAAGCCTGGAAATTGAGCTTATCGTATGAAAAAGAAAAAGACAAAATTCAAAAGATTGAATTTGAACAACAGGAAATTGGAAATTTACCTCAGGAAGAGCACATTTTACAAGTGACTAAGGTAGATGCGTTTATTACCCAGTCAAACAAGAGCCTAATTGCAGTGATTGATAAAGAGGGGTTGCTAAAGAGCTATAGCTTGGATTTTAGTGACCCACATAAAATCAACTGGATAGCTACATGCAGTGTAGTCACAAATGTTAAAAATGCTAATAGAATAAATGGATCTACTGTGATCAACAAGTTTGCAGTGGTTAACGAACAAGGTTACCATTTATCCATTTGGGATACTACACAAAACGTATTGGAATACGAGGAGACTTTTGACAAGGAAAAAGGCCCTGTGATTGATTTAGACTGGACATTTATAAATGCAATAAAAAATGAAAAACTGACTACAAATGCAATTTTATCTATTGGGTTTGATCGATTTGTTTTGCTTTACACTCAATTGAGATACGATTACACTAATCGTATTCCAACGTATGCAGCTATCAAAAAGATTGATATTTCTGAGTATACTTCACATGAAATTGGAGACCTGATTTGGCTAGATGATGGTTATTTGGTCATTGGTTGTGGGAACCAGTTTTTCATTGATGATAGATGGGTTAAACTTGGTTCTAGTGGTATTGATACCATAATTCGTCAATTGATGAGTGGGTATAATACTTCTCCCATCAATGATGAAGAAGAAAACGGCGAAGTTGTTGATGATACTAATTTGGTGTATGATATATCACACTTGGTACGAGTCTTGAACGGACCGCTCCCCGTTTACCATCCTCAATTTTTAATCCAGGCATTGTTCATGAGTCAAATGATACCAGTGCAAAATATTCTAGTTAAATTATTCCAAAGTCTAAGACAAGGCGATGTCATCACCTGGGATTTAGGTATTAATTTTGAACAAGAAATACATCAAAGCCTTGAACTATCACTTACTGGTGATGGCAGAAGAAGTAAGATCAAACCTTTACAACGAAGAATGTCACAAAACTTTAATTTGGATGTGTTCACCAAATTTACTGATGAGTTGGCTCAATTACTTCTGCATAAGTTAATGACGCTATCGTTGCCTTTGTTAACACGGCATCAGCAGAGCACGTTGATTTCGGTTATTGCAATAGTGAACGATTTGAATAAATGTGCAGCAACATATGATGATAATGGTATGCGGTTCATGATTGGATTTAAATTATTCCAGTTATCATCAAAGCAAAAAAGATTATCAATGCGTGATATTAATTGGGCTTTACATTCGGATAGTAAGGAAGTGCTCCTATCCTCTGTTGAAGAGTATTACAAGAATCATTTAACTTGGAGCGATATGAGGAAAACAGGTTTGGTTTATTGGGTGAAAACTAATAGATTAATCCAATTGGTTGAATCAGTAGTTAGGAATGAGTTTAGTGATTCGAGAAATCCCGCAGGTATAGTATCGTTGTTTTACTTGGCGCTACGTAAGAAACAAATTCTTATCGGATTATGGAGGATTGTTACTCACGAAGAGAAAACTAAGATGTTAAAGTTTCTAAGCAATGATTTTACAGATGCGCGATGGAAATCAGCTGCTTTGAAAAATGCATTTGTATTGTTGGGAAAACATCGGTATTACGATGCTGCGTATTTTTTCTTGTTGGGAGATAAACCATTTGATTGTTGTAGCACCGTTGCCAATAAGATTGGCGATGTGCCATTGGCTATTGCTATTGCCAAGGTGTATTGCGGTACTGGTACTATGAGAAAGGAGTTTGATGAATGTTTGGAGCAAGTGATTGAGAAATACGTGCTACCTGGTGCTATTGAGAATGGAGATAGGTGGACTACAAGCTGGGTATTTTGGCAATTAAAGGACAAGCCATTATCGATTCAATCGTTGATAAGGACGCCAGCAGATATGGTGACCACCGCCAAATTCCCCAACCTCGAAAACGTTACAGTTTCAGCAAAAGGACATAGTTTTTTGCGTGATGATCCTGTTTTGATTATATTGTTTAATAATTTGAGGCTGCGAAAAGTCGATTATCTAAAGGGATATTTCAAAGTGTCACCAAATGAGGAGTTTCAGTTTATTGTTAAAGTTGCCATGATTTATACAAGAATGGGGTGTGATTACCTTGCGATGTTGTTGTTAAGAAGCTGGACTTTTTACTCGTACCAACCTGAGAGTAAGAAACTTGGTTCCGTTGAAACTGAGGAAACAGGATTTGGATCTAAGGAACAAAATGGATTCGGCCATGGCCAAACAGATGTAAATGCAAATGGTGGTAGTAGTGGTGACAATAATAATAACAATGGCACTGTATCTACCATTCTTGACACTTTCAAGGAAGATAATCTTGCAACCAAATACAGAGCACCGCCACCAGTACAAGCGTTTGAAGAGCCAGACATGAGTTCTTTCAGTTTTGGGTTCTAATCGAAATAAATGGAGGAAAAAGATGGAGAAGAAGAAGAAACATCCATGTGAAAAGATGGAGAAGAAGAAGAAACATCTATGTGAAAAGATGGAGAAGAAACATCTATGTAAAAAAGTCTGTGTTATATAGATTAAAAAACGTTATTTGCTTCTCTCAAAATATTCCAAATTGGACCAGCCAATCTACTCCAAGGTTCAAAAACCGTTATTACGATTCCGAATAAAAAAAATACCCACATTTTGGAAACGATTATTCCTCGAATCGATTGAAATATTGTGATATTGATTAGTGCAATAATGATACGTAGAGACTCTTCAAACTTCCCCCAGAACTCGACACCTCCTTCATCGTCTCTTTCTATCAAAAACATTCTCTTTGATATAAACATAAACGGGTTATAATCATGTAAAAGCATCTTGACTATTAAATCATCACAAATTGCAATATGCTTGTTAACTACATAGATCAAATCATAATAATGGAATACTCGCCGCTGCAACAAATCGGGATCACCGTAATTCAAGTCTAGCAACTTTTCACAATCATATGGCTTTACTTGACATAACTCTCGAGATAAAAGAATGACTTTGAAATTGATCTGGAATTTATCAACTAGATCAGGAGTAATAAACTTTGGAATAATATATAATGCCGCAATAGTAGGGATTATGAAGTAAAACAAAAGCTCAAGACTGTATAGTATGGCTTGTTTGAATGAATGTAGAGGCATTATATATTATAGAGGCCCGACAAAGACAAAAGAGGGAACGGTATACTCACTCAACCTTGGAACTGGTAAATCAGTCAAGTTTCCATACCTTTTCCTTATAAAAGATTACTTGATTTGGTAAAAATGTCCGGATAAGGAATTCGTGGGCCGAATGGAAGAAAAAAAAGAAATTTGTGCAACATGCGCGATCGGCAAATGATAGAAAGGTGATTGGCAGGAGAGAGAGAGAGAGAGAGAGAGAGCCTACGCCATAAAGCGGAAGAATTCAGTTGTAGCATAGATGTGGTTCTAGGAATAAGTAGTGGAACAACGCTATCGAGTAGAGCGAGGTAGTGGAGCAGCTCTGACTAGTGACAGTGACACTAGGATGAGGTGTGCAAAAAAGGTACATTTTCTTTTGTGACTGTTTGTTATTTGGTAATGGCTGCAAAAAAAAAAGCTTACATAAACATAAGCTCATAACAAAAAGAGCACAAATGTGTTGTGTCAATGCTGCTCCACTAGTGAGCGAAGCGAGATGGTTTCAATGGAGATGATAATATTGATATGGTTTCAATGAAGATGATAATATTGATATGGTTTCAATGAAGATGATAATATTGATATGGTATCTCTTTGTCTTCTCAACAACTTGTAATTCTTCTGAAATTTCGCAAATAAAGGAGCCAAAATTTATTGACTTGGATAAGAATGAAGAAAATCAAATAAATCAAAGAAATATCACCTACTATACTCTCAAAGAGAGAGAAGAAATCACCCCAAAGCTATTGGAATCACTATTCTATCACAATCCTCGAACGGTAATATATGTACAAGATTCAAATACAACAATAGTCCCTACTGATGAAATATTGGAAACGCAAAATTTGACAAGATTAACCAATCTTGAATATATTGAAGTCAAGCATAATTTCAAGCAAACTCAATATAACTATATTCCCATTTCACCTTGTATTTCCAATAACCCATTCAAATTGGATCCACCATTAATGGGGGTAGCGTGGACTCATCGTCTAGCACTATCAACGAGATTCAGTGGCACTTTTGGTGGAATATTAAGTGGCGGATATCTACTAAACTCAACGACGATAGGATTGACATTGGGTGAAATAACAAGGATAAAATTTGCCAAGGAAAGATCAGTCGATTCTTTTGCTGCTTGTTATCTGACTAATAGAGAAGCTGCTAGATTGTTTGGGTATATACCGATGTATACCACAGAACCAATCACGAGGCGCATTAGTTTTCACAATTGGCAAAATCGCAAACTGGGGGGGAAAAAGAATAGCTTTTTTGATGCAAGGAATAGCGGTGACTTTAATTCAAGGGCAAGGGTAGAGCTTGGTACAATGTGGTTCCCTTCAAAGCCAAGGCGATTATTGAGTGACGAGCCGGTGATTATGGTATGTGATGTAGGTACGAGAGATGGTTTGAAATGCAATGAGAATAAGGGTAGGATAGTTGATAGTTATGGCAATGAGATATTATGGGAAAGCGAATATTGACGGCGAGTATAAATAGATATATACATCATTGATTGCATAGTACGACACTAGCGAGGTACGAGCTGATGGAGAAAAATATGCTCATCTTTAAAAGAGAAAAACCCGTTTGCTCTCGGTGAGTTGGAAGTTGTAACATTAGAAATAAAGCTGGGAAACAAAGGGTAGAAGGTATGCGTGTAAGGCTACAGTTGGTTGAAAATATAAAATATAAAATATAAAATATAAAATATAAAATATAAAATATAAAATATAAAGATTATTCCCTTTGCTTTACATTAGAGAATATTATCATGGAATATTAGTTTGAAAATTTGCACCCAATTTGAAGAAAAACAAATCTTGGAAATAGATTCGACACTATTGAGCCGAGCGAGATAGTGGAGCAGCGCTGACTAGTGACACCATCGACACTGCTGAGCAGCGCTGACTAGTGACACCATCGACACTGCTGAGCAGCGCTGACTAGTGACACCATCGACACTGCTGAGCAGCGCTGACTAGTGACACCATCGACACTGCTGAGCAGCGCTGACTAGTGACACTAGATGGTTTTCTTCTCTCTTACTTGTTCTCTTTTAGTAGTGTCGGTGGGAGCTAGTATTGCCCAACTATCTCGCTCTGCTCGATAGTTATGACTTGAAGGAAAAAAAAAATGAAAAAACCCTACCCGGGACTCGAACCCGGAGTCTTCGCCTTTCTTTTTTCTCTACTGTGTAATAATTACTACTAAAGGAGTAACAAATGGTAGTTGTAGGAGGGCGATGCTGTAACCTTTGAGCCAGCAGGGCGTAGTTTACAGGTAAACTTTTGAAACCAAAACCAAGTGGGCTAAAGGAGTCAAATTTTCGTTTTTCAACAGCACCATCGATACTATCGACACTATCGACACTATCCACACTATTGAGCAGAGCGAGATAGTGGAGCAGCGCTGACTAGTGACATCATCGACACTATCGACACTATCGACACTATCGAGCAGAGCGAGATAGTGGAGCAGCGCTGACTAGTGACATCATCGACGCTATCGACACTATTGAGCAGAGCGAGATAGTGGAGCAGCGCTGACTAGTGACATCATCGACACTATCGACATTATTGAGCAGAGGGAGATAGTGGAGCAGCGCTGACTAGTGACATCATCGACACTATTGAACAGCGCTGACTAGTGACATCATCGACACTATTGAACAGCGCTGACTAGTGACACTAGGATGAAGTGATGGCTGATTTTAATTTGTATTTTTTATATATACAGGATCAAATTTAACTCACACTTTCAGATATAAATGCTATTCAAGGATAAACAAGTTTAAATTCGATAAGATAACAAGTATATATATCTTAACAATTTAATGATTGATCGATGTATTTATATCGAGCAGAGCAAGATGTCAATAGTCAGTCAAGCAGAGCGAAATAGTGTCGATAGTGCTGCTATTACGTGCTACACCACTATCTCGCTTCGCTCGATAGTGTTGCTCGATAGTGTTGCTCGATAGTGTTGCTCGATTGTGTTGTTTGAATACAATGCACTTTGGTGGCGTATGTGAGCCCCTACACACATTTTCTGCAGTAACCAAAATATACGAGACTAAAAAAAGTACCCATTAAAAAAAGAAAAAAAAACAAAGGAAAAGTTTCAAGAGATGTCTTCTTCCCGCTGAAATTCCAGCTTGTTTGTAGAGTTTACCAAGCATCAGTAGTGATCATTCTTTTCTTGTTGTTGTTGTTTTTTTGGTTTTTGGTTTACCTTTCTTACTGAAACATTGGAACATTAAACGCATTAAATGTCTATTTATGCACCAAAAAGTCTATTATCTGCTCTAAAAAGCCGCTTAAGGGAATAAGTCCATTTTTCATCAACAATGAATCGTGCGACACTATCAAGAAGAGCGAGATAGTGGAGCAGCACTGACTAGTGACACTAGGATGAAGTGATGACTGAGTTTGAATAAAAACAGCCTGAGTCTTGGATGAGGGACAGTGTGGGGGGGGGGGGGGGGGGGGGGGGGGGCTGAGTTTTGAGTGAGACCTAAGGTGCATATGATCCAAATATATTGGCCATCATACTCATTGAAAAATCAACAGTACAAAACTAAAAATTGATCTACGCGCCAACAGCTCTACACGCCAACAGTTCTACACGTTTAAAGCTCTACACGCCAATAGCTCTACACGCCAATAGCTCCATAGTATAACAGCTCTACACGCCAACAGCTCTATAGGATAACTACTCGGTGGCAGCTAGTGTTACTCCACTATCTCGCTCTGTTCGATAGTGGATTATTTAATGCACTTCATTTATTTGCATGGCATCAGTTTCTGCACCTTCTACTTTCAGCAGTGAACATGCCACCACTTTGACTTTTTGTAAATCGTACAAATTTCACCATCAGCTTGATTTTTTTTTTATATTTTTTTTTTTTATTATTGGTTACTATAAAACTCTTACATAATCATTATCTAATATCTACACAGCCCCCTTTTTTTCGCTCGGTTTGGCGATTGGTAGCACATATATATATTGCTAGAGCAAACCCGTTGTGCTTGCTAAGCAATTTGTACAAGAGCTGTTGTCGATAGCCCACTTGGAGTGTGTGTCACGTCCTGTTTCTTTTACAACTCATATACTAGGGGCTTTCCCACAGTTTGGCTTGTTTGCAGGACAAAATCAGTTGCTCTCATGAATGCAAATGCATTGATTTTTAGTCTTTTTTTTTTTTTTTTTTCTTTTTCATTTAGTGTAAAGAATCTTTGTAGTAAGCATTGCCCATTTCATTACCGCCTATAGAATTTCAGTATAAAACCATTTGAAAAGTTGACTAGATTGATTTGATAATGTAGTATAAAGAGAGACAATTTCATTAAGATATTGTTGGAGTAAGGCTTATAAAGAGCTAAATACTATTATCACCTAGCTCTAGCTACAGGCTTATCACCTAGCTCTAGTTATAACCTAGCTCTAGCTACATCCCAGCTAGCTACATCCTAGCTTTAGCTACAGGCTAGCTCTAACTACAGGCTATCATCAGCTATAGCTACAGCAATATAACTTCCCAGCACGCGTTGATTGTACCCTAGTCTTTACTCCAAAGCATCGATTTCAATTACAGCCCCCACTTTCCAGTATCATTTGTTGCTTTTTTTTTCTGGTCATCTAAATATACATCTTATATCGTCATAAACATAGGCTAGCATTACCTAAGACTACATTGGAATACAGCTGAGACAAAAAGAAAAAAAGTCAAACAACTAAAGTACAGACAACTTTAGTGGGACAGTATTATACAGAGAAGATTTTTGATTGCCATATTATACTTTTATTCCCCACACAAAATTAGAGAATCTGGTATAACTCGATATTTATTCATTACTATTTGTCTTTATTGTTGGACTTGATTAGAACCCGTTTATCTTGTCTCCTTTGCATAGTTTTCCATAACACTCATACAACCCTCAACCAAATCAAGGTTCAATTTTTTTTTTCCGGCTCAGCTTTTTTTCCGGCTCGGCTTTTTTTTAATTTAATTTTTCACTTGATAGAGAATGGCACCAAAGACACCTGCTGATAGATTGGGTACAGCCGGCAATACGCTAGAAATACCTAGATATGACGAGTATGATGATGACCAGTCCTCGGTAAATTCAACGTCTCCACTACAACAACATGAGGGAGAAGAGCTGGAGGACCGGCATCAACATCAACATCAACATCAACAGGAGGAAGAAGATGATGATGTGCATATCAAACAGAAGCATGATTTAACCTACGAAACTAACTATAATCTTGATAATGCTACCGACGATGCCCCGCCCTTACTACCCACAACAAAACTCCCGCATCATCCTCCAAGAAAAACAACTACAAGCCACTCCTTAACCACTAAACTAACACATGCTATTTCAGCAACAACTTCTCATCACAACAAATTTCTAGCAGATTGTAAAATAACACCTCAAGAATTAATACCTTTGCATGATCCGAAATCTTTGAAATATTTATATGACCTAGGAGGATTTGACACTTTGTTGGCCTTGCTAGGTACTTCAAAAAGAGGTTTAAATGACAATGATGAGCAAGACCAAGAATTTCGAAGAACTGTTTATGGTGTTAACAAATTGCCTCAGCGACAACTGAAGAGTTTTTTCCAACTATGCTGGGAGGCAATGAAGGATAAAGTATTGATTATTTTATCTATTGCAGCTGTGGTGTCATTAGCTTTGGGTCTTTATGAAACGTTTGGAAGTGGTGACCATTATGACGATGAAGGAAAACCCCTACCAAAAGTGGAGTGGGTAGAAGGTGTGGCCATTTTGGTAGCTGTTTGCATCGTTGTAGTTGTAGGCGCTGCTAACGATTATCAAAAAGAACGACAATTTGCTAAATTGAATGCTAAAAAGGAAGATCGAGAATTGATTGTTATTCGTAATGGAGAACAAAAATTGATTTCCATTTATGATTTATTAGCTGGTGATGTTATAAATTTGCAAACTGGTGACGTTGTACCTGCAGATTCTATTCTTTTCCAAGGAGAAGTTGAATGCGATGAAAGTGCGTTAACTGGTGAATCCGCAACTATTAGAAAAGTACCCGTTGGCGAAGCAATGGAAATTTACAAAAAAAACTTGCCAACAACTGAAGATATTGGAAGTCATTTAGTGAAATTCCGTGATCCTTATTTAATCTCAGGCTCAAAAATATTGTCAGGTTTGGGAAATGCCGTGGTAACTGCTGTGGGTAAAAATTCAATCCATGGGAGAACCATGTTGAGTTTGCACGTTGAAGCAGAAACTACTCCAATGCAAGAAAGATTGAATAATTTGGCTGAAGGTATCTCCAAATATGGTTTTTTAGCTGCAATTATTTTGTTCATTGTTTTGTTCATTCGATTCTGTGTTGATATTTCTCCGGGTGGTGTTTTCCATGACTTGAGTCCAACTGATAAGGGTAAAAAATTTATTGATATCATTATTACCGCGGTGACTATTGTTGTTGTTGCTATTCCTGAAGGTTTGCCTTTGGCAGTCACTTTGGCTTTGGCTTTTGCTACAACAAGAATGGCCCAAAATGGTAATTTAGTTCGTGTTTTGAGAAGTTGTGAAATTATGGGAGGAGCAACTGCAGTTTGCTCGGATAAAACAGGTACCTTGACTGAAAATAAGATGAGAGTCGTACGGGGTTTCTTTGGATTGAATAGTTCTAATCAATTGTTGGAATTCGATGATACTGCAATGAATCATCAATATGAACCTACCGCGACAGAAGCAAGTAAAGAGATTACTCCTGAAATGAAGCATTCTTTTATAACGAATATAACTTTAAATTCAACAGCTTTTGAAAATAGTGATTATGATGAAGCAAAACATAAACAAGCAAAACAAAGACCCAAGAAGAAGTCATTCATACAACATTTTTTGTTTGGGAATTCACAACAACAACAACGACAAATGGACTTTGAAATGGGGGTTGATGATGAACCATTTTTGGGTAACAAGACCGAATCGGCACTTTTGCTTCTTGGGAAAGAAATATTTCATTTGTTTGATAACAAATCATTGGAACAAATTAGGAGAGAAGAAGTATCAAAAATTGTTCAAGTGATCCCATTTGAAAGTTCTAGAAAATGGTCTGGTATCGTTGTTAAGATTGAAAATGGGTTTCGAGTTTATATTAAGGGTGCCGCAGAAATTGTATTTAAAAACTGTGGCTATGAAGAAAATACTCATGGACATTTGATCCGATTAGATAGAGTAAAACGGGATGAAGTTTTATCGAAAATCGACGCATATGCAAATGATGCTCTTCGAGCTATTGCTTTGGGGCACCGTGATTATATTACAGATTCATGGCCTCCTTCTGAGTTGACAGATGAGAAGAACAAACATGAAGCTGATCCACTGGCTTTGGTCAATGTTGGTGCAAGCACGACTGAAATTGATAAACAGTTTGTTTTGGATGCATTAGTTGGTATTCAAGATCCCCTTAAACCTGGTGTTGCACACGCTGTTGCACAATGTAAGCAAGCCGGTGTAACAGTAAGGATGGTTACTGGAGATAACTTGAACACGGCAAAGGCCATTTCAAAAGAATGTGGGATTCTTACTCCTGATGATTTATCTTTTGAACATGCATTTATGGAGGGTCCACAGTTTCGGAAATTGAGTCCTGAAGAAAGACTTCGAATTGTTCCTGAATTAAAAGTTCTTGCTAGATCGTCACCTGAGGATAAACGTATACTTGTTGATACCTTGAAAAAATCAGGTGAAGTGGTTGCAGTTACTGGTGATGGTACAAATGACGCACCAGCTTTGAAATTGGCAGATGTTGGTTTTTCAATGGGTATTGCTGGTACAGAAGTTGCAAGAGAAGCTTCGGATATCATTCTTATGACTGATGATTTTGCTGATATTGTACAAGCTATCAAATGGGGGAGAACAGTTGCTACATCGATTAAGAAATTTATTCAATTTCAACTCACGGTCAATATTACTGCTTGTGTACTTACATTTGTTTCTGCTGTTGCATCATCACAAAATCAATCGGTTTTAACTGCAGTTCAATTGTTGTGGGTTAATTTGATCATGGATACATTGGCTGCATTAGCCTTGGCAACTGATAAACCAGATGATTCTTTCCTTAACCAAAAACCCGCAGGCAGAACAGCACCATTAATCTCAACATCAATGTGGAAAATGATACTTGGGCAATCAATTACTCAATTGACGATTACATTTATTTTACATTTTGCAGGAAAAGAATTATTCTTTCCGGGACAGTCGCATATCAGTAACCATCAAAAGAAGCAATTGGATGCAATGACTTTTAATACTTTTGTTTGGTTACAATTTTGGAAATTATTTGTTACTAGAAAACTAGACGAAGCAAGTGATGTTACTACAATCCGAGGTAGATTTACTTGGGAGAATTTGAATTTTTTCCAACACTTGTTTCGCAATTGGTATTTTATTATTATTGCTGCTATAATTGGTGGATTCCAAGTATTGATTATGTTTGTTGGAGGCGCTGCATTTAGTGTAGCTAAACAAACACCAGGAATGTGGGCTACTGCTTTGTTATGTGGATTCATTAGTATTCCAATGGGTTTGGTCATCAGACTCATTCCAAATATATGGGTAGAGAAAATTTTCCCTACAAGGGCATTTAAGAAGTTAATTTATATTGTTGGATTTGGATGGATCAAAAGACATAAGAAGAAAGATGTAGAGAAGGGTAAAGATGGTGATGGTAGTGGTGGTGGTAATAATAATTCGACTACTGTTACGCCTACAACTAGCACCACCGTTACTGAACAGCGTGGTAGGGAGCCAAGTAGGAGCATTTCTGATAGAACCATTTGAAAGCTAAGCAACTTTGACACATACAGAGTTGCAACCATGTGTTTCTAATGAATGAGTATTAACGTATTGTTTTTTTTCTTTTTATATATATATGAGTATAAATTATTTATTTATTTTTTATACATGATGTGCATTATTAATGAAACCAAACCTGTGTGTTGAATGAATTCTTTCTCCTCTCATAACATACTCTCTTTCTTCTCTCTTTCTCTGTATTAGTCAAATGTGTCGGAGAAAATGGTGTTTTTTTCTTCACGTTTGTCTAGTTTTTTTACGACTTTTAAGATTAGAAAAAGTCGTACCAGAAAATTCTCAAAATGGAAGGTTTATCCCAATGTCTAAATTAGGAATAAAAAGATAAACTTTTTGAAAAACCAAAACTCTTTTACTTTTTTTGCTTTGATTTCACCATTTATTTCTGCCTGCCCCGCCTACTTATTCAAAAGAACAAAAAAAATGCTCTTTGTTACTGGCCTCCCTCGGCTAATATAGTTAAGCTAAATCTTCTTCCTTGTAGAATGGAATTACCGCAAAGCAAATAAATCGACTGCTGTTACGCTTTCTCTCATACTTTTCTCGTCAACCTTGATTATGGTGAAGTACCATGTAAATCGATAGCTATCTACATCACATGATAGCATCTTGTTATCTAACATCCAAAAAGGAAAAAGTGGAAAAATGGAAAAACAGAAAATGGAAAAATGGAAAAATGGAAAAAGGAAAAAGAAAAAAAAAATTCAGATTCCCAGTATCTAAAACTATGAGTGGTGGTGTTGATTTCAAAGAGATATTTACATGAAAACATTATTAACACTGATCTACCATAATCTAAGGTTTAAAACAATACTATCAAGAAAAGGCTCTGTACGATACATTTCAAATATCAATGTGCCTTTCCAAGATGATTTGTCAGAGTTAGATATGGATGATTTTGGTCTCGGTGATTTTCGACATTATCAGGAATCACCCGATGTTGAACGATATAGAAGGAATCAGATTAATACCTCCGAGCATATTGATGTTAATTCCCTCCTACTTTCGCAAACTCAAACAAAAAAGAGTACTTTGGAGAGCCTTGTGCGGCTTAAAGAGCCTGTGATTTTCATTTCCAAGCTTACTGATCCATACATTAATTTAGCTATAGAAGATTATATTTTTGACAATATGCCCAAGGTTGATACAAATATTGCATCAAACAGTTTCAATTCACATAGGTTGCTTTTCTACACCAATTCACCTTGTGTTGTGATTGGCAAGAATCAAAATCCTTGGAAGGAAGTGAATCTTCCATTATTGAACCTGTTGGGGATCCCATTGATACGAAGAAGGTCAGGTGGTGGAACTGTTGTTCATGATTTGGGAAATACGAATTATTCATTCATGACTACGAAAAATGAGTTTGACCGATTCAAGTTTGTTCATTTGATTACTCAATACGTGAACTCAAATGGAGGCAAATGTAAAATACAAGTTAATCAAAGGGGAGACATTGTTACAATAATTGATGGCGACGAGTATAAGATAAGTGGGTCAGCTTACAAGATATCTAGAGGAAAGTCATATCATCATGGAACAATGCTTTTGAATCTGGATTTGACGAGACTAAAGAGATTATTGCAAAGAGATGCTAAAACTTTAGGCGTTGTTGAATCTAAAAGTTCAGTTGATTCAGTCAAGTCTAAAGTGGCCAATTTAGGTATATCCAATAATGATTTTATTGAAATAGTGAACCATGGATTTAAACAAGTTTATGGTGGTAAGCAACAAGAGAGTATGGTTGTGCAAGATTCCGAGAATAAAGAATTTAACGAAATGATGGGATTGACTGATTTTGTAGTGGGACAATGTAATGATTTTTCATTGATTGAAATTAATGAGGAAAATTTAGAATTACCTCAACAAGTTTATTCAATTGCTGATAAATTGAAATCATGGAGTTGGAAGTATGGACATACCCCTCCTTTTACTCATACTTTAAATCACGAGGAGCTTACTTTTTCGATAAAATTCTTTGTCGAAAAGGGTAAGATAGTTAATGTGGAGTGGAATAATAAAAAAGGAGATCCATCATTAGATCGACTCATGCAAAACGTTAAACAAAATTTGATTTCGATTCTTTACACTGGGGAAGAAGTTAAACGTTCTTTCGCGGGAAGCGATATAGGTGACAAGATAGGTACTTGGTTGTGCCAAGTAATTGACTGTGACTTAAATTTCACATAAAGTTTTGAGGAACTACAAAGCCCTACCCCTCCCCCTGCCCTAGCACGCCTCTGTATCCACACCATATTCCCCAAGTCGTCTGAGCAGCCCTGAATGCGCATTCCTGTTTTAGTCTGATTACAATCGGGCTAAAGATAGTTAATTGCCTTAAGAGGTATTTTTAAGAAAACACAAAAAGATATACTGATTCCCACCGCTATCCTTCGTCAAATCCAAATATTATCATCATAAGTGAATTATGATAATTTCAACTGAAATAGTTGAAACTTCCTTTTATAGCTAAACACTTCAAGTCTGATGGTTGCATGAGGGGAGGCATGTGTTACTGAAAACATCTACCAATAAATCATAATAAACTCAAAAAACGATTAGGAAAGCTTTCCATTAATGTACTAAAGAAGAGAAAATAATCACTGTAGTACGAAAAAAGGTAAACCCGTATATCGTAAACCACAGTAAGATCTACAAAATCTTGAACTTGTCCTTATTTTTATCTTTTCTCCTTAAAATAGACACAATTCCTCCACTCTCTGGAGTCTTTTCAGGGGTAATCAAATTGCCTCTCTTCCCCCCCCCCATGTCCCCACTTCACCCATGGAATATAACACAAAGAGGAGCTGTCATTATGTTGGTAATATACGTTTGTTTTTTTTATATCTTTTTACCATAATAGGTGATGTAATTTTTTTTATCGTATAAGCTTTTATTTTTATTTTTTTTTCAATCTGTTTTCAACATCTTGAGTAATTGATCGAGTAATGATGGTTAAGCGAAAGCATATTATCATATCACGTATACATAATGAAAGTATCGTTTTCCCCTCAACTTTAACTAGACTATATTCCAGACCATTTACTTCTTATTCTACAAATAGCTTGTCTTTTTCCATCTCCTCGTAAGTTTAGACAATGAACTTACATCAATTGTAGATCCCTTTTCAGGTTCAAATCACCACTCACAATCACCGCTGCCACCATCACCACGTATGAAAAAACTCTTTATCTTCTTGGTGTTGATCACCAACTGCTTCGCTGCCACTTTGTCTCCAACAAAACCTTCTCAAGACGACTTCTATAATGCTCCTAGTAATTTCGAGTCAAAACCAGTGGGTACAATATTGAAATGGAGAAACGTTCCAAACCCATTGACAAGTATCTTTACCAAAGTAAACGTTCAAAATGCATGGCAACTCCTTGTTAGATCGGAAGATACTTTTGGAAATCCCAATGCAATCGTCACCACTGTTATTCAGCCATACAACGCCGATAATAAAAAACTTGTTTCTTATCAAACTTTTGAAGATTCTGCAAAACTTGATTGTTCTCCATCCTATGCAATCCAATACGGCTCAGATATAACCACAATACTTACGCAATTTGAAATGTACTATATATCTGCATTATTGGACCAAGGCTATTATGTTGTAACCCCGGATTACGAAGGTCCCAAAAGCGCGTTTACTGTGGGTGTACAGGCAGGAAGAGCCACTTTAAACTCGCTTCGTGCTGCATTGAATTCACACAATATTACTGGTCTTGACCCCAATGCTAAATCAGTGATGTGGGGATACTCAGGTGGTTCTATAGCTTCAGGATGGGCTGCAGTACTTCAGCCACAGTATGCGCCAGATTTGAGCGATACTTTACTCGGTGCAGCTTTGGGAGGCTTAGTCACCAACATTTCTGCCACTGCGCATGCTATTGATGGTGGCCCGTTTGCTGGAATTATCGGAGCTGCATTTGGGGGGTTATCGAACGAGTACACAATGCTTGCACCTATGGTTTTGGAAGAAGTGGATCCCCTGCTATCAGAAGCTTATTTTAACAATGTCAATTATTGTTTGATTGACTCTGTTATTGCATACTTTGGTGACAATTTTTTCGGTGATGATCCCAAATACTTTCCTAATGGCTGGACTTTACTTGAAACAGAACCAGGAAAATCCGTGCTCGAGGCCAATGGATTGGTTTATAATTCAAACGAATTGGTTCCGTCGATTCCGCTTTTCATTTATCATGGACTCCTTGATGGTATTATACCCATTGAGGATTCGAAAAAGACGTTTGATCAATGGTGCAAAGCCGGTCTTAAATCTGGCGAGTTTAGCGAGGATATAAGTAATGGGCATATCACAGAGGCCGTTGTTGGGGCACCAGCAGCTCTTACTTGGATTACCAAAAGGCTTAATGGTGAGGCTCCAGTTTCAGGATGTGTTTACGAATCGCGTCTCTCTAATTTCTTATACCCCGATATTCTCCCTTCGGTACTGGACATTTTTTCATCTGCCTTGAGGGCCATCTCGGGATTAGGATTAGGTGAAGGTTTGTCGAGTGATGATATCTCGTTAATGGATTTGTTGAAAATCAGTGTTTCAAATATGTTTTCTTGAGTAGAATAGTTACAATTTTTTTCCAATAATGATAACTGTAGTTGAACACAAAAAAGGAAAGCAACTAACCACCCCTATCGAGCAGAGAGAGATAGTGGAGCAACACTAGCTGCCAACGAAACAACTCTGCTCTACTCTCTACTCTGTGGTCTCTTCGACTAGACTCGCTTCGCTCCAATAGCCTATCCATATCATAGACACTTTTTAGTTTTTTTACCTTGATTTAAAGTAGGAAAAAAGTTCTCCCATCACAAAATAGGTAGAGCAGTGTAATGTGAAGTAGCATAACTTGTAAAAAAAGGGGGGGGGAACATTTGATATACGAGGATGTAAGAGGTCCTGGTATCATTTTCTCTTCCTATTTCAGGGAAAATATAGCAAATAGATTCTACAATTATTTTTAACTTATTTTTTCGCAGCAATTCCATTGAAAAATTCAATTGCTACTTACTTCAAAGGTCATTTCATCAAGTAATATAGGTGGTTAACATTATAGTAACAAGTTTTTCATTCTCTATTATCTCAATGAAAACAAAAGTGTTTAACCATATACATATCTGTTTCCACACTTGATCCCTCTTCCAGCATCTCTTCCCCCAGTTTCAGTGTAAGCTCTATTAAGATTTCACTATTAATCACTATCGAGGAACGAGATAGTGAGCAGTCCCCTACCTCTCCGGGCTATAACCTACCTCTATAGAGTAAATGAGTTTTAGAGTGTTACTTGGTTATTTAATACATTCTAAAGAAAATAGTGTCGATAGTATTGGTGGCAGATAGTGTCGGTGTAGTCACTGCTCCACTGTCTCACTTTGCTCGATAGAAGAAGGAGGAAAAAAAAACAACCCGTTCTTTGAAAAACTTTAAAAGCCCATTTAACCTCTTTTGTTATTTTAGTACTCTGTTATTTGACACTACTATAGTTTTAAGCACCCTCTAATGTCGATTAAATCAGACTTGGAAAAAAATCGGGTTCAAGAGTTGGACGATTTATTATCCGCCCTCAAACCAAAAATACTTGAGTATATTTCGCAAGCTGATCCCAACTCAAGCAATTATAAGTCTAGCTCACTAGGAACATATCACGAGCCTCGCTTTTTAAGAGAGAAGTTAATTACGTCAAGTGGTAACAATTTGGATAAGCCATGTACCCCAGAACAACTTGCAGAAACTATTGACAAAGTTCTTGAATATTCGGTAAATACTTGGAATCCAGGATTTTTAGATAAACTATATGCATCAAATAATCCCATTGGTGTTGTATCTGATATCTTGTTAAGCATCTTGAATACCAATTCTCACGTATATACAGTCTCGCCAGTTTTATCCGTTTTGGAGAACTACATTGGCCATAAATATGCGTCTTTGTTTTTCACCAACAATCAAGAAACTTGTGGAGGATTGACCTTTAGTGGTGGTTCCTGGTCAAATATAACAAGTATGCAAATTGCAAGGAGCTTGAAATACCCAGAAACCAAGTCAAAAGGTAATGCCGGGTACAAGTTTGCCATATATACTAGTAAACACTGCCACTACTCAGTTGTTAAGGGAGCAATATTATTAGGATTAGGTTCAGAAAATGTTTTTAAGGTTGATGTAACTCCGCAGGGTCTTTTGAATGTATTGGACTTGGAGAATGTGATTGAAGAGACAATTAAAAAAGGGTTTACTCCGCTATATATAAATGCAACAGCAGGTACAACAGTATTTGGATCATTTGATCCATTTATTCAAATTCACAAAGTTGCTAAAAAATACAATGTTTACTTTCACATCGATGGTTCTTGGGGCGGTAATGTCATATTCTCTCCTCACTATAAGAACAGATTACAAGGTTGTGAATTTGCAGATTCTATTACAGTTAATCCTCATAAAATGTTGGGTATTCCAACCACTTGCTCCTTTTTGTTACTTCCCCATGTTGGAAACTTCCAAGCCACAATGTCGTTGCAAGCACCATACTTGTTCCACGGCAGAGATAATCCAGAGGAAGGAAACTACGACTTGGCAGATGGTACAATGGGTTGTGGAAGAAGAGCTGATTCATTCAAATTTTATCTTGCTTGGTTATATTACGGTGAAAGTGGGTTCCAAGACAGAGTAGACCATGCGTTTAAAATTCAGGGGTATTTTGTAGACAAGATCAAAGCCAATTCTGCATTTGAAATAGTGGGGCCCAAATTTCCTCAGTGCTTGCAAGTTTGTTTTTATTATCATCCACCAAATATCAAGGCCAGCAACACCGAGATCACTAGGTACATTTCGAGAGAGTTACACAAGTTGGGTAAATACCTTGTTGATTTCAGTCCTAACCCTGAAGACGACTCGAAAGGTGAATTTTTCAGAGTGGTTTTCAATTCTCCTATTTTGACAGATAAAATTGTTGACGATTTGTACGATAGTATTGTTCAAGTGGGCCAAGAGTTGGAATGAAAACCGCAGCAGTGAATACCTTTCTATCTGATTGAAAAGTTGATGTAAATAGTGTTATTAAACGGTGCTTAATCGAAAATTCTAATTGCGCCTCACACTACTCTTTATTGGGATAGAGTTGTGGCAAGTATATCTGTTTTGGATAGAAAAAGATAAAATAAAAAAACCTGCATAAAATATAAGCCTGTATGCAGACGCAGAAAGCGATAAATAAGATTTTGATGCATCTTTTAATGGGGATAAATCCGATAAATTAAACTGGACCACTAGAACACAAATAGGGACGTTTTTTTTTCCCATAATTGGAGTGTTGGTATTATATGAGTGTTTGAATGATGTCGTGTCGTAGTCCAGTTACCAGTTTAGTGGGTGTTGGCAATTGACATAAAAGGAAGAATACAGGTATGGCAAGTCTCATAGTCTATATAGCAATAGCCAATTCGAGAAGAGCAAAAAGTAGCTCGTTCTCTCTCTCTCTCTCTCTCTCTCTCTCTCTTTTCCTTGTCCCATCTCTTTTCTTCCCTTTGATGCCACTCATAAAAGATCTGCTTGATTCTTTTTTTGGAGACAAAGTGATTCAACCATAAAACGCCCAATAATAAAAAATTTGTGACACCAAATAATAAAGCTCTTAATAGTGCTTTTACAGTGTGTGTTCCCACTCAAAAAGAGATAAAAAATGTTTCACCACTAGTGGAGGAGCTAGTCTCTAGTCTAACAAATTTGAAGCTCTCCTGTCGCAGGAGCAGAATGTGTCTACAATTTGCATCTCTTTCTCTCTCCCTCTCTCTAATTTTCAAAATAACCCGTGGTAACTCCTTCGATATTGGACACCTTCTCGGTCACATCCAATGCTATCATTAATCATGGTTCAGTATTCAGGTGTTACTAGCGATAATATCCATTGCAACGCTTGTTTAATCACATCTACGTATAAAAGTACTAGGTTTTCCAAGTATAAGAGAAAACCATTTTTTTCTTTCTTTTCACCTTTTATTTTTGTTAGTATTACCTTGTGCTACTAGCTTCTCCAGATATACTGTCAACTTTGAAATACTAAAACAAATGTACAATCCTTATGGATAAGCCTGTAATGATGATTTGGTGTGAAAACGACCCCTCTAACCTTTATAGTTTGAAGTCCGTTTTTTGGTTTATGGTTTCAAATGGTTGTAGCTTTTCTAGGTACGAGTCTCAAGCATCACTGTTATAAGGACACTTTAGTAACCTGTATACACTATAAAGAGGGCTTTCAGTTTATACAACCAAAAATAAAAATGCTCTTCAGCTAGACTATATTTCCGGATAAACTCTATCTCCAAAAAACTCTACCTCCAAAAAACTCTCATAGAAGAAAAAAACAATAAGAAACAGAGAAAGTTGGACACTAGTTACTATCACCTTTTATGACAAAAACCCTAAGGCTTTAAAAAGGTGATAAGAATTTTTTGTTGTTTTTTCGTTTCTAAATCCTATAAAAATAAATGATCAGATGTGTTGAAATGATATGTATACTTAGTAAAATCATATCTTTACTTTCTTGTAGTACCGGTGTAGTATTTCGTGAAAATTTTTTTCTTTTTCCTAGGGAGGAAAGCAAATAGATACCACATATTCAAACGAAAATAATATCCATGTTGCTAATAAAACACCTGAATTCTTTTTCAAGGCTTGTCCGTCTGTGATAGGCAAGGAACTTGAAAAAAGTGAAAATAAAGAGAAGAGGAAAAAAAAAAAAAAAAAAAAGGCAGAAAGAGTAGTGAGTGCTCGATTCAAAAGCGTATGATAATAGTTTTATTGTGTTTCAGCCATTTTTATCACTATTGTAAAGTTTGTAGTCTATAAGTTAAAAGCCCTACCCCACAAACTTAACAAGGACTTGTTCATAAAGAGGACATAAAGTCCAATTGAAAATGGTGCATTTGTCATGATTGAGGGTAATTGTGACAGAAAGAGAAACATATTACGTCATAGAGAAGGTGAATATTTGGCTCACTCTTGGTTACTAGATAAAGCGTTTATTTTTTTACACACATTCTTTTTTATTTATCTAGATGAAGTGGCTTTAATGTAGCCATTATCCTATTTCTATACTAGCGTTAACATTTACAAAAACTCTGGGGTAATCCAAATGATAGACTTAACATGTAAAGAAAAAGGTCAACTATCAAGACAATGTGGTGACTTGAAGTTGTAACCAAGAAATTAGCGTTCATGGTGGAGAGGATGATGATGTGGGTAAGGATTTAGGATGAACGTCACATAGCAACATCGCCTATATTCTTTGAAGTTGCAGTTAAGCGTAAGTTGACGTTACCCTAAAGAGTCTTGGAAGAAAAACTTTATCAGGTGAAGGTAACCAGTTTCAAACAATAAAAAAATTGTAAAATCTCTTACATTCTGGGTATACCATCTCTACTAGCAACACTAGTATTATTTTGCAATAAGATCTGGTTTTTAGTTTTGTGTCATCCAGCGTATAAAAAAAAAAATAAAACTCAATCAGAAGTAAGGTGCGAAAATAAAATTGAAAAAAGTGTGAGATGTTGAAGGTTGGGAAAACAAACTGTTCAGGGATTGCTTTCTTTTCGTAGACCCGTCTATGTGTTTGTTTTTTTTGGTATATTTTGCGGATTCAATTGTACAAGGCGGAATTTTTCAGGTTATGAGGATATCGTTATCTATTAATAAGTGTGCAAGTGACACAAAATTTAAAAATTGAAACAACGTTACATTGTTCAAATCATGAAGCTAAATCCCATACAAAGCAAGACATTATTTTGTATTAATAAAGAGAAAGAGGAATAATTAAGAGGAAGAGAAGGCCAAGTGTACAATGAACCTTAATAGTGAGCTATGCCTGCCTGATTTAAGGTATCAAGGTGTATCAACTCTACAAGCTCATTCATTTTTAAAATCAAGATTGATTTTAACAAATGGCAAAACCTCTCAACTTTTCTTGCATTACCTTCTCGAGCAAAAGAAATCAGCTACATTCGCCTTTTTATTTCTACAACTCTCCCTTCTTCCACCCTTGTGATGTCCTCGTCACCTCAATCTTTTCTTAGAGCACTACATATTTTGCAATGGTTTTAGTAAACAGTTGTTTAAACAAACATTTTCACCAATGTAACAACTGAACATTTTAGATTACAACCCAAGGTACGGAGTAACACAAAAGCAAATTGAGAAAACTATTTATAAAATTCTAATTTGAGGCTGGAAAAAAAATTCAAAAGGTAGGGAGGTGCGGCCTAAATCAGTTGACAGAAATCTTCTTCTTATATGATTGCAGCTAATACATCTACTCTCTTATCTTTTGTTTTCTTGTCTTATCTTACCGGGTTTTTTTTTCTCACCCTTGGATGGTCCAATTAAGCAATCAGCGATTTTCTATTGTTCAGTTACAAACGGCGCTTGTCTATAATCAAGAATAAATAATTGCAAAAAAAAAAAAAAAAAAAATAAGATAAGATTTTATCTAAAAATAAAATAAAGTTTAAAGTATAATTCTAAATTACCTTCTTCTATATAAGACTTTTTTTTTTTTTTTTGAAAAAGACCAAAGAAAAAGCGGGGGATGCCCCACATTGGGGAATGGCACCGATCCTTGTCCATTGCAATAATCACAATTGTACCAGAAACATAAGTTTCAGCTATAAGTATGACTAGATGATGCTTCAAAAAAAGTTTAATATAAAATGGATCATGAAATCACTTGATTGAGTATCCAAAAATAAAAAGCCCCAACTTTAGTGCTTTCCACCATCAGCCTTTCTTGCAAAGACAACAAAAGCAGTAGCAACAGCAGTAGCAGCAGCAGTAACAGCAGCAGCAGCAGTAACAGCAATTACTATATCTTACCTTTTGCCTGCATTAGCTATCATATAATTCCAACTATTACTTAATAATGGCTGATGAAGAAAAAATAACACAACCTGCAGCTGGTGATGTGTCCTCCACGTCCTCGGGCTCCAAGGACCTAGAAGCCACGGCGGCCCAGAACAACGACGAAAATGAAATCCTTGTGTTGAAACATCATACTTCCGCGGAGATAGAATCAAGTGGAAATTGGTATGATAAAAGTGTATCAATCTTTGGACATAAGGTCCGTTATTCAAATGCAATGACTCAAATCATAATGGTTGCATTTGTTATATTTATGACGCCCGGTATGTTTAATGCTCTTTCTGGTATTGGTGCTTCTATTAGTGACAAGAGTACTTCCGATAACGCGGCAGTCGCTTTGTACTCGACTTTTGCTACAATTGGGTTCTTTGGTGGTACTATATGTAACACCATTGGTGTTAGACTGTCCTTGATTTTCGGTGGTACTGGATACGCATTGTATGCTGGTTCGTTGTTGTGTTTTAACCACACTGAAAACAAAGGATTTGTTATATTTTCAGGTGCTATTTTGGGTGTATGTGCAGCTGTCCTTTGGTCTGCACAAGGTTTGGTCGTTTTGAGTTATGCTACCGAGGAAAATAAGGGTAAAGCAATCATGGTGTTTTGGGTTATTTTCAACTTGGGTGCAGTTATTGGTTCAATTATTCCCTTGGCTGACAACATGGAAAACCAAACTTCTTCAGCTAATGATGGAACATTTATTGCATTTATTATTTTGATGTGTTGTGGTTCAGCTATTGCGTTTTTCATGTTACCAACTTCAAAAGTCTGGAAGCTGGATGGTTCAAAAGTTATCTCTCAAAAGCATCCTAATTGGAAAACAGAATTAATTGACTTGTTCAGATTACTTATCAAAGAGCCCAAAATTCTTTTTATGTTCCCAATGTTTTTCGCATCCAATTGGTTCTATACCTATCAGTTCAATAATGTTAACCATGGTATGTTTAATTTACGTACTAGATCACTTAACTCATTACTTTATTGGTTTGCACAAATGATTGGTGCCATTGTCTTGGGACTCATATTGGATTTCAAACGCTTTAAACGTTCAACTCGTGCAAAGATTGGTTGGAGTATTTTGTTCTTAACCGGTTTGGCCATTTGGGGTGGAGGGTTGAAATTCCAGTTGCAGTTCACTCGTGAAGAAACCGAATCTGAGCCACCATTAATTGAGCCAATGGATTTCAAAGACGGAAAGTATATTGGACCAATGTTCCTTTACATTTTCTACGGAGTTTATGACGCTATTTTCCAAACATTTGTTTTATGGACTCTTGGTGCGTTATCAAATAATCCAAAGAAAGTGGCATTGTATGCTGGATTTTACAAAGGTATTCAATCCGCTGGTGCTGCTATTGCCTGGAGATTGGATGCAATCAAGGTTCCATATATGGATTTATTTGCTTCGTCTTGGGGTTTGGTCCAAGGTTCTCTTTTGATTGGATTACCTTTGATTTGGTTTAAAATAAAGGACCACACTGATGCTTTGAAAGACGGAATGGATGACGTTGTTGGATTAGAGGAAATTGAAGTTGTTAAATCCAATGTCGAGCACAAGGAGTAGAAGCCGCAGTTGAAGTAGGAGCGGCAATAGGAGCGGGAATAGGAGCGGGAATAGGAGCGGGAATAGGAGCGGGAATAGAGGGATCAGTTTCAACAAACTGCTAATAGTTAGTATATATATGTAAGTGCCTAAAGATTTAATTTAATAATTGACAATTGTTACTTTTTCTCCTTAAGGAAAAGCTAGGACAAGAGTCGACATCAGTAAACCGCACAAAGAGGTAATCGCACCAACTTGGTCGTCTGACTTACTACTTCTTTTTCTTTTTCTTTTTCTTTTTCTTCTTTTTCTTCTTCTTCTTCTTCTTCTTCTTCTTCTTCTATCTTCTTTCTACTACTTCTTCTTTTTCTACAGGTCTCTAAATAGTATAATCTCACTTTGTTTGAAATACCGTCTAGCGTCTTCATCAATAAGCACAAGCGAAAGATATGTCCTCACCGAAAATTTCTTATTTACATCTTTGTAAGTTGGAGTCAAATCAAATCCGCTCAAGAATAACCTAATGGGAATCGTTTCACCTTTAACAGGAGCTCCGTCCATTATCTCGAATCTCACCACAGTTTCGCTATCAGTCACTTGATTTGGCGGCGATCCAACAGTCTCGCGTCTTATCAAAGACAACTCCATGTGCTTTATTTTCAACCTCACCAATAAAAAGAAAATGCGACCAATAATGACGTCCTTCAATGACAGTTTTGACTTTGAGTACTCAAACTCTATATGTAGACAATCCTCAATACCTACATCCATCTTGACACTGTGAACATCTTTGCTCATTCTCGGTGTCGATTGAAGTGCCTGTTCGTTCCCCCCAAGCTCCCTCGATCTAGCTTCATCGTTCGATTTCGTATAATACTGATATACCCATAATTCCTTCTCTCTCGATATTTCTGAGCTTGATTTCCTCAACATTGTTACCTTGACGTAATAGCGCAATTTTGCGTTTTTGCCTCTGTAGCTTTCATACTGTTTCTCCACATTTCTAAACTCAAATGGATACGACTCAGGATGAGTTAATTGAGAAGGTGCTGCTAATTCAGTCGCCAACGAAAGAAAATTCGACGAAACCAAACCATCAATGTTTGTTTCTATCGACCCCAAAAGTTCAACTTTGACTCCTTGGTGATCTAACCTCTTGCTCTCCTTAGTTCGAAGCGTTACCACACCTTTAACCGATTCACCATCTTTATATATTGGAACCCTCTCTATTCTGCCATGCGCAGTTTTCACCTCCGTATGCTTTCTAGTGTCTTCATCATCAAGTCTGATCTCAATCTCAATTGGCGCTTTAAAAAATATCGACATATCAATATACACTCAATTGGGCCCCCCGTCTTAAAAAGAAAAAGAAAACAAAGCCCCTAGTTTAAAGTTATTTGTTGACCTAAACGTGCTCTCTCTTATTATTCCTGGTTTCTAATTTGCACAATCGTGAGGTCCCATAAAGAAAAAATAAAATAAAAAATAAAAGAAAAAAAAAAAAAAAAAAAAGGACAAATTATAAAATTCCAATTCTACATAAGTCAGACCTTTCAGAAAGTACTCACATTGTTTAATAAACGTCCGTCAAATTTTGTTTAGGCTAAGCACTAGTAGTAGCTTTGGCATTGATATGGTGACCAAACTCCTATAATTCACTTTGTTCTAAAAGAAAGAGAGAAAAAGAGAGAGAAAGAGAAAAAGTGCTTGAGGGCCACCAAGAGATTAGAGTATTATACCATATAAATTGGAGTTTTACAATTTCAATGTCTTCGAGACAGTTCATGCTTGACGAAATTGCACCGGATACACTTGCGCCAGGTGATAACAACGTCGGTATTCTGGAAAAGCTGAAACATATTGATACTGTTATTGCATTGTATGACTTTCCCGGGACACAGGCATCACACTTATCCTTGAGTTTGGGGGATACTGTGTATGTTATAACAAAGTCCGCAACAGGCTGGTGGGATGGGGTAGTCATTGGCAGTAATGGCAAACTACATAGGGGCTGGTTCCCCCACAATTTCGTTCGTTCGGTGAACTATGTGCAGCCCGTGTTGAAGAAATTAAAAGACAATATAGAATTGGATTCCATCACCGCTGCAAATACTGCTGCAAATGTGCTACTACCATCCTTTGCCAACTTTTTGCAGAATAGTTTAGGTGAGGGAGACAAAAGTTCGCCTCTGAACTCCAGTCGAAAGAACTCGGTAGTAAGTTTTGCCAGCTCGGAAACAAGCATACCTTCCGAAATAAAGCAACCACAGCCGCGTTCGCAATCTGTCCAACTTGAACAAACACGACAAAGTGTAGATCAGTCGGATGATCGTACTCAGCAGCAGCAACAACAACAACAACAACAACAACAGCCGAGGCGCTGTCGAAGTCTAAATCCAACAGAGCTGTACATTGACGGATCATCAAGAACCGGAAATTCATCAACACATTCAGATCAGCAATGGTACTCCCAGCGAGGAAATACACTAAGTAGTGAAGATGGTGATGATTCTTTAATTATTCTCGAAACTGAAGAGGCGGTGAAGTTGGTAGAACAATATAGGGCCGCTAACAATGAGATTGTAACGTGGATTCCTCGGTATACTACCAACGGTGATTTTGTATTTTATTGTGATGAGTTGAAGGTCTTTTGTGATTCTGTACCGATTATTGAATTCAGACCCGAAGATCTTACAAAGACTTTTGCTTTTCCCGCTCCTGATGTATTAAAGGATGCAACAATCTATATGCTAAATGGGTACCAGTCATCGGAAAACATTTTAGGTCCTCGTGAGACTTCCTCCAACGCTTCATTTGACTCGGCAAAAAGAGATTCTCAATCTTCCGTGAGTACACAAAGCAGCAGCGCATCTTCGTATCACCATTTCAAACGTCCCTTTTTCTCAGTTCATAATATGTTTTACAGCCACACTTCCGACATCTCCCATTGGACAAAGTTGCGAGAAGAAATCAACTATATACTAGACTTGATTACAAAGTTGCTCAAAGATAACAATCAACAATGGTACCAGACCCATATTAATAGGTTAAACAAACTATTGGTAATCACATGGGCTTCTGCTAGACTTGACCAGGCTGACTACAACAATACTGAATATGAGAGTATCATAAAGGAAAGACTCATAAAAGTTTGCAACTTATTTGCGCAAATCCAAGTGAACGGTACATTACATTTTGCTGGTGCTTCCAACCAGAAACATGAACCAACTTCCATTGAAGGTAAACACGATATTGCTAAGTTGTCGTCGTCATTGTCGTCATCGTCATCGTCATCAGAAAAAGGTACAGATACTAAGTTTGCCAATAAAATAATAAGTGATATCAGTGGGTTAAGAGACAATGCAAATTCCTTGATAGAAACGTTTCTTGAATTGAGCCTAGATAAAACATTAAAGCCCAGAGAGTACAGTTCCTCTGAAGCGTCTGACGAGGAGGTGGTTCAAGAAAGATGGAATTTATTACCACAAGTTTTCCCGCGATTCTTACTGGAGGAATATAATGGGGGAAACTGGTGCAATCCATTTTTTGCGTCAAAAAATACTTTTATGAACGCGAGTGGTGATGATCTCAAGAATCGTGACCATTCCAAAGTATTAATCGACCATCATACCTATGAGCTAATGCGGCAGCATCTGGAGGAAATAATTAATATATCTAACGAGTGTTTAGCTATTTTACCAGCTGATTGGGATGCAGAAGCTACAGAAGTGTCTTCTCAAAAAACGAATGACAGAAATTCCCAGATTTTGAGATTGATGTACAAATTTCTCCACCGAGCAAGTCTAATGATCGATCTCATGGAGTCGTTTGATTTTACTGTGTTTTGCTTGATTCGGAAAAGTGACTCAGGAAACAAAGAAGGTGTACTGAAAATTAAGGAATCTTTTGCAGCATTATCATTGTCGGATCAAAAAAACGCATTGGAAACAAATCTCTCTTTTGACCATCCTATCGTACTTGAATTCTTCCAATTCAAACAACAATTCCATGATTTGATTCTGAAAGTAATAATAGCAACGCAATCGTTGACTGTGGACGGAGCAGAAGCTTTCAAAGTACAGGATGTTGGGGATCCTCTATTTTATGACAAGGAAATTTTAAAAAATTACACCGAAAAGACAGCAATGCTTCTCTCGAATGTATTGCTTGAACAAGACTTTGAGCCTGAGTCCTCATCATGCGAGGACGTGTTGTCTTCTTATTTGGAAGAAGTGGTTCAATTTTGTCATACTGCCCCAGAAGTAACACAAAGGTTAATCGAAGAACGAGAAACTATTATAAACTATGCATCGCGTGTTATGCACGATAATTTCGATGTGCAGTTGTTACTCTTGGAACGAAACAACACGATTTTGATTGAGAAATCTGAGGATCATTCGTATTACAGTGGAGGACAGAAGAGTGCAGAGGATACACCATGGTATTTAGAAGGCGATGAGGAGCATAATTTATTGTTGGATGTGAAGGGAAATATCAAGGGAGGGACTAAGGAAGCATTGGTTTGCCATTTGACGCATCATGATATGTTTGATAGTCAATTTAATGCCAATTTTTTGTTGACCTTCCCGACTATGATGACATTGGAAGAATTGATTACATTACTAAAAAAAAGATTTGAGATTGAAGCACCAGATGGCTTAAGTTTCGAAGAGTATAATCATTGGATCATGCGAAAACAGAACCCCATTCGACTAAGGGTGATGAACATCATGAAATTGCTTATTGAAAAGAACTGGTGTCCTTCATACTTTGACGAATCTGTGTTGACACAATGGCTAGATTTTGCAGAATCCTCTACGGTGCAGTCATTTTCGATTGGCAGGCTACTCGCGGCCGATTTGCGGAAGCTACTACGAGGAGAGATGCGGTTCCCAGAACGAACTCCTGTTATACCTCATACTAAGCCTCCAGCACCATTGACCAAGGGTTCATCGATACTGAAGAAATCGAAGTTGTTGGATATCGACCACGTCGAGCTCGCACGACAGCTTACGATTCGAGAGTTTCGTTACTATTACAAAATCTCCAAGTTTGCTTGCTTGGCTAAAATTTGGGGGAAAAAGTCTGGACTTCACGAAAGCACACAGTCAATTACCGATTTTATCAAGGCGTCAAACCAGTTGACTAACTTTGTTGCATACATGATATTAAGAAAGCCGGAACCTAAAAAAAGAGTACAAATTATTCGTTATTTCATTCAAGTGGCTGAAAAGTGTCGACAGTATAATAACTTTTCATCTATGACGGCTATCATATCAGCGCTATACTCCTCGCCCATACATAGACTACGCAAGACTTGGAATTTTGCTAGTCCCGAATCATTGGACCAATTGAAGAACATGAACAAGCTAATGAACTCTACTAGAAATTTCAACGAGTACCGTGATGTTTTGAAGTTTATCGGATCAGAGCCCTGCGTTCCGTTCTTTGGAGTTTACCTATCAGACTTGACGTTTGTGTTTCAAGGGAACCCAGACTACTTACTCAACAGAACTAATATGATAAACTTTGCTAAACGAGCAAAGACTTCTGAAATAGTATCAGGTATTGATAGATTCAAAAATGCAGGTTACAACTTCCTTGAGGTGTTTGAGATTCAAAAATATTTAGATGAATGGTTTGAAAAGTGTCCATCTATAGAAGAGCAGTATCAGATATCCTTAAGACTTGAGCCGAGAGAACAGAACGCCGCTATCGGGGTAGGAAACTTTAAAAGTTTGAGAACAGCGTGAATAAAAAAACGGGTTGATCATTTATCTTGGGAACAATAAATAAGAAAAAAAAGAAGAAGAAAAAGAAAAAAAGAAAAAAAGAAAAAGGAAGGGGAAGGGAAGGGGATGTTTTATGAATGAGCATGCGGGAGGTAAGAGAGTGTGTGGATCTTAGCCAAAGAGGAATTGTAAAGATTGTAATATGGCAACAGTTACAATACCTCTAAATGAACACCAACTTTCTCTTGTGATCTACTTCTGATAAACAACTGAATTTTGGTAAAAGAAGAAGAAAGAGAAAAAGATGAGGTAAATGATACTTCACTTTGGGTAATTTTGAGTCCGTTCCGAGTAATGTATGATATGTATAAAATTTGGTTGCAAAACTCTACAAACTTATAAAAGCTGCGAGCTTTTCCTTCTCCCCCCCTCCCCCTTGGTTTTTTCTTTTCTCTTTTACTTCAACGCAGCAAATTGATAATGCCCGGAGGAAAAGGAAAAGCAGGTTCAACGGCAAAGGCTTCAACTAGCAGATCATCCAAGGCAGGTCTAACATTCCCAGTTGGAAGAGTCCACCGATTATTGAGGAAAGGAAACTATGCACAAAGAGTTGGTTCGGGGGCTCCAGTATACTTGACATCGGTTTTGGAGTACTTGGCGGCAGAAATCTTGGAGTTGGCTGGAAATGCTGCTAGGGACAACAAGAAGTCTCGAATTATTCCTAGGCACTTACAATTGGCCATTCGCAATGATGAAGAGTTGAATAATTTGTTGGGAAATGTAACTATAGCTCAAGGAGGGGTCTTACCGAATATCCATCAAAATTTGTTGCCAAAGAAATCCGGAAAAGGGTTGAAGTCTTCTCAGGAAATATGATACTTGGTGGTGGTGGTGTTAGTACTATTACTCTATGTAGTTTTTGTTGACGAGAACGTAGTTTTGGGGGTAAGTGTCGGAATCCTTAATTAATGTTCACTTACAATAAACTGACTATGTAGCATCTATCTGGTATGGACTTATTATAGCTCACTCCGCTGCTGTAGAAGTCTACAACTGAATAAATTCTTTTACAACTTTTCTACAACTGAATAAATTCTTTTACAACTTTTCTACAACTGCAAATTTTCATTTGCAGTTACATTATAACTTTAACAAGTTGTATATTTTGCAGCAATATTATCATATGGTAGCGTTATAACATACAATACCTATATAGGCGCTCCTTGCTTTGTGAAACCAAGGGATGCCAATTTCACATAAAAATCCGAAAAAGGAAATTTTCGGAGCATCAAATTGAGACCTGGTTCAAAAAAATCAAAGTGTAGGAAACTATCTTGTACTGGGGTTGTCAACAGTTTGTTTGCTTTCGGGTATATTGATACTCCGCTGCAATTCTGGAAAAAACGGCTCTACATCTACAAGTTAATTGATTACAAAAACGAGCTCACACAAAAAGAATCAAGCCAATAATTTTTGCCAAGGTGGCTTCTCGAGTAGTCTTTACAACGACCTTTATTTATTTCTAATTCTCTCCAAATTGTTTCCTCATCACAGGAAGAGTTACCTCCACAACTTATCTGTATATTTATGTTGTTACAATTGACTTCCTATTTACACAGTGATAGTATTAATGAAGCACCCGTAAAATGATAAGCTCCCTCACTTGCTCTAATAACTTCAAAGTTTTCCATCTTCAATGCCCCCACAATTTTCACAAATAAACACAATACCAGAAGGTAGTAGAAACAGTGTTTCACTTTACAAAAATATCGGCGGGGGGGGGGTGTGTGTGTGGGGGGGGGGGGGGGGGGAGGTTCTTTTCGACTTCTATTCCAGTGTATTAGGACTCATTACTTTGCGGTCGAAAATAAGTGTAAAATCGCGTTTCTGACTGAGGAAGAGTGGCTTTACGAATTGAGGGGGAGGGGGGGGGATTCCAGAAAAAGAAATAAAACAGAAATAAAATTAAACTAAAAAACAAATTTAAATAGACCTCTCTCTTTATATTTCAAACCTTACTTCTTGACTGATTTTTACTCACCACCTCATGTCTCTCAAACTCAAGAATAGATCCAATAGGGCACGCAACTGGAAGATAGGTTTAGTGTCCGGTGCGGTTATAATTGGCACGTCTTATTTGATACTCAACACCTTCCCCCACTTGAAAACATCGATCTATAATGTTATTTATGGTACCGAGGATGAGCTGGAAGAAGATGACGAACGAGATATACAAACGCGGCGAGTTGTCATAGAAAGTGAACATTCCGATCCAAATAATAGAAACAAAACGATTGATTTGTTTCAGTCCGAGAGAGCTTTTAATGCACAAGACAAAGACAATGAAATTTCGACTTGGGCTGTCTCTGAACTCAAGTCATGGTTGGTCAAGGTATGATAGAATGATCAGTTTTTTTTATTATTTTTATTATTATTATTACATATATTAGAAAATACAATACCATAATACTAACATGCAAACCTGTTTTTTTTTCTTTTTTTTAAGAATGAAATCCACCTGCCACCCAGCGCTAGTCACGACGATCTAGTATCGTTAGTTGTCTCTATCAAGAGGAAAGGGCAAAAATGAAATAACTATCGTGAGGTATGCAATAGAAATACCATTTCGAAATCTCTATAAAGCTGTATTTTTTACTTTCTAAAAACTAATTTTAAAATATACAAAAAAATCTATCTATCAATCTATCTGTCTCTTCTCTTCTTCTTTATCTTCTTTTTGAGCGTATTCACTGCAGAAACTTGGACCATCTCTCCAATCCATCTTGAAACACTTGCTTAGTCAAGCCGACGGACTCGTCTGGAACATGGACGAATAAACAATTTATGGATTCTACATCACGGTTTCTGAGTTCATCGTCATATAATATGAAATTGCCATTTTTCAATTCCTCTGTCATTCCTAATTGCTTCGCTGCAAGTTTAATATGCTTTATCTTAGATCCTGCACCCCATTGTAATGTGTCAAAGTACGTGATTGCTGCTCGATTATTTATCTTGAGCAAAGATAAGATTTTTTTGGCAACTTCGGGAGTGGCCGTTCGGCTTGCTCCAATGATTTTCACGTTATTCTCAACCAACTCTTGTATAATCGATTCAACATGCGGATAAAAAGACAATCTCATACCTGATCTATCAATGATTTCTGAAGATGAAATTGCTTTCAATGGCGGCCTGATGTGAGTGTCGCACCAACATGGCCACAATGTATAGTCAAGATCAAAGACAATAGCTTTTGGATAGGCATACTTGATGGTCATATTTCCTGAGTACTTTCTGGAGTTATTTATTATTGGGATGCTAATCAATATCTTTCAATCCATCTCATTTCTAATAATGGGAGGCAACAAAGTTGATAAAGGAAAAAAGCGTACGGCAGGTAGCGCATAGATAACAGGATGATAAAAAAAAAACAACCACTCCCTGTTAGTAAAGGAACAAAAAAACGATTAAGACCGATAAACTTAAATAGAAAGACCAATCAGGCTATTGGGGGGCGTTTCATTTTCAAGGACCTCTTTTCCGAAATAGTTTGCAAGGGACAGTTTGATTTGGATTTTGTCTTACTGTTAGGCTGACTAGATCAAACGTTCATTCTCACAAGCAGCCCGCACCTACATTTTTCAGTAATATAATGGAGTTTCTCCAATGAATTAACTTATACCAGAGCTAGGTATCATTTAACTCCATTAATAGTATATATATATATATATATATATAAAATAGGTTTTCACATCAAGAGCATTTAAAAGTTGCAAAATTTACTAAACATACAGCTCTGAGGTATCTAGCATAAGCAAACAGCATTATTGCAAGTCTGGAGAACTCACTTTCACTTTGCACAGGCTTTGTCTGTCTTTGTATAAGTTGCCAAGGTCATACTCTGTTGAATATTGTAGTTTTTTGAGACTCATGTATGTATGGATGGATGCACGGGTCTATTTCTCCACATATTTGCTCTCCTGATATTCTTTTGTTTTTAAGGGGCAGGCTGAAAAAGAGGAGAGAAAAGTCTAAAAGATATCACACACACACGCAAAAGATAGAGGAAATAGATAAAAAGAAAAAGAAGGCAATTTAATCAACTCACTCTTTTTTTACTTCACCACCATCACCAAGCAATCATCAACTATTGATATTACATTGATATAGCAGTAGTACAAAGTGTTTTCATATATCAACCATATCTATTTCTCTACTCAAGAGCTGCTTATTATTATTATTTTTTTTTTTAAAAAGACTCCCATTTATTGAATTCTTACGGGACTTTGGTTTCACCTTTGGTTTCTTAACTCCAGCAATGAGTAACAAAAGTCAACTTATTGCCATCAAGGTCACTATTGAAAAGGTCCAGAATGGTCATCACTCTAGTGCTAAAGAGAAAACCATTTACGCAAAGAAGGATTCATTTTTGAAAATCAGGTCAAAGGAATCTTTAACCACTTTTTTGAATACCGAATTGCATGACATTTTACCACAACTGCTTCAATTTATTAAATATACTAGAAAGTCAAAGAAGTATAGGGACTATATACCTTTGAAAAATGAAGAGGATTTCAAGTCGCTTGCAAGAAGTTTGAAGGTTAAAAATCACGTGAAATTGAAAGTTGAAGATTACTCTCTGGCCGCAACAATGGAAACAAGCTTCCCTGAGTTTGGCTTGAAGAAAAAAATTGCCGATGATATCTCGAAATTTGGAGACGCGTTAATTGAGATAGCATTTGAGCATTTCAAGGAACTTTTTGGAAAATCTTTTGATCCTCCTACTACTAATTCTAATACAGCTGTATTTGGTGCTGCAACAGGAATTTCCTCAGATGAATCATTGGATGAAAAGAGTTTTTCTGCCCGCTCTAACACAGCCGCGGCAGAAAACACTGATGCGCGAAGGGATTTGGATTTGGATTCGGATATGGATTTAAATTTGGCAGTACACCCCAACATCTGTTGTGACCATTGTTCTCCTTTGGAATTCAATCCAATCAAGGGAACTAGATATTGTTGTTTAGTTTGTGAAAATTACGATTTGTGTTCCAAATGTGAAGCGGAACAGCAATCTAAGAGGTTGCGGTATGGAAAACACTCATATGACCACCCAATGTGCAGGGTCCCAGTACCAACTCCATTTTTCAAGTCTCCTTCACTTTTTGCAAGGTGCGCACTGGGTAATGAAAATGCATGTAGGTTTGCCTACTCCAAAACAAATGACATAATCTATGACGTTCCCTTGAATCAATGTAATACAAAGAATAGAGACAAATTGTCGGAATGGTTAAACCTGAAAGGTATTGAAGGATTTATTGCAGAGGTAGACCAACATATAGACAAAAGCCAACGTTATGATGAGATTTTGATGGCATTGGCTGGTCGTAAAGATATAGGTGACATTGAAAAGAAGCACAAACTAATCATGGATTTAGTTAAGGAGTGGTTGTCGTCGAATGAAACTAAATGCAACACTGAGGATTCAAACTTGCAGGTCAATGGCTCTAATCCCGAAGAAAGTAAGGTGATTGCAAAATTTTCTAGAATAGATATTTTAGCTGGAAAGATGATATTGAAGTTGGTCAATAGGTCAGACAAAACCATTGTAGGAGGAGATTTGAAATTTGAATTGTGTGACTCGACACATGATGAGCTTACATTTGTTAAAAATGCAAGTGATCTCAAACCAGGCCAAATAAAATTTTACAAGTTAGGTAAAGTCCCCGTTGATTTTGGCGATAAAGATGCCACATTTAGAATCCATAACCCTGAATTGATTTTGGAAGGTGTTTTTGAGTGCGATACTGACATCATGCTCTCAGTTCGCAATAACACTGGAAACATCAAGAAAGAGAAGGAAAAAGAGAAACAATGCGCCACATTATCAATTTCTGAGACAAATGATCATACACCACCATTAATAACTGCGGCCATTAGCATGACTGTGAAGTCGAAGCTCTTAATTCACCTTGATGTATTTAATCAATCCAATGTCACAATTGATTCGGAGGATTTACAAATCCAAGTACTTGATAACAACGGTAGAATAATGCTGAAGGCTGTTATTCAAGACTCCAAGGGCATTGCCAGCGGCAAGACTGCTAAATACAACCTTACTTTGCAGAATCATATTTTGAAGTATCCTATTCAATTGATCTTTGAAACCAAGAAACAGATTGCAAATTGTGTATTCACTGAAGAAACATCAGACGCAATCTTAACCTTCCATGATAAGACAACAACAGACGCAGATTTATCAGTAACATCACAAACATTTGCACAAGCCCCAACCAGCGAAACTGACAATATCTCATACAATGAAAACACAGTTTCCTCGGCTTCACTCTCTGGAAGTGCTTCTTTCCACTCAATAGTTTTGCCATCTTTGCCCCGCGAAAGCAAAGAGGTGAAGAAAATCGACACCCAGCAAGAAGAACTTGACAAATTACATCAACCTCAAGAAGACGACTACGACATGTTGGATACAGATGACGAGTCGCCAGATTCCGATTATGAAATTCTTTCTATCCATACTTCGCGTTCAGTTTGAAACTACCTTCCTATGCCTTTCTAGTTTAACTACTTTGTAGCGAAACTCAAATATACATCTCTACATCAACAAGATGCCTCTATAATAGTTGAAAATAATAAAACATACAAATCTCCAAATAAAGACAACGAAACAAATGTAACTCATGTTTGAATACTTGTATCACATATCATTGCATAGAGTAATTCTCTTCAGTCGCAAACAAACTAAACTCTTATTCTCTTCACTGAATTATTCGCAAAGACCCTTATTCCAAATAAACTCTTTATTTTAAACGACCAAGGGCAGTTCCACTTGAATTGAAAAGAGAGGGCCTAATCAATCAAATAGATACCTTTTCGAGACATCAATAAATGACTGCAGAAAAAAAACCCAAGGCAAAAGATATAGTAGCATCCTATTTGTTTACATATACGAATCCTCTGGCTCAAATAACGTCTATATCACGGTAACAAACATCAATGAGGGAGAGTACCAAGCGAAAAAAGGTACATCAAGAAACGTATCGAACAAAAGATGAATCAGTACGACTCATCAAACAAAAGCATTGCTAGAAATAAAAGATTCTTTGAACAAAAAAACACACACCTTATTAACAAAAATTTCGCAAAAAGTACAGCAACAAGGAAAACACCCCAAAAGATTCGGTGTAACAGAATATACTTGATTCCATTCGAACAAAAAATATTTTGATAGCTATGTATTACAAAGTTTCTACAACCTAAATACCTTAATATAAAATTGTTCTCTACATTCACACCTTCGAGCAGGCACCCTGCATTTTTTTGCTTTAGGAAAACGAAGTTGTATAAGCTTCTCTAACAAAACCAACAATGATTAACGACTACAAAAAGCAGAAATTTGAGAAACATCAAGTATGACCATATGATTCTAAGTTTTTATGTTACTTAATACATTCAGAAGGCTGTAGAGAAAGACAACTGCCCCTAAAAAATTTATTTTGTAATATAGCATTGTGCCGAGCAAGGTTTGAATAACTACACACATATCAAAATTGTGTGAGGTTTGAATATTTCTTGATAGTCATTCTTCTTTTTCTTCATTCCTTTGAACAGCTAGGTAAACGTTCTGACAGCTCTTAAACCTACTTAAACCAACACTTTCTCAAACATCCTCAAATGAAAATCGTAATTCGGTAAAAGCCCTGGTGAATGTTTTTTTTCCATTCATGTGATGGAGCTTAAAGAACCATTCATCATCCACCAGAAGATTCTAATTTATGTACCAATAATAAGAATCACGAAGGACTACGGTTCAATTAAAAATAGTGTATGTGTGCAAGTTTGTGTTTCGATGTTCATGCAACATATAAGACGCTAAGTGATACGACTTCTTATTCACGGATAAATTCAGAGTGAATTGTAAAGCATTTTACTGTGGAATCTATGAGTAAACACCTCACTAAAAATTAACGATCGCCTAAAATCACCTTACCTCAACTCACCAAAATAAACATTTAATTTTAGTAACATCAATTGTTTGGTGATATTCATTGCAAGCCACTTTAATTCTGTTCTCTATCTATAAGCAGTAGATTTCTTGTCAATAAGTAACATTTAGCAAGTGAGATTGCCCGTTAGCTCAGGTAAGAAAAAAATTGGCATTCTTCATATCCATAAGTGTTATTCCGTGTTTTTTTTTTGCAAAATTGGCAACGTTTCAGTTGTTGAAGAGGTTTGAAAAAGAATCGGTTTGTTGTTCTTTTTTGTTGGTTTTTGAACCAGTGTATAAAGCTGGTTTTTATCTGGAGTGTTAAAGAAGATTTTTATATGGTCGATTTTGGGAAGGTTTGAAAGGCAGTGGGTTTGCTAGTTATCACAATTTAGTACTACCAGTATTGTTTGTGAGTGGATATTGAAAGATATTGAATATATGGGGTGTTCAAAATTAAGGCTGTATTGATGTTCAATTGCATGCATCTGTGTGCACATATTTTTGTTAAGGTAATCATTATTGTATCATACAGTGTAGAAGAGATGTAGGTAATTTTGTGGAGCGTGTTTGAAAGTATACGTCCTGAAGGATGTACTGTTTAGGAATAATTCGCCAATTAGTTTGTTGTTTTCTGTTTTGGTTCCTGTGAGCTGTAAGAGTTGAGAGAATAAAGTTATAGAGTGAATGAAGTTGATTAGTATGGAGTATGAATTATTTTTCTAAATAAGGTTCTACGATGAGTTGTCAAAGTGTATAGTTTGTATACAACCTGTGATTTATGTTTCAACCTTGAGAAGGCAATGGTGTGTTCCAGTTGCCTAACTTATCTGGCCAGTAGCTGACAGGTTATTGTGGTTTATATCAAGAGATGTCGGGAGGAGCTTGAAAATAGTATACGGGCAGCCCTTATTTTTAGTGTTGCCTTTGACTGTTTTGCAGCCATATATAGTGGCCTTTTCATTTTGTATGTTGTACTCTTGTCTAGTATATATATGATTGCCATTTTATGTCCACCGCCCTGACATTGAGAACACTTTTCCACGGAAGATCTTATGGACCTTTGACTAACTTTTTTTTCAGGCAGGAGTAGCTAGTTACTCAACTTGACTGTTCTTCTTCAATCCTCTAGTGTATAATCGAAAGTGTTTTTCCTTATTTCAAATTGCATTCAATTTGGCTGTTGCATGATCAGTGCGTTTTAAACAAGGGCATATAGTAACGACATATGACAACGTTTGAATTCATACTTTATCAATTGGTGGAGTTGGTGTGCTTCAATTGTACTTTCCAGCCTTGTGTTGATAGCTCAATTGCATAAGAAGATTGCAATTCCAGAAGGCTAATCAATGACTAGTTGATTATTCAAACAAATAGTAGGTGTGAGCCTACATGCCGCGGGCCTGTATTGCTGCTCCCAGTATTCTTACTTCACCTCTTGGATCTAAGTTTCCCCTGTTTTTGAATTTGGTCAGTGTTACTGCTTACTTCTACTCTACCTAGGAATGGCCAATTTTCTTGTGTGTGTTGTGTGGGGGTGGGGGTGGGGGGTGTTCAGAGGACAAGCAACTAAGTAATAAAATAATCAAGTAGTAAAATGCTTTGGTTGTTGTGTTTGAGGTCCCCAGCAGGAGTCTCTTATATCTTCAACATCACATACATTTTTTTTCAAGGCAGATAGAAAAACTGTCTATTCAGGAAGATTTGGCCCCTTTTCTGTTATCAAAAGATCACATCCAGATTAAGCTTTTTCATTTAATTAAAAAACATTTATGTCAGAAAGGGGAGCGGGACTACTCACGTGCATGGAAAAACCAGTCATATATATATATAGATGAATTTTGAGAAAAAAAGCTACTACTACACGCAGGGCATCTTCGGATTTTTGTACCTGCCAATATGTTTCTTCTCTATTTCTTTCTTTCTTCTCTACTAATCTCCTCTTTGGATCTTGTATATGTTATTATTGTATTTATTATTGTATTTATTGTATTTATTATTGTATTTATTGTATTTATTATTACATGTAGCAGAACCTGTAAGCACATTGATCAGAGTGGCATATATAAATAGTTTTTATTTTCACTAATGTCTCTTCTCTCTAAACATGACATTACCTGGCAAAGGAATGGAAACTGGAGTGACATACGAATTGAGTGGAGTAGCAGTACCTGCAAATGCGTTCCACCAGGCTATGAATGATGTGATGACACCAAAAACACCCCCAGCACGAGTTACGCCAACATGTCCACTTAATTCACCACCAGCAAGCAAGATAAACGTTATAAACAAAAAGCCGAAAAGACTGCAAAAGGCTACAGTTGACTTCAACGTAGCCAAAAACAATACCAATGTAAATATCGCCCATCCGAGTAAAAAGAATCCAACGGCATCTGCTAATTGATCGCTTTCTTCATAAGCTTTCAAGATCCCAAAACTATCAATGAAAATTGCAGCATAACTAAGCCAAAATGCACCATACGAGGTTAATGCAGTAAAACCAAAGGTATTACCACTAACAAACTCAAAGCAACCAGCAAGAAATTGCGCTGCTCCTCCATAGAAACATGCCAATGAAACCACAAGGTTTGGAATTTTGATACCCATAGCTTGGGCATTAACCAACGACAAAACAAATGTTGTTAATGCAAATCCTGATAAACCAACTGGAGCTGGGTTGATATTGATTTTAGGGTACGGAGTGGCTCCTGGATTCAAGTAACCACCAAAAGCGGCCATCAAATCATGTCTGTAGTATTTATGATTATTGATTATAACAAACTCCCCACCTTCACCTGCAATTTGGACTTTATTAACATTAGCATCGGCTGGCGCCATTGTTGAACCTTCGGATTTTTGATCATGAGATGAAGAAGTCGAAACCATTTTGTCGGAGTTTTTTTTTTTTTTTTCCAAAAAAAAGCAGATATTCTTGCTGTATGGACTTTTCTTTAAATGTAAAAACAGTTGGTCTCTTGACCAGAATTATAGGTTTTATATATATGTTTTTTAGCCAGGGTATTTTTTGGGGGAGGAGCTCCACATTTCAGGTATAATATTTTTGTCACCTCTTCTAATGATGGGAACCTTGAGATGCAGTACTGACGGTTTGTGGGGCTTCTTCTCTTATTTCATCTATTTTAGATCCACCATTAATTAAACTCATAACCATACAATATGCGCCTTTTCGCAACTTTTTTTTGTTCTTGATATTTTAATTGTGTTTTTCTTTTTATTTTAGTAAAAATTTCGGACTTTTTTTCTTTACAATTGTTAACAGTTATTTACTCAGTGCATGCAGCTGATGCTCAATGCTCGATTATGTGTTCAGATCAACATTCAAAGTAAAAGCCATGCGGACTGTTGTCCCACGAATCCAAGACTCAGGTTCAGTTAATGGAAGTTGTCCCTTATAACACTGCAAAAAGTTATCGAATGGCATTTTCCTTTTTTTTTTTTTTTTTTTTCCCAACTTTATTTTATTCATTCTCTATTTTTATTTTTATTCTCATTAGACAAAAATGATCAGCTTTAAAGTCAAGTGGGGCTCGCCAGGTGTATCCTTCAATAGTGTCATCCCGGATATTCTTGGCGAAAAGGAACCTTAGTATATACTCTATTAGCTTATTATTTATTTTATTTCAATATTTCTTTTGGGTTCCCCCATAAGGGTAATTGAAAAACGAAAAAAAAAAAAAAAAATCAGCCCATTTCATTGGCTAGTCTCTAAAATTTTTTTAGGTAGTGAATTCCTTTATTCAAAACATTGCAAAAGTGGAGTCAGAAAATGAAGCCAAGTTGGTGTTATGAAATAACATCTAACGTGCGGAAGTGCCAAATTATCATTTTTGTGTGTTTCAAAAATTTATATCTTTCTTAGGCATTCCCAGAGACTTACTTGGTTGAGCTTATTTTGAGTTATTCGAATTATTGGAGAGTTTTACTACTACTACTACTACTACTAACTATTATTCACCCACATTTTATTATATAATAATATGAGTCTAATTCGTCAATTTTCCAGACACCTATATGCAAGTTCTTGTGTTAGAGGCCCAGCCGCTTTCTCCTTGACTTTTTTCACAAAAGACAATTGCAAGCTATGTTCAGATGCAAAGATGGTGTTAGAGAAAAGTTTAAAGTCACCAACTTTAAAGAATGCCAACTTTATCATCAAAAATGTTGACATCCAGGCTCTTGAAAATAGAGAATGGTTTGATAAGTATTGCTATGATGTACCTGTACTTCATATTGAAAAGCCTGGTGCAAAGTTGAAGAAATTCATGCACTACCTACACGAGGATGATATAATTAGGGAGTTGAGGTCAGAGCAATAAGTTGCCGATATTGGATAGCAAAAGCAAAACGCTTTGGCCATCTTCTATTCCTAGTGTGGCTAATGCTTACTGGACACATATTGTGGTGTTTCTTGAGCGTAAAGAAGAAGGTATTGTTACTTACTAGAAAGGCCAGGGGAGAGAGAAAAAACAGAAGCCCTAACTCTTATAATTGAGTCTGGACTTACTCAGATTGTTTTATTTTGGGGAGAGGAAAGTTGTTTATAACATAATATCCAGAGAGGGCTTTTTTTTTTATAACAAAAGACCCGACCCAGATTTTTTGGGAAGTGAATGATGTTGAATGTTCTGTAATATAATAGCACAGCTGTTTATTTTGGTTTCGAGCTGGTATATCGAGAAAAATTTTGCATTTCTCTATAGAGCTAGAGTTCTCCGAGTGAAATTTTCCTTCTAAGTAATAATCTTTATTCCTCTTATAGAGATACGAAATCAAAGTGTTCTTATCACTAGTTTCGTCGTCTTTTGATTTTTTATTTTTTTATTATTTTTTTTTTTCTCACTCTTTTCAGAAATATGACAGGCAACAGGCTGACCTTACATTTGTGTAATAATAGCTTCAACTTTTATTTTATGGGGAGGGAGAAGGTTAAAGAGATTGAACAAAAAAAAAAAAAAAAAAAAAAAAAAAAAAAAAAAAAAAAAAAAGAGAGGCGAATCAAAAATCATAAGCTATAGCCAAAACTATTTTGAAATAAATATTCAGTGATTAGACAAATGTCATCTGATCGCCAAAGAGTGGCCTTAGTAACCGGTGCTTCATCCGGTATTGGTTTTGCAACTTCAATCGAATTTGCTAAAAGGGGCTATGTTGTATTTGCTGGAGCCAGGAGATTGGAGCCAATGCAAAAATTAAAGGACGAATATGGTGTCAACATCTTTGAATTGGATGTGAGTGATTTGCAAAGTGTCAAGGATGCCAAATCGTACATTAAGTCGGAAACGGGTCGGGAGTATTTGGATGTTTTGTACAACAATGCCGGGCAATCCTGTACTTTTCCTGCCACTGATGTTACTGACGAACAAATCAAGCAATGCTTTGAGGTAAATGTGTTTGGGCCTATGAGAATGGTTAGAGAATTCATTCCCTTTTTAATAAATGCAAAGGGAGTTATTGGATTTACTGGTTCTGTTAGTGGTATTGTACCATTTCCATTCTCGTGCACTTATTCTGCTTCGAAAGCGGCAATTCATCAATACGCTGCCCTGTTGCGATTGGAATTAAAGCCTTTTGATGTCAAAGTGATAAATATAGTCACTGGTGGTGTTAAGACCAACATCGAAGACAAGAGGTCCTTACCTGAAACATCTCTTTATAAAGTACCTGGAATTGAAGTCGCCTTCAAGGAGCGTCAACGAATGGCTGCGCAAAACAATCCAATGCCCGCTGCCACGTATGCTAAAAAGGTTGTTCATGATTTCGAAGTTGCAAGATTAGGCGGCCCTTTAAACATTTACAGAGGTACAATGGCTACATTCTTATCTTTTGTCTTGACTTTCGTTCCGAGATTCATAGTTGAATGGGGGTTGGTTCGTAAATTCAAGTTGGAGTCTGTTTTCAACAATGTCAGGAAGAAATACTCGAAACTACAGGGATGAAAGTTGATGAATGATATTGATATACATTTTTGTTTGTTTTGTTGTTTTTTTAGTATAGAATCTTATTTTTATGATGCTGCTATGAAAAGAAAGAGGATAAAAAATGGTATTCTTGTATTCTATGCAATTATTAAATTCTAAGAAAACAACATATGCAATGGTTTTGCTAACAGATTTTGCTCTAACAAATTTCGCATATCTAGTTAAGGGAATGAGAAAAAAAAAACTGCGCTCTGTTTGATCTTTCTCCAAAATCTTTCTGTAGTTAGGCAGGGTTTGATTGCATGTCCAATTTGGAAATAAGAGAATGGACACTGTCGACATCTAGGACAACCACAGCGGTAGTCTAGTAATAATTCTGGTGTATGTTAGCGAGATGCAAATGGCATTCAGTTGAGAAAAAATTGGTAACAAAAGAGTGTAAGCATGTGATAACAGAAAACAGGTAACTATATCAAATGGAATGGAATAGTGTGAGTAGTTTGTTCTGAATGAATATTGGTGGTTTACTTTTAACAACACTAATTATGTAAAGAAATTCACATAAACTGCTTTTATTAGGTGTCTCTGAGTATGATTTTTTTGTTAAATTTTTGTCAACAGTTCTATTTGTAATTTTGCAGCAATTTCAATCAAAGTTTTTATTTAACCTGTTAAAGAAATGAATTTTGTCACATAAAAAAAAAGAGTTTATGCAAACACAGTTACTTGATACCTTATAAGGCCGTAAAGCTTTCTCAAAAATCAATGTTTAGACATTATCTAACCTTTTCTTTCTTTCTTTGCTTTCAAATACATTGGTGTATACTTCAAAGGGATCAACTGAGTTTTTTGCAACCTTTCACATTTGCAGCCATAATGGAAAAAAAAAAAGTAAAAAAAAAAAAATAAAATATTAAGGGGTATCATTTTCACACCCCAGTGAAATATACCAAACATTTGAAATGTTGGGCTAAGAGAAGTACTGGTAATTTACTTAGATAGATAAATGGACCTCCAACCTTAAATAACAGATCCTTTATTATTAAACGATATTATGAAACTCTTCTCTCGTCAATACTCATATGGAACCAGATACGTGCGAGCGCACGCTTCAAAAACTAAAAGATTTTATTTGGCACAAGGCAAAGTCTGTAATGTAAAAAAGGAAAATCATTGCGTTGATGATGTTTTTTTTTTCTTTTTTTGCATTATTTACAAAGTGCAGACTGGATGTCAGAGTACATAAGGACGGCACATATTTAGTCAAATCATTGTTAAGTTTGCCTGCCATATCTTTCTTACTTCCCTCAGGAGCCGGCGGCCATTGGAGGAAAGGAAAAAAAAATAGACATGAAACCTCTGTGCCGCGAACTTGTACAAAACTAGTGTTCTTTTTTTTTTTTTTCTTTTTTCTTTTGTTCTCATTCCGTTGTTTGGTTCAACCAATTAGTTTTTCTCACTTGGAAAAGTTCCAATACATTTTTCAAAAAAGCCCGAGAACCACCAATCAATAAAAAACTATTGCTCGAAATGATACGATCCAAGCACCAGTTATTTCAAGGTTCAATCAAGATACCGAAAAGGAACCTCATAACAATAAACCATGCATCTGTTACTTCAACTTCAATTCCTTCACAGTTGCCAGATACGCATGCTCATATAAATTTGAATAAAACCATTACCGAGCCTATAAATATACAGCAAGCGCAACTTTTGACTCCTTATCAAACTTTGGAGTTTGCAAAATTTGAAAGTTTGGGAGTGCCACCGACAATATTATCCATACACTCACCGCCTTCTGTTCCGGTTTATTTAAGACGAGGATCACTACTATCGATATACGGAATAAAAACGGTACAAAAGTCATCGTCATTGTCATCGTCATCGTCAACTTTCTCAGACTTTTCAAGTACACCAACAATCCGTAATACAGTAGAATTTCCGTTGTGGCGGGACAGATTTATCTTCAATGGAGGTCAAATTCAAAGCTATCAAAAATTGATATCAACTGTACCATTTTCTATGTTAGTTGGAAACAAAAACAGCTCTAAATACATGAATGAAAAAAGTTTTGTAAGTTTGGTACTTGATGGATCAACAGACTGGGCTATTTTAAACAAAGATGCAATACAAGCATACACGGGTAATGCTTTGTCTGTCACGATGCACAGATTTCCAAAATACATCTCGACACGCATAGCGCGATTTTTAGAAATCGACAGGATTGAAACAGGTCTAAGGTCTTTTTTACATAGAGGATACTTTCTATTAAGTGGAAGAGGAAATGTTGGCGTGGTTGGAAATGGTGGAGTTTATCAATTGGCAGTGGGTGAAGGTGAAGAGATATTAATCAAGAAGAGTGCTATATTGGGGATCACAGTGAATGGTCCTTTTGACTTGGAAAACTGCATATTGAAGCAAGAACTGCCATTTGCATCAAGTACTCAACCCCCAAGTCTGACACCAAACACGAGCGAAAAAATGAAGAAGAAGAGGGAGGAGGAGAATGAAGAGGCAGAGGAGGCAGAGAAGAGGATTAAAATTAAAGCTACAACAGAGAAACCTGTTTTAGTTCAACCATCAGCGTGGGATCAAATAGTTGTGCAAGCGAAAAGGTTTTCATGGAGGATGAATATTATTTGGAACAAGGAGAAAGCATTTTTTACCACAGTTACAAATAAGATCAACAATTTCCTTTTGGGAAACACTGAGTTTGTTAGAGTACTCGGTCCTCGAAATATATTAATTCAATCAAATACAAATGAAATTCGCAAACCTTACTTTGTAAGATCTTCAAATGAAATGAAACGATTAGAAAATTAGCAAGTAAAAGTAATTTTACATTGAGCCAAGAAAAGATACTTAAAATTTGGAAAAAAAACTCAAAGCTCCACACCCCCCCCAATAAGAGGATTAAAATAAAGGGTCGTTGAAAAACTATGAGTTCAAAAGTCCAAGTTCAATTGCTATAACACTTGGTAACTTGTTACAACACACTCACATTCTTATTTTCCCCTCGTCACCCCCTCTACAAGTATCAAATACATAAATAGAAATATATATACTTTACAATTTATATATCTCTATTGTAGCTTGGGTATCTTTTCAAAGAATTCCCTCTATAAACTAACCAAACCAATACATAAAAATCCAAAATAATCAACTAAATAGATGAAAAAAAAATTTGAAAAAATATATCATATAACATTAAAATAAAACAAAAAAAACAAAAAAAACAAAGTAGATCTCTAAGTATAATCTCTGTTTTTCTAATTTCTTTTCTTAATTACTTCAGAAGCCCTTCCATTTTTGCACTTCACTTATGGATGGGAGCTTGGATTCTGGGACACTATTATCAGTTAACGCAGGTAGTGAAATACTATCCACATGTACACTAGGCTCGAGCAATTGTGATATTGAAGGAAGTTTGGGCCGTGTGTCCCCATGTGATCCTTCTGTTAGTTCTCTTTCATCCTTATTCTCATTGAAATAGTTAAGATTATGCTTTGATGTTGAACCTCTAAGCCTGTGCCCATGCCTCTGTTTTCGCTTCCGCATCTGCATCTGCTTGTTTTTTGATTCTTTGATGTCGCAACCATCACCATTAGTGTCAATATCCATTTGATTAGCCTCATAATTGTTATCGTTGTCGACTTCTTCTGGTGTCCCACTTTCCATCGAACCATCTTCGTCTTCATCTCCTCCGACTTCTTCTTGAAATAGGGAGTGGTTCAGATTACCATTCCCAGCTGGTTCGTAAAAATTGTTTTTGCTACCATTTCTACTACCACTAATCACCATTGGTTCCAACTTCGAAGAAGGGAACTTGCTACCATTATTGTATCCGGTCGATGAATTAGATCTTGAGGAACATTCACTCGAGTTACCAGAGTCCCTATGCAACGACAATAAACTGTTGGTATCTCTAGTGGCAATCAATTCAGTAGAGCTGTTGCCCTTGCCATTGTTCTTTAAGGATGTATTACCACAATTCTTACCCAGGGAAGCAGTGGATACATCTCCATCTTCAGTACCAGATGACCGTTCTGATCTTGAGTTGTTCTCGCAATCTGGAAACTTCGCTGACAATGAATTAAAGGACAAGTTTTTGGATGGGCAGTGCAAATTGGAAACTCTATTATCGGGAAAGTACCTATTCTTTGGCTGAACCGGTTTAAATGACGATGACGATGACGATGACGATGATGATGACGTCAATAGAGATGCTCTTGGATAATTTTGTGTATAATTACTCCTATTGCTTGCGCCAAGTTCATCCATACTGTCATTTGATGAAAGAGAAGACACGGTCGAGGCCTTTACAAAATCAGGTGGAGTTGTTGAATTGTCCAGGGATCCGTTGGACAACTCAAAGGGTGAAAATGGAGTTGTATTAGAATCCGAGTTACTGTTTAACGTGAAGCTGGACCTAAGTGGAGGTAGCTGAAATCCAGCTTGTGGTGTATGACTATTGTTGTTATTGTTGGGGCTCACACTGTCATATTGATTGTATTGCAATGGATGCAAAGGTTGTTTTGACTGAAACGCTTGTGGGGAAAACGGCACTGAGGCAAAACCCAAAGAGTTGTTATTCTTGATTGCTCTTGCTTTTTCAAGAGTAGCGCGTTGCCCACTATTTTGCTCGCCAGAGCTTGAATCATTACTATAGTCACCAATATTTGAAGCAACGGTAGAAACGTAAGGTGACGGAACTAGAGTTGCAAATTGATCCGGTGTAGGTGCCGCATTTGGATGTTGATGTTGATACTGAATATGATTATGATTATGATGATGTTGATGATGATGAAGATGAAGATGATGTTGTTGATGTTGATGAAGATGAAGATGATGTTGTTGATGTTGATGTTGATGTTGTTGATGTTGTTGATGTTGATGTAGCAGCTGCAGCAGCAGCAGCAGCAGTTGTTGTTGTTGTTGTTGTTGTTGTAGTGGTAGTGGTGGTGCTATATACGATGATTGATGGTCAGCAGTATGATATAATGGAGGGAAACTGGCCGAAACATTGTGGTGTGGCGTAGGTAAATTGTAACTTTTTGGAATGTTTTGTGAAGGCTTCTCACTTGAAATCGGGTTCGTCATTGCACTTGTTGTTCCTCTTATTGTTGATGTCAATGAAGGTGAGGTTACAACGTAATACTTTGACATTACTTTAGTAATTGCTTTTCCTAAATCACTCCAATTAAAAACCTTTAAATCCTTCTCAATATTTCGTGGTCTTGGATTCTCCATACTCATAATGAAGCTGAAAAATTCTCGATCTTCTTTATTTGATCTTGAAACTGTTTTTGGCTTCAAGCTTTGTAGATTTCGGCGAATTCTATTCTTTTCCTCGATGCCAAAGCTTTGGAGAACAAGGTACTCCAACAACAAAATGATATCGACAGAAGTACAAATGTATTTATCCATTTCTCGCCAGTAAATGCATGATATTACTGCATGCGCATTATTAGAATCGATAGCTTCTATCGGCTCAAAATTGATTACTTGCTGCATATTATTTGTATCATTATGGAAGTCAAATTTGACTAATCTTCTTCTATTTTTGACCTCTTGCAAAGTCCAATCTTGAGTCATTGTATTTAAATCTCTGGTAAATTTCAAATTGACAGCAAAACTCGGGTTTAGATGATGCAGAAATTGTCGAACATATTGGATATTCGATGGTGATGGATTCCCCATATGGTACAGCTGAGACTGAAACTTGTTCTCATTCGCTAGTGTACTAGAATCTGGGGCTTTATGCGTATTGTTATTCGTGGAGGGTGCGTTAGTGGTGATGATGGGTGCGTTAGTGGTGATGGTGGGTGCTTTAAAGGGGAAATTTCCAAGACTACCTACACTGTGGGTAAGGCGGTGTACTGGTTGTGGTTGTGGTTGATGTCGCTCACTACTTAGAGACAGACTTTGACGCATCATATGCTGTGGTTGACTATTTAATGGCGGAAATACAAATGGTTGCTGTAAGTTAGTATCTTTACGGTGACTTGCGTATTGGTGGCTGTTTACAGGATTACCTTGATTATTCAAAATATATAGTAACGAGGTTCCTTGGCTATTCATGGCTGAAGTTATTGGTGGAGGTAATGACATAATCGCATGTGGCGGAGGTAAAGGTATCGTTGATGCAAGTGGAAGTCCCGACGATACTTTCAGCAGATTGCCGCCATTGGTATAGCTAGTAGACTGTTCGGTATTGAATGTTTGCTCATCTTCCTTTTTATGGTTATTGCTATTGTGAATATTTGGGTATCTTGTGTTGAAATCTACCATGACATGAAAATTAGAGGGGGGGAAAAAAAATTAAAATGTATATATGCCCGTGAGTTGAGATATAGAAAGTATATCTATAATCCCACACTTGCCTTTAATGAAACCTTGTGTGTTTCTTTGATATGGCAAATGTTCCAAACTGTGATAGGGGATGGAGCAAGATCTATTTTTCCTTGTCTAAAACAATTGAAACTCTTTCCAGGTTATCTTTCTTAAGGTTTGTCTATAGGAGGCAATAATGCTAGCTAGCCATAAAGCGTTCTCAAAATATGATTATAGATGTTGTTGTTTTTTTTCTTGAAGATCCAAATTTAAGTTGTGGGCGTGTCCAATTCGGTGTTCTTCTAGTATAACAGGTGTAAGTTGGTGTAAATGATGCTGGTGGTAATACCTCTGTTCGTATATTTCTGTCTAATCCACAAATCCACCTTGCTTTTTTCACCAAACAAAAAAAGAAAGCCAACAAAGAGAATTGGGGGAAAAAAGGACTAAAATATGGATTCCACAAATTATGTACCTCTATCAGTACCAAATAACGTAAAAAGGAAAAGGTAATTTATTGTGATAATGAGATGGTATACTATGTATATGCCCACTCTCTATATGAATAAGATAAATGGAAAAAAAGAAGCAAAAAAATTTCGTACCTTCTTTTATTTGCATAGACACAAGTAAGTATATATATATATATATATAAATATCAATGTCTCAAAAAGACAAAAGAGAAAGAATGGAATCCATATTAGCAACATGCATTTCAAGGGCAAATAAGAGGAGGGTTGGAGGCAGAAATAAGAGACAACATCAGCAGCAACTTAACTGGTCAGATTACTAAATAAACTTAGTATTTTTCTACGGATTCAAAAGGAAATAAAAGCCAAAAACTAAAACAGTGTCTCTGGTCTTTAAGATTCTAGTATATTTTTGTCACGCATCTCCGTTGACAATGATCTCCCTTGCTCTGTCATTTTTTTTTTGATAGAAGCATTAGTCAAAGCACAATCCGAAAGGGACTTGGAGCTTAGTAGCTGGACGGAGCTCCAGTGCATGAGCTCTTTTGTCTAAAGTGAAGAAAACAAAAAGCTTATTGATATCCATTAGTTTTAGGTGCTTTTGCAATATTAATATATCACAAAAGTACAAGGTGTAAAGTATGTGTTTCAAATCAAAGTCAGCTCCCTTAATCTTTCCTTAGATCTATCCTTTTTTTTTTCTCTTTTCACCCTTCCTCTATCAAATCAAAAAAAATAATAATTGTGGAGGCAGTCAAAATATGGACTCTATTCATGTATGGTGGGTCTGTAGGTGACATAATTTCCTACATTGTTAATGTTTATCTAATGCTGCAGGTGGAACTCCGCAAATGCAATTTTTATATGATAGTCCGTTTTTTGTCAAACAATGAGAAAAGTGCTTATTTAATATCGCACAAAATTGAGTAATTAATTGTTAGTACTTTTGTGTCACAAAATTGATCTCGTGTTTTCTGGAGCGACAAGATGAAGAGATTAAGGAATTCTGGTCATTTGGTAGGGCTAGTGTATACAAAACCTTTTCATTTAACACTTTAACTTGGCCTAGCAAACTTTCTTGAACATTTTGATCTGCTAATCTTTTGGCACACTTTTATTTTACTTTCTTTTCTATAAATGGTGCAAATGAGTTTATTTTTTCCATGTGGACACAGTGCTGGTTGATTAACAAGAGACTTTTTTTTTTTTTTTTTTACTTGTGTAATTAATGAACTATCTTTATTTTACGACGGAATTCGGTATTTGTTTGTTTTTGTTTCTTCTTTACTATGTCTATCATTTTTTCTTTTTTTTTTACTAGTTAGTAGCTTTTGAGATACAAACCTTTCTACTTTTTCTTTTCAAGCTGAGAACCAGCTGCAAATTGACTCAAACTTTTTTTTTCTTCTATCCAAAAATATATAGCTTGAAGTTGATTTTTTTCACTTGGTTAATCTGAGAAATGAAACTAAATTGTGGGTTTGGGGAACTGAAATAGTTCAAAGGTTAAAAAGTGCTTAATACGATATACCAGGAGCCCTGAAAAAAAAGTTTCCAGTCTAAAGAAAGTAACTCATGCTACTCACGGCTAAGTATTAATTGATGAGACAGATGTTTATCTGTCTGCGTGAGTATTGTTTTTCCTTAAGTTCAAGTTTTTTAGTTTTAGCTAAATTTCTTGATAAACCGGTTTTAACAAAAAAAAAAAAATCAGCAACAGTTTTTCCCCCCTTTTGGCAACGAGTTTCAAAATCACAAGTATCCCCTCGACATAGCAACTAATGTAGAAGATACTTTTTATTTTAATCGAAACCAACTAACAAAGCAAAGCGGAAAATAAAAAAATAAAGGAGCAAGGAACAGAGATGGCATGATTAACTTCTTGTGTGTGGGTATCACCTTGTTTGTTTTCTACTAAAAAGACAATGTGACGCTTCATAGTAAGAAAAATTAAACACATTTCGTAGATGTTATTGCTTTGAACTTAGTACATTTTTTTTCAAGTCATCTGTAATTTTCACCATATACAAATACAGTAATCTCGGACTCAGGCTCTCCTAGTAGTAGTTTGTTCCTCTCATCTTTTTCTTTTTCTCTTTAATTCTTTCTTTCTTTCTATTTTGTTAGGCCGATAATAAATCAAATAGGTTAACCCGATAAGCGTGCAGAGGGTCTAAATAAAAAATGATTCATGCAACGGATTTCAAACGCAAGATATATTTATCTGGTGTTGTTGCTGTTGGTATTGTTATTGCCCCGGCTTATTCCTTTGATAGGTAACAACTCCACCTTCTTTGGTCAAACCTCTAACACGTCCTCCTAGTCCTTCCCCTCCCCCTTTCGCAACACTGACTATTGAGAAGAAATCTATTTTCAAACCTTGGCAAAATTTCAGAAAAAATGTATTACTTAAAATGGTGAGAAACGACGCATATTAACAAATGAGAAAAACTATGTAATTTTATTATACAAAACAGAGTCAATGACATTCCTAATTGATTTATAATAGTCCCTGGAATTTGTAAGTTCTGTCCGTCCACTAATAATCGTAAGGATTTTCTCAATCCAAATGAGAAGAGCAACAAAGAGGTTTGAGATTTCAACTTTAATGCTGACGTTTATAAAATACGGACTTGATCTAAACTTTAAATTTTGAATACAAAAAGAAAAAAATAAAGTTAAACATATGTACGTCTCGTTTTGATGGCTAGAATCCAAGACCTTGAAATGCGTCAGTATGTAGAAGGCTTATCTACTCTACTTCTTTTACATAGTCCTCCTACGCATAACGCCAGAAATATTTTGTTTTTTATTGTACAGGAGATATTTGGTAAGTGTTTAGTTATTTTCTTAAGCTGAAATCCGGAGACTATAATATTATGATGCATGTTGAGCTTTATCTCGTTTTTTTTTCTTTTATAATGAAACTTTTGTGAAAAGGAAAAGTGTAGTTCACGCAAACAGATGAACATCTGTCTGCGTGAGTATTGTTTTTCCTTGAGTTCAAGCTATTTAGTTTTTGTTCCTCATAACTAGATTAGAACTATTTGCTATTATGTTTTCACGATTCTCTTAAACCGAAAAAGAATGTATTAGTTAACAAGCAATGCAAAAGAAAAAAACCATCTCACTTATGATTTACGAGGTTTCAAATTAAGAAAAAACAAAAAAAAATATCAACCAAATATCTATACTTATAGGTCAGATCTAAAATATATGTGGAACATTTTGTAAGAGATTATATACGATTGGAGTTTTAATTTGGCACATAATAAATCTTGGTGTAATTGGACTCAATGGCTTTTATTAGTTGCCTCTTCTAGTCCGTCTGTTGACTTACTTACTTACTCACACTTGAACACATATCCAGACTCTCCTTCTCTCACACCTTCTCTCACACCTTCTCTCACACCTTCTCACACACCTTCTCACACCTTCTCTAACCTTCCCTCTCACCTTCTCTAACCTTCCCTCTCACCTTCTCTAACCTTCCCTCTCACCTTCTCTAACCTTCCCTCTCACCTTCTCTAACCTTCCCTCTCACCTTCTCTAACCTTCCCTCTCACCTTCTCTAACCTTCCCTCTCACCTTCCCTCTCACCTTCTCTCACACCTTCTCTCTCTTAAAGTCTATTTAGAGGCAGCTAAAAACTTTATTTGTCAAGTGGTACTCTCCATAGAATAGGATCAGTAAATAATAAAAAAACAAGAAAAGACACTTGTTGCCACCTTTTATATAAAGAGAATGCAATCAACAAACATGCAGAATCCACCATTCGCGACCCAAAAGTAACTATTTTCTATATACTCCGACACTATCGACCAACACTATCGAGCGAAGCGAGATAGTGGAGCAACACTGTTAAGCAACACTGTTAAGCAACACTGTTAAGCAACACTGTTAAGCAACACTGTTAAGCAACACTGTTAAGCAACACTGACTAGCGGTCACCGACACACGGGTTTGATAGTGTCAGTGGCCGTAAGTCAGTGTTGCTTAACAGTACTGCTCCACTATCTCGCTTCGCTCGATACTGAACTAGGTTTACTTGTTCATTTTCAGTTGATGTACTATATATCAACAAAACTTTTAGTTCACAATTACTCCTGAATTTGCTGCCAAAACGCCATGAATATCTTCACCATAATGATTTTACATTGGTTTGTTTGTTCTTGTTTGTTCATATACTTCTGTGGAACGTTTATATTTCCAAGAAGTTGGATTTTTTGTACTTTGGTCGCAAGATCTGTTGTGTTGCAAAACACAAAAGCTTACTTTTTTTCACCTTCTGGAAAACAAGTTCTCTATTATCAATATTAAGTTATCATTGTTCACAGGAAAAAAAAAAAAAAAGAGTTGAACTTTAATAAATTAAATCACGTTTGTGTGTAATTGAATATAGAAAGAATAAATATTTATCTGATTATCTTTTGGACTTTGATACCAATAAAAGTAATATTGGTATCATTTTGGCTTAAAGTTGTTACACACGGTTACAGATGTTTATATTGCTACAAGAGGGATCCTAAACAAGAAACAAAAGCTATCAAGTAGATTAGGGTACAAATTTTTAGATATTATTATGTGATTATCTTTGTCCTTATGAGTTAATCACGAGACTATTATTTATTTATTAACAACACCAAGTTGCTAGCATTAGTATAGAAGAGCCAGTTGTAGCTCATTCGTTAAGCACAGGACGAATCGTATAGTGGTTATTATTTCTGCCTTCCAAGCAGAAGACGTGGGTTCGATTCCCGCTTCGTTCATTTTTTCATTCAAAGTTATTATTTATTTTATTTTTTCCTTTGGCTTTTACATTATGATCAGGGCTCAGGTGATTGTTGAAAAGGAAACACTTTTTTATTTAATTAATTTGATTTTAATTTCTTTTTTCAATTTAATTTTATTTATTTATTTATTTATTTATTTATTTATTTATTTATTATTTTTTTTTTTTTTTTTATCACAATTTCTATTGGCATTTTTTTCAGTTACTAGGATCCTCAACTAAAGCCAGAATTTTATCTATTCATCGATATAACTAGTAGGTATAAATCTTTCTCTCTTTTTTTCTTTTTTTTTTTTTTTAGGTTTTCCAGTCTTTACGTTTTGCTTGAAAAGATAGGATCCCTTTTTTGAGAGAGAGAAATAGAAAGGCAGGGAGAGGGGGGTCATATAGATGGGATCTCAATTTGAATTTTCTTATAAACCGCCAGGATGGTACAGATTAGCTAGCTATGATTTCTTATTATGGGCATTATCGATTGTGTTTGATTGCTTCTTCAGGGAAATACGACCGCGAGGCGCTTTCAAGATTCCGCATGAAGGTCCAGTTATATTCGTTGCGGCACCTCATCATAATCAATTTGTTGACCCGATCATTCTAATGAATCAAGTTAAACGCGAAGCCAATAGGAGAATATCATTTTTGATTGCTGCAAAATCGTACAAGTTGAAGATGGTTGGATCAATGGCGAAATGCCAATTAAGTATCCCCGTTGTGCGACCACAAGATAATTTAGTTAAAGGGTTGGGTAAGATCTTTGTTGATCCAAAGGATCCTTGTCACATTATAGGTAAAGGAACAAAGTTCACCGAGGAATGTATGGTGAGGGGGCTAATTGCTTTACCACAATCTTTAGGCGCCACTGAAATTGCAGAGATTATATCTGACACTGAACTAATCATACGCAAGGAGTTTAAACAATCGGATAAAGTACAACACTTGTTGACTATTGGTACATCATATAAAAAAGCTGATAAAATTGACCAAAAAAATGTTTACAAAATGGTATTTGACCACTTACTGCACAACAATTGCCTTGGGATATTTCCTGAGGGTGGCTCACATGATCGTCCAGACTTGTTACCATTAAAAGCAGGTGTTGCAGTTATGGCTTTGGGTGCTATGGAGAAATACTCGAATTGTAACGTCACGATTGTACCGTGCGGAATGAATTACTTTAGTGCTCATAAATTTAGATCAAGAGCAGTTGTTGAATTTGGAGATCCAATTGTTATACTGAAGGATTTAGTCAAGAAATATTCAAATCATGAAACTAGTAAAGAAGCAGTTAGGGAACTATTGGACTTGATTAGTACAGGGTTGAAAGCAGTCACTGTAACCTGTGAAGACTACGAGACATTGATGTTGATACAAGCGGCTAGAAGACTATATGCTGGAAACTTTGCCCAGCAATTACCGTTGCCTCTTATAGTTGAGATGAACAGAAGGCTAGTCAATGGATATCAACATTATAAAGACCAACCAGTAATTAAAGAATTGAAAAAAAAAGTATTAAAGTATAATGAGCTTTTGAAAAGTTTGCATCTACCGGACCACCATGTTGAAGATTGTCAAGAAGAAGTAAACAAAGTTAAGTTGATTCCCATCTTGATTCTTCGTGTGCTCAAGCTTGTATTTTTATTTACCTTGGCTCTCCCCGGAGCAACATTGTTTGCTCCAGTTTTTGCCTCATCAAAGTTTATTTCGAAAAAGAAGGCCAAGGAGGCATTGGCAAATTCAGAGGTAAAAATCGAAGCTAACGATGTGCTTGCCACTTGGAAAATCTTAGTTGCCATGGGTATTGCTCCAATTGTTTATTCGTTCTATGCTTCTGTTGGTACTTATTACTGTTTTACGCATGATATTTTGTCGTCTTTCAAATTATTTTGGTTGTGGGTCTTTTTGTATGTGTGCGGTGTGTTGGTAACTTACAGTGCATTATTGATTGGTGAGCAAGGTGTCGACTTGCTCAAATCAATCAGACCATTGTACTTATCAATAAGTTCTGGTTCTTCCATCCGGCAGTTGAAAAAGATGAGAAAGGAATTGAGTGAAGAAATCACAGAAGTGGTAAATACTTATGGACCAGAATTGTATCCTACAGATTTCAACTTGCTAGAGTTGAAAAACTCGTTGAAAATAAGTGACGATGTGAAATACATCCCCTCAGACGAGGAAGAAGACCGCAAGACTGAAGAGTTGAAGTATAGGAGACGTCTTAGAAGAAAAGCTGAAAGAAAATCAAACATGGATGTTTCTAGTGAAGAAACTGCCATTTCCAATTCGTCATCAATGTCCGATGTAATGTCCCTATTAACGTCGGATCCCAAATCCTATACAAACTTACCCATTTTTAGTGACTATCACCTACACAAGAATGTGAATAATCCAAATTTGGATTTGGATCCACAGTCGAAGGATAGTTCAAGCGTATCGCTTTATGAGGATAGCAAAAAATGTGCACAAAATAATCATTATCAACAACAACAACAACAACAACAACACAGCTATATATCTAGTCCATTACGCGGTAGATCATCCGAGGAACATATTGAATTAAATTTCTCAAATGAAACTCGGTTGAGGAACAAGATTAAAGATAAAGTGAGACAAAATAGAAAAGTATAGTGAAACTTGTAACGGATAAGCATATAGATATGTATATATAAATATGTAAAAGAAAGAGCACTTTTCACTTTTCTATTTGCACGCCCATTACGAGTGAAGCCCATCTCTCAACTCATAAAGCGTTAGCAATTGAAACTTGCTTCTTCAATTCGAGCGCACGTCTTTTTTGGATGATATCTGAAACAACTTGATGCGCCGACTAGCGCGCGTCAAGTTGGCGCGTCAAGTTGTTTGAAAGATTGACCTTTATATATACACAATAGAAATACTCACCCATCAAAAGTTTAGTTTTGGTTCTTTATTTAGGCCAACTCTTTCTAATAATTTGTTTTTCGCTTTTTTTTTCCAGAGTCGACGAGGTGTATGTACTCGTTGAGACAGAGGACTGGTTATTTGTTATTATCAAATTTCAAAAGAGTTAGAACAAGTCCTTGCTTGTCGAATATGGCTCAACAACAAACATTGGGGAGGTTCTTTGGGCGCTCATTTTCAGAGGCTAATAATAATACTACTAGTACTAGCACAACCAAGCCATTGAAGAGAACTAATGATAAGATTGTATCACCCGAGTCCAGTGCAAAGAGACCAAAAAATGAAAAGTTTGATGAGGTGAAGGAAGAGGAAGAGGAAGAGGAAAAGGAAGAGGAAGAAGAAAAGGAAGAAGAAAAGGAAGAGGGGGAGGAAAGTAATTTAAAGGAAGATTCAGCTTCAGAAGATTCAAATTCAAAATCTGAAGCAGAGACTTTAATCAAATTGAGCGAAGAACAACAACAAAATGCAAAAACAGACAAGTCCTTATCGGGATCCAAAATCCCATATTCATCATTAACTGATATGTTTGAAAAAGTCGAGCAGGAATCTTCAAGGTTGAAAATAACTGCACTTATCTCTGAATACTTTTTGGAGGTTTTACAGCAGCAAAATGATGTTTCGAAATTGATCAAGATTATCTATTTATTAATTAATCGATTAGGACCGGACTATGAACCCGACTTGGAGTTGGGTCTAGGAGAAACGCTCTTGATCAAAGCCATCAGTGAATGTTATGGTCGTACGCCAGCAAAAATCAAACAGGACTACAAGGAAGTTGGAGACTTGGGATTAGTAGCACAAAAATCCAGATCAGGCCAGCCAACTATGTTCAAACCAGCAACTTTAGATATCGACACGGTTTTTGACAATTTAACCAAAATTGCAAAATCTACAGGAAAAAACTCCCTGCTGAAGAAAATCGGTTTAATAAACAAGATGTTGACTGCTTGTGAATTGAAACATAATGAAGCCAAGTTTCTTGTACGCTCATTAGAAGGAAAATTGAGGATTGGTTTAGCTGAAAAGACGGTGCTTATTGGATTGGCCCAGGCCTTTGTTAATTACGAAAATTGGAAATTGCACGATGGACAAAAGAGAAGGATAGACGCGTCCAAGCTAGCAGCGGCAGAGGATATTATCCGCGAAGCGTTTTCAAGAATCCCAAACTACGAAATCATTATTAATAATGCTTACAAGTACGGAATCTTCAATTTATTAGAACACTGTCAATTGACACCAGGCATTCCCTTAAAGCCTATGTTGGCAAAACCGACAAAATCAATGAGTGAAGTTTTGGACAGATTTCAGGATGAGAAGTTCACTTGTGAGTACAAATACGATGGAGAAAGAGCTCAAATACATTTGTTTAACGGTGAAGTTAGGGTATACTCGAGAAACTCTGAAGACATGTCACAACGGTATCCGGATTTAATATCAATCATTAAGGAGTTTAGCAAGACTCAAGAGCACACTTCAATGATTTTGGATTGTGAAGCTGTGGCATGGGACAGAGTCAATAAGAAAATTTTGCCTTTTCAAGTTTTATCCACTAGGAAAAGGAAAGATGTCAACGAAAAGGATATTACAGTGCATATTTGCCTTTTTGCATTTGATCTATTACTCTACAACAATGACTCATTGATAACCAAGTCTCTTCAACAAAGAAGAGAGATTATGTTCAAACATTTGAAGCCAATTGAAGGCAAATTTCAATTTGCAACAGCGAAGGACTCTGCATCGTTAGAGGTCTTGCAGCAATTCTTGGAACAAAGTGTTAAAGACTCCTGCGAAGGTTTGATGGTGAAGATGTTGGAAGGTACTGAATCGTATTATGAACCATCAAAGAGATCTCGAAATTGGTTGAAATTAAAAAAGGACTATCTTGAAGGGGTTGGTGACTCACTAGACCTTGTAGTTATTGGAGCATACAATGGCCGAGGGAAAAGAACTGGAACATATGGTGGCTTTCTATTAGCTTCTTATAACCAAGACACAGGTGACTTAGAAACCACATGCAAAATAGGTACAGGATTTAGTGATGAGGATTTAACAAATCTATACCAGAAACTACACCCCACCGAGATCCCCAAACCCAAGGAATATTTTGTTTACGATAAAGCGAATTCAAATGCGGTACCAGATGTATGGTTTGATCCAAGTATGTTATTTGAAGTATTGACTGCGGATTTGTCGCTCAGTCCTATTTACAAAGCTGCTCATTCCGAATATGGGAAGGGGATCTCTTTGAGATTCCCTCGTTTTATCCGTGTACGTGACGACAAAAGCATAGAGGACGCTACTAGCTCTTCTGAAGTGAGTGAGTTCTACCAACGTCAAGCACATCTACTGTAAAAAAAAAAATAGAAAAAAAAAAAAGGAAAGAGGAGACCATTTTTATCCTTGTTTCTTTTTATCAGATATAATACAATTTACCTCCCCCTTCTCCCTTCCCCCTTCTCCCTTCTCCATTATCGTGGTGTTATCTCTTCGTCTACCTTCAAATACTTACATCCCAAATACTTTGAGGACCCCTTTCTTCATACATGTCGCTTGCAACAAACAATTCCTTATTATGATGATGAGATCCTCCCGAGAAAATCTGCTTTGCATATATCTCTCCACCTAGGAAATACAAATCTTGCCACGATCCTCCTAAAGTTTTTGGCTTTTTCCACTCAGGGAAATAATCTGGTAGTTTTGCTAGCCTTATACTATTAGGTACTTGGCTCAAAGTCAGTCCTGCTCCATCGTCTAGATTTGGCTCATTTAGTTGTTGATATTTGATTATAGCAGGATTTACAATGGGGTCAGAAACTCCGTTGGTTTCAGTTGGTGGCTCTGTTACCAAATACTCTGTAATTAATTTTGCAATAATTTTTTGTTTCAATCCTGGAATTTGGAAAACGGAACCAACAAGAATGATATTGTCATAACAATCTTGTCTCTTGTCGAGGTCATTGATTTTCAAAAGCGAGTCAAATATAGCCAGTGAGATAGTACCAATGAGTTTTGACGATGTAAAAAATCTTTCTTTACCTACAACAACTCTTTCTTGCGTATTGGAGTCAATGAAAAAATTCTTCTCTAGCTCCTTATTTTTCCTAATTTTGCTGGTCACGTCAGGATCTTCATTTCCATCATCATTTGCAACAATCTTTGCCACGTCGAATTCGCCTTCATCTTCATTGGTATCGTTTTGAACTTGAATGCTCTCCTCACCTTCCTGTAAAAATTCAAAAATCCCACTATACTTCAAGTCATCTATCTGACTTTCACTCAAATCAGGTCTCTTTTCTTTAATCTCCTCGTCCAAAACTTTTCCTCCCACGCCTTTAATGTAGACTCCTGCGTACTTTATTGTTTGGTACCCAATGACTGGAGCTACTTGTATATTATTGTCACCAACATGAACAACTGTAGCGTTTACCGTTCCACCACCAATACCAAAAATGGAAGCGAGGCTTAAATCCAAAATATTAAATGCGGTGATTTCTAATTTCTCAAAAACAAATTTCGTTATGTACTCTATTTGACGTTTAGACCATGTCAAACTAGGGACAATGATCAATACCGGGATCTGATTGATGGTTACTGGATGTTGTTTTATGATACTGGATAGAATAATTTGTAGCAAAGCATTAAATGCATCGAGATCAGTAATCTTTGAGTCTTGAATGGGCTGAATTGGGAGGCAATTATCTGCTGAAGACGACAAATATTCCTTGGTAGTGGAGTTTTGATAAACAATTGATGGAATCCTAAATTGTGGAGGTGATAACGAGTCCTTTATCCCAAACGAAAATAGCATATGATCCGACCCTGGATATATTATTAAAAAATGGTTTTCCTTGTACAAGGGCATGTTTTTAGCAAACTTGGTTTGATGTATATAAAATATTTGGTCTGAGTAGGTTGGTGTAAATGATTTTAGTCTTGATGATGTTTTTCGTTTGGAAAGAAAGAAAGAAAAAAAAAAATGAAAAATGAAAAATGAAAAATGAAAAATTGAAACTTGAGAAATGAAAATGAAGAAATGGAGGAATCAAGTTGCTAGCGTGGATTATTTCATAGAGGAATCTAACCCACAGTATTGCGTCCCTCTCCTTCTTTTATTAGCGACCTACATTGGCTACAAACTTTTTATAATTCGCTCTTGTTCCCAAGATGGACTCTTGTCTTGTAACTGTGGTTGCACCGTCACTTTCGTATCCATCTAAGTGGGTGAGTGAATCGACCAATTTTACTTCATTTATCAAAGGTAGTTCCTCTGACTGTGCAGGTAATATAGGCAATTGTTTTAGAGAAGCAACAGCAGCAGCAATATTAGGAGCTGATCCCAATCCCAATCCCGATTCTGCCCCCGATCCACCTGAATCTACTGGACCGTTTTTATACCGTTTCGGAAAACCTTCACTTGAAGCAGTCTTCGGCAGTCGCTGTTTGCTATTAACTCGCATCTGCTGCTGCAGCATTTGCGTTGGTTCTGTATTTAATCTCCTCAATGCAGGCACATCACGCACATCATGCGAATGCGAATGCGAATGCGAAGAAGAAGAAGAAGAGGTGCTGGGCCGTGTAAACAATTTAGGGACATTGCCAAAACGTTCCTGTTTGTGTGCGATTTTGGTTGTATATGGGGCTGAAAAGGGCCGTTCGTATCTATAAGGAGTCACTCTGATAGTTGACAGCCTGCGTTTAGGTTGAGGTAACTCGTGCTTGGTAGCGCCAGTAACCTCGGTATGCTTTTCATCCTCTTTAGCTACTTGTTCTTCTTGTTCTTCTTCTTCTTCTGCGTGCTTGTTGCTTACATCTGTTCCGGCAGCACTATAACTTTTAGTTATCTCCGTGTCCTCACCAGCAACAGAACTTTCGAATTTTGCGATATTAAGTTTTGTTTGTAAGAATGTTAATATTTGATCAACAAATTTAATGTCCTTTTGCTTCATCCAATCAAAATGTAGCGCTGCCAGAATTATTATACCTAGTATTACTCCAAGAACAAGACATATCACAACCAACCCAACTATAAGTGATGTTAGTTGCTTTTTGTAAGTAATTGCGATTGCAGTAGATATTACACCTACTAGAAAGCTCAGTGGATGAAACCTCGTAGCCTCCTGCCCGGCGTCTTTGAGATGGGTCATAAACGTTAAAAACTTTGATTTTTTTTTTATAGGTTTTGGTGTTGTTTCAGCCTCTTTATCCTTTTTATCTGGAGACTTTGTTTCAGTTGTCGTTGTCGTTGGGGTTGTTGTTGTTGTTGTTGCTGAAGGTGACTGTGTTGATGAAGATATCAAGTTTTTCGAAGATGTGTTATGTACTGTTGGTTTGATTTTTTTTGTTTTTTGTTTCACTTCAGTTTGATCTTTATCATTCGGCTTTTTACTGATATTAGTCAGTGAGATTGTTTCTGCTGTTCCCGATTTAGCCTTTTCAATTTCAGGCGGCAGAGGGTCCTTTTCAACAATTGTATAGGAACAGTCCATCAACTCATTTAGATAGTCGTCGACTTTTGTCTTCTGTTCCAATAATTCAGTACTTGTTGTAGATACATTATCAGAATTATCGTCTATTTTTTTCAATCTGAATACTCCATCCGAGTCCTGTTTGTAGATCAATTTCTTTTTCTTTTTTGTAGTAGTAATTGCCATTTCTTCACCTTTGTCATTTGGATTTGTATCTACATGAGACCGATATGAGCCATATATAGAGGTTGGTGGTAGATGGGTAAGAAAAGAGGAGGGGAGGGAGGAGGGGGGGGGGGGGAAGGGGGGGGGGGGGGGGGGGGGGGGGGGGGAAAGAGGAGGAAGAGGGAGAGAGAGATGTGCGTTAGGGATCATACAGGTCTTTTATATAAACGGACATATACATTTTTTACGTTTCTTAGAACTAATTAATCAAGTGTGTACCCAATGTGTAGTGAAAGAAGTTTAATTTTATGTAACTCTAATGAAAATCCTGTAACTTGTATTTTTTACAAAAAGGAAAATCGAAAAAGAAAGGATAAACGACCCTCCTACTATTACCGAGCCCAAATATGGTAACTTAAAATTAGACTAAGGGAAGAGAAGGGGGAATATGTCCAAAATTAAGCTCTCTCAGAAAATTCAATTATATTCAAGTGGGTTATCTCAACACAATAATTGTTTTTGTCTTCTTTTTTTTTTGTTTCTTTTTGCTGTCTTTTTTTGACCTTATTGCCTTACGAAATGTCTGATCAAGAAAGTGGGACCGGGTTTGTTATAAAAGGTGTGTTTCACCTGATTCTAATGTCAAGTGAGCGCCTATTAGGCAAAGAAAATTTAATCGTAACTTGCAATATAGCACGAAATTGACTTGTCTAATATTAGACGGTGTAACTGTACTATCTAATATACATATATACATATTATGATATATAGTGTATAATAATATATATGTTGCATCCTTTTTTATGTATAGTATTGTGTTTTGTTTTGTTGTGTTGTGTTGTGTCGTGTTGTGTTGTGTTGTGCTGTGTTGTGTTGTGTTGTATATAGGTCGACAGACTAAATTACATTAGTCAACATGTGAATTGTGTCCATGTCAACACCCATCATACGAAAGTCACGGGAGCGCTTTTGATCTAGTACCTAACATAGAAAGGGACAAAACTTTTTTAGACATACTTGCGTTAGTTGTAATTACGTTGGGTGCATTGAATGACCTTTCAATATATGAGTATAGCGTGCCAGTGTTTGATAGGATATATCCTCTTCTAATTTTTTTTCCCTAATTACAACACGCCCCTTAAAGCACATGGCGTTTAAATGAGCGACGGGGAGATAAGTGATGAAAAATGAGAGATGAGATACTAGATAAATCGAACGATTCAATTCATACTATCAAGATACCAGTGATTACAAAACTGAGTCAATTACAATAAACAAGGATAGCCTTTACAAATCATTCAAATCTCTACTCTCTTGAATGATTTGTGAAGAGGGGGGAAGAATTGGGTGTTTTTTTCAACCATTTACCGTGAGAGCGAAAAAGTAAAAACAATTCACAACCGATGAAAGCTGGTGAGACAAAAAAAGATCAGTCTGGATCCCCCCCTCTCTCTCTCTCTCTCCATCCTCCGTCCTCCTAACCTGAGCGAAGCCCTCAACTTTTAAATCTCAATGAGAGGAGGGAGGGGGGAAGGTTCATGATAAAGGAAAGAACAATAATCAATAATATGGTAAGTACTATGGTAATTTGTGAACAAGCAAGTACCTAGATTTCCCAAACGAGTAAATCATTGGTATCACCACAAAAATACACGAAGAATATTTTCTTATTTTTTGTTTTTGTTTTTGTTGATGGTTTATTAATGTTACATGAGAATATATTATTACAAATAAGAAACCTAACCTATTATCTTACCTCTCTTTTTCTGAGCTTCTCAGTAAAAGTTTTACCTGTTTGGTTTCTTGTCTCTCTTTATACACAACCTCCCTCTCTACCCTCGTTTATAGCCAATTCTGTCCTCTCAATCTCCTGGCTAGCTGTATATCTTTCTGCATAATTGTAACTCGTTTAGCATGAATAGCACAAAGATTAGTGTCTTCCAATAGATGTATTAAATACCCTTCGGCAGCCTCTTGTAAGGCTAATATGGCATTCAGCTGCCATCTCAATCCATAACTCGGTCCCACATATTCCAAGGAAATCTCTTTAACTAATCTTGCAAAGGGTAATTTCCGAAGTAATAGATCGGTCGATTTTTGGTATTGTCGTATTTCCCGAAGAGCTAGTGTCCCAGGTCTATACCTTTTTTTGACTCTTGGTGCAGTTCGTTTACGTGCTTGCGCTTGTTGTTGGCGAAGACTGGAGGTTGAAGTCGTTGTTGGTTGTGCGTGCCGGCTTAATGATGATAAAGCAGATGGTCTTTCCTCTGGTCGGCTTCTTGATTCTGCTCTAGCTGTGGTAATGGAGCTAACACCCGGAAGAGTCTTGCGACCTGTTGTCCCACCACTACCAGCAGCAGCAGTAGTAGTAGTAGTAGGAGGAGGAGGAGGAGGAGGAGAAGGTCCAGTTGCTCTTGAGCTTGTCGCGGGTTGCGATGGTCTAGTTGTTGATGTAAAGGGTTGCGGCGGTTGTGGTGGAGATCTAGATGTAGCCTGTCTTCTTACCTCTGTTGCAGAGGTGGATTCAGCTACAAGACCAGCTCGCAAATTAACTTCGTCAACTCTTCTTATTGCAGTGGCTGAGGACACAAATCTCGGAGACTGTCCTGATCTCTCAGCAGGAGATGGCCGGCCCGAAGGTATTAGAGATTCTTCTATACCACCTCGTCGCTGCACTTGTTGAGGCGAGACATTCCTACCGGTACCTAGTGGTTGCTGCTGCTGCTGCTGCTGCTGCTGTTGTTGTTGTTGTTGTTGTTGTTGCCTCCGCCTCTCTTGATATTGACGTCGAATTGCTTCTCTTTGTCGTCTTAACTCGTCCCGTTGTCTCTCCTGTGCTGTTCGAGCGGGATCAGCTGGTGGATGAGCTGGATTTGCTTGATTAGTTGGTGTTTCTGATAGTCGAGCCATTTCCATATATTATCGAATCTTATATAATTGCCACAACTTTAATTGAACTCTCAAAGTTTGTTGCACCACCTCCTTTCCTGAAATAAGATTAGTGCGTGATGATGGTTTTTATCAAGTGATTTGGTGAAAAAATGATGGAAAGTTTGAAAGGAAAAAAAAAAAAAAAAGATTGTTGATCCATTTAGCCAGCCATTTTCAGAAAAGTTACGAGTTGCAGAGATTTGTTTAACAAAAGAAAAAGAATGAATTGGCGGTGGTGCCAGACTCCCTATGTCAATACTGTTACTTGGAGTTGAAGGGGGGGGGGGGGGGGGGGGGGGGGGGGGCAATGATGAGCAGGGATATTGGGTTTGCAGGAATTAACTCAATACATGAATAGAATTTGATTTGTCAATAATGAGTTATTTGACCCTAGAGAAGTTTTTCCTGCTTATCTACGCGTTTACCTTCTTATCTTTCCTTAAACTCTTACGAGGAAAGCCATTCATTTTTCTGGCTCCAGGATCATTTGACAAAAAGTCATCTACTATCTAACCGAGTCAAACCCTCATTCCACTAAACCAATCTCGACTTTTTCTCTATTTTGACGTCAATTACATCCTTTACACCCTGCCCCCTTCAAATTGGGAACAGTAAACAAGAAGAAAAAATGTTTAATTTGAAGGATTATGCGCTTTCTAAAATCTTATACTTTGTAAAAATGTAATTTTTACCTAATTTGTAAAATTATATCCCAAAATGGTTAAATGGAAAATAAACGCTAACCGCACACAAAAAGCTACACATTATACAGTACCTTGTTCCATGTTAGGATCGACGAAATTAACTTTGTCGTTGTAAATGATTTAACTTCATCTGGCCTTGAACAGGAGTTGAAATTATTCTATATAACTTACCACTAGAGACAAATTAAAATTATACACTGGTTGATTGTCAAAGGAGTGATTTTTGGGGCTCGAGTCAAAAATGACGCTTCGACCTTTGGTTTATCAATGATATTAAAGTGTAGGGGAAAAGAAAGAGTACTTGCTTCTATACACACGCATCTTATTTTCAAATTTCTTTTTCTTTCTTCTGTCTATATGAGGGTTTCTCATGCCACTTAATAAATCCTACTCCGAAATACCTGTGTAGTATTGTTAAATGGACCACATTTCGAAAAACATATGTCAATTGTATTGAACCAAAGTTGCTCTTTAAGTTTGCTATTTATTGCTACCATATGTCATATTTTTTTTCTTCTTCTCCCCCCCCTCCCCCAAACTAACTAACTATTCATGAACTTGTCATTCAGAGAACCAATAAGGGAGAGAATTTTAGTCGCAATTCAGCAAAGTTGGTTTATGAAAAGCTAATTGTAGAATTTTTACAAGTGTAATTTTGATAAGTTGCTACAGTTGGTTTTTGTAGTTGAAGCCACCACTATACCCCCTTCGTCTACCTTCTATAGTTTCATGGCAGAGTGCACGGAACTATACAATATTTTCTACCCATCAAATCTGTTATATATCATCTGTTCATAGTTCTCTGCTCTCTCGCACAACACACACTTTCCAAGCAAGCTAAATCCGCTTATCAGAAGGGCAATTCTCCCCAATTCTTCTTCTTCTTCTTATTTTCTTTTTTCTTTTTTGTGCTTCCTTCTTTAAAAAAAATCGACATTTTAAACTAATCACTATTATTTCATTTTTATAGAAATATAAACGCTCATTTAAATTCTTTGAAATTTAGGTCATTAAAGCTCATTTTCTTCTTTCCCCATCAAGAACCTACAAATATATTTCCTTTTCTTTTTTTGACACTAAAGAAGATTATACAATTTGAGTGTGTATAAAGAAGATTATACAATTTGAGTGTGTATAAAGAAGATCATTCAATTTGAGTGTGTATAAAGAAAAGCCAAGAAGGATAAGGTTTGGATAACTTGACATTTGATCTTTTTTATTTTTTTTTTCCCTTTGTTTCTTTCTGACTTGAGTCTTCTTTTATCCAAGTCATGTCTCATCCGGCTTACCAAACTGCTGGCAGACCATTGTCAAAGGAGGCCCTATACCATCAAAGATTAAGACAGGGCATTTTCCAATCACCTAGTGGAGCAATTGTAGGTGTTAACAGCAATGCGTCAGATACTGCTGCGTTATTAGCAGCTTCCTCGGACTTGACTGTCAAGCCATCATATGAGCGTTCAATTGCTCCAGAAGCTCAAAATGCAGCTTTAGCAGCTAAAAAGCAAGAAATCAATTCTTGGAAGAGGCAGCACCACGCGCCCGATGCTCAGGACGCAGCCACCGCATCAAGCTCAAGAGGGCACTCTTTGAGTAGTAGTAGTCAACATACGGCTAATGATTCGTCTTACACCATAGTACGCGTAGGAATTCCATCAGCCTTAGACCTGGCCTCCATCTATAAAGCCGCGGAAGCAAGATCGGCAGGTACAATGTCCTCAAGAATCGATCCTATAAGAGATGTTAAAAGGAGCGGAATCCAATCGAAACAAACAGCATCGCCATTAAATATCGATAAGATTAACAAACTAGCAACCAAGAATTCCTCAAAATCTTTAAATTCAAGATTCAACCCAGATTTGGATTACAGATCGGGCTTGAAGAAACAAAAGCCCACGGAGTTTTTAGATCAATCGGAAGAAGATTTGGCCGCAGAAAGTGCTGATGCTGCTTTAACACAGCCTATTCAAGTTCCTGATTATGCTACCCAAACTAGATCAAGCACTATGAAAACCGCCAAAGAGATTGTCACCCCGAGTTTGTTGGCAGCAGCAGCAGCAAGAGCAAATGAACGTTTGAGCTCTATGAATGCCAATACTCCCGAATCTTTCAAGCAGCAAGCTCAATTGTATGCCAATGCATTGGCAATTGCCCAGCAAAAGAGCGATGAAAGACTGAAAAACAGACAATCCGGTGTTATCAACTTGGGTGGTGGTTTAACAATCACCATTGCTGAGTTAGACAAGTTGGCAGCTACTTATGTCAAGCCCGTACTTAATGATATTGAAACCAAAGCTGACTCAAAAAGACAAATCGAAGCTGAAAAGAAGCAAAGAAAGTTGGAATTGAAGGCTGCACATCAAAAGGCTAAGCAAGATGAACATGCAGCCAAAATCAAAGAAAAGGAGGATATTGCAAAAGCAAAAGAACAAAGAGTGTTAGAGAATGAAAATTTGAAAAAAGCTGAAGCTGAGAAATTAACAGCTCATGAACAATCAAGAAATAAAGAAGTTGAAGCAAAACAAAAAGAGTATGAGGAATTGGAAAAGAAACATGCTGAAGAGAAGAAGCAACTTCTTGCCGAGAAGAAGGAGAATCAGGATGGTATTGATGAGGAAGAATCGGCCAAAAAGGAAGAGAGAAATAAAGAGTTGAAGGGGTTGCAAGAAGAAAAGGATGAGATTTTGAAGCCTACTTTGGATGAGTTGGAGGAAGAGAATGCTAAATTAAAAGAAGTCACCGGTGAAAGAGATGCATTAGTTAAGGAAGTAGAGGCTGCCGAGAATCAAAAGAAAGAATATGATTCCAAACTCGAGGAGTTGAAGTCAAAAATCGAAAAAACCGAAAAGGACATTGAAAAGTACACTACTGATCTCGAGGAGGCAACTACTAAGCACGAAACTACAGATAAGGAACTTTCTGATCTCAAGAATAAGCATGATGAAACCAAACTTAATACAGAGAAGGAGCACAAGGACTTGGATTCTAAGATTGAAGAGTTGGAAAAAGAAAAGAAGGAGAAAACAGAGGAGAAGGCAGCAAAGAAAAAAACAATAATAGCAGCTCTCGACAACAAAGTTAGAGATGAACACAAAATTAACCAAGAGTTACCTCCACATTTAAAGCGTGAAATCAACGAGGACAAGATAAGAGACACGAGCTCTTTATTTTCGGAGGAGGAAACAAAGCCCAAGGTTACTTCCCCAGTCACTGAATCCTCAAAGTCTAAAGCAGCCACATCAACAGCGACACCCAAAGCGGATGAAAAAGAAGGCTCTGAGACCAAAGTTGCAAAAGAAAAGTCTACTTCTTCCAAGCCAGTTACGAGAGACGTTGTAGAAGGAAAAGAAATAAAAACTGTTCCGATAACTGCAGAAGTCAAGGATGAGAATAAAAAGAAGGGAGTCAAACCTGTTGCAGCATCTTCTACTGCCACCACTAGCGGTGCAAATGCTAATTTGTCACCTCAAAAGAGATCAGTGGCGTCGAATGCGCCAGAGTCCCCAACCAAGAAATCAGTTCCCTTTTCCAAAAGGTTTAGCAATTTCTTCAAAGACCAAACAAAAGCCTCGCAACCAGCTCATCATACAGCAAAACCTACTTGGAATAAATCTACCTCTACTAAACCTGCAGCCACTGGAACAACATCAGCAACAAAGAAGGAGGAAGCAAAAAGCTCGGACAAGAAAACAGAGAAGGCTGCCACCACTACAACAGCAGTGAAGAAGCCAGAAACCAAGACTAAGCAGCCTACTACTTCCAACACACCGGTATCAAAGGATTCAGTGAAAAAAGAGAATAAACCCGCCACGGCTACTAAGGATTCCGATGATTATGGTGATTTTGATGACGAAGATGAAGATGAGGATCTTATTTCGGATAAGAATGGAAACAAAGGAGGTTTGTTCAAGGAAGAAATTTTGTAAAATATTCAACAAATGGGAAGCCCAAGGGAAAGCCCAAGGGGAAGCTCAAGGGGAAGGTGAGGGAGGATTTGCTTTGTTTATCAAAAAAAAAAGAAAAATTGCGTTTTTTTTTTGCTATCACACTTTAATTATTTTTATGTATACGTTCGTAAATTGTTTTGTTCCTTTCTATTTTTTTATTTTTCAAATTTAATTTGCATTACGTGATTGGTATAAGAGGTTGAATTCTACTTGTAGACTCGTTTTTTAGTCCCAGGGGGGAAGAGAGAGAGAGAGAGAGAGAGAGAGAGAAGAGAAGAGGAAATGTCTTGTTTTCACGTATTGTTAAATGATTCTCTATAATAACTTGAGTCAGTTCTTTGTTTTATTTACCTTCTCTTCTTATTCGCTCCATCTCCACCAGAGTTTAGCTTTCTCTTTTTACCTTCTTTTGCAAAATAGTCCTTCTTACGTTCACTTTCCTTCTCTTTTCTAAATTCTTCTATTTTGGCAATCTTTTTCAATTTGTCCTTGAATTTTTCCACCTTTTTGGCTTTCCTCTTGGTATCCTTTTCCTTCCTGATCGTTGAAATCTTTTGCATCAAGTCTCTAGCTTTCTTCTCTTCACCTCCTAATACAACTGCTCTTTTACTCATATAAGTTTGTTTCTTTTGTGGTTTCATCTCGTGAATTTGTGACTTGAATGGCAATTCACTTTTGATTGATTTTGGAACTCTAAGAGGGTTGAATCTCCTTTCGACTCTTTCAATCTTTTTATACTGAGAATCGTCTTGTAAAGGAGTCAAGATATTATTCTCTGCTCGAACTTGTCCGGTTAATCTCATACCTTTCCAATCGGAATGGCGGCTCAATAATAAGGACGTCACTGGGTTGTAGAACTTCTTAATCTTTATAGGGTACCATGTTTTCAAAAATATCGTATCTGACATTAATACCTTATCCTCAAAAGTTGCTCTAAAGCACCCATCTGGCTTCGATAATGCACGTTTAATTTCACCTCTGATCCCACTAACTGTTCTTATCTGAGCTCCCTCAAACTTAGCCACCTCCAACGCATTTGAAAACATATCCTTGACAAATGCTGTATTCCTGTATATTTTGTAAGGATAGCCAACCAACTTTAACTTTTTAACAATTTCAACAGACGAGTTTATGTCTTCAACAATACCGGTAGCTGCTACTCTAAAGGCCCCTGTGGTGGACTCATTATCAACCATATTAAATCCCACAAAAGTGGTGTTGGGCGCAACAAGAGGGCCATAAAACGACGCAAAACAATAAGCATGTTCTGGGGTATACTTCAACATTCTATTCCTTGCTCGCGAATCCGATGTGGTATATATTGGTAAGGTTTGGAATCTACGCCATCCCAACGACAATATCAAAGGGTCTTGTGACTTTAATATCTTTTTGTACCACCTGTGTCTCCTAATTCTCGTATTCATTATTCCAAATCTAGATTCGGTTGCTAACAATCCACCAAGTACGAGTGGGTACTCAGGTGCAAACGTTTCCACAAACTCACAAGGCAAGGAGTCAAAGACAATCTTGACATATGACCCCGCTTTGTAGCCCTCTATCTTGATACGTTGCTGTTCATCCATTTCTTCGTATTGCGCTTTATTTATCTCCAATTGCTTTGCCATTTTGTTTTTTTGAAATTCGTACCAGGTTTCGGCTTCTGTATCTCCTTCAGGATCATCAGCACCAAACTCTCGGTCTTCCTCTTCTTCAAATTGTGTTTTGAATTGTGCCTTCTTCTCGGCGTTCAATCTACGTCTTTCTTCAAGGGTCATGTCTTCTTCTTCTTCTTCTTCTTCTTCTGTCTCGTTATTTTCTCGATTCTCCTCTGCTTCAAAATCAGCAAAATCATCCTCATCTTCATTCAATTTATTTCCACTTTCCAAATCCTCTTCTTTAGAGTTGTCGCCTTGGTTCTCCTCCTCCAAGTCTTCAAAATCTCCATATATCTCCTCGTCATTGTCCTCATCTTCTCCTACATTCTTTGTATTGCCCTCATCATCATCATCATTATCATCATCGTTATTATTATTATTATTCAACTTAGGTGCTGAAAATAATCTTTTCTTAAGTACCTCATACCCATTTTCATATTCCTCGTCACTATCCTCATTTTCATTAAACCTTTTCTTCAACTCCTGAAGCAGCGGGAAAGTGGGTTTTAGATTGTCCAAATCGGCGCTTGTGTCTTTGGTGTCTTTCTTTTTGAAAAAATCTTCATCGTCTTGCTCAATATCTTCTTCTACCTCTTCATTCAACGATTCACCTCTCCATCTTCTAAGTGCATCTGCTGGATCTATATTTGTCATATAAATCAATTTGTTGATATTCCATTTTTGAGAGGACCCTCTTAGTTTAGCTGCAGTTGCCTTATATGATATACTCCGATCTTCGTCATCATTATCATCATCATCGGACGAAAGGGCAGAGTCCTCGACATACTCAAATTCTTTCTGATTTTTACTATCATTTTCATCAAAATCAATTTCAACTAATCGTGATGATGATTCTCCATTTTCACCATCAGATACGTCTTCCTCCTCTTCATCGCTAAATTCCATGTCATCAAATTCATCATCTTCAGCAATCGATTTCCCGTAAACCCGAGCATTTCTCAAAGTCTTTCTACCGGTGCTAACAATAACCTCTTCTTCATCGCCAGACAAAAGACCTTCCTCTTCTTCCTCTTCTTCCTCTCCTTCCTCATTGCCATTAAGAGTCTTCAAAGCATTTGAATTTGAAAATAACTGCAAACCAGGTCCTTCCTCAAATCTTTCACTCATTGTTTTGACTACACTTTGTAAATTGGTAACCATTGTCTCACCTTCCCCCTTAAATTCATCTTCAGCATTGGTTGCGGCATTGAAACTTTCTTTGTTACCGATGTCGATATATACAGCGTCTTTATCCACCAATACCCCACCAACGTCCGACATTGGCGCATAAATAATCTTTTGTTTGTCCTCCAATCTCTTTCTTCTCCTAGTTGTCTTGGCCAAAGGTTCACCCAGTTCTGCGGCCGCCTTGATTCGCTCCCTTTCCAATTCCTCTATTTTTTGTTCAAAGTATGGCGTTGGACATGGATCAGGTAGTTTTTCTACTGCAGATACCGTATAGTCTCCAACACCAGCTATATGTATATGTGCATCTGTTGAAGGTAAAGGGGTTCCATGCAAATATCCGTAGACTGCCACTTTTCGATCACAGCGAGGATTCTCAGCAATTAACTGAGGATGAGTCAAGTCTGTTATACGATCACCGAGTAAATAAGGATGCTCATTTCTCCATTTCAAAGGTCTAAACTTCATAACCGATATAAATCGACTCAAGTTCAAAATTTCTCGATCTGGGTAACGGCCATTAATAACACCAGAAAGATAAAACAATTTTGCTCCTTGGTAAACTTCTGTCCAAAACCTATGTTTCAACCTTTTCTTGGATGTTCTTAAGGTAGACTGAGATTTAAAGAGATCCAAATGTGTAGCAACTCCAAGGACTCTGGGCATACCGTGATGTTGAGCAATATTCAAAAACTCCATCGTCTCCATCTCCAATCCGTAATTTCCATCAATCAACATCAATACCAAATCCGCTACTTTTGCCATATCGATCATTGAATTTAGATCATTGTTGACTTCAATAAACGTCAACCTTCTCCTTTTCCCACTCACAACGGTGATAGGACCTTTGATTTCTGTTAATGTTGTCTTTGTCAATCTCCTAATGAGCGACTTTATCAATGTGGATTTGCCGGTCCCCGGAGGGCCAACAACTGCAACTATAACTGGCGGCGGATCATCTTCTGGAGTACGGTCGACCATAGGCACATGTAGTTTCCTCTCATTGACATCATGAGACCGTCTCGCCATTCGCTCTAACTTTCTTGGAGCAGATACAGCAAAAGCCTTAGCATTGTTCCCATTTTGGTGTAGCTTTTTCTTTGCACCTGTCTTTTTAGTGGCTCCCCTATGAGCCTTGTTGGACTGCTGTTGGTCCATCTATCAAACCCGTGTGTGTGACTTGACCCAGTTCCTAGACAAGATGGGTTCTTCTAGGTTGATTGTAATAGTAAAAGAGGGTTAAGCTAATATTTTCCACCTCATCTCTCATCTCAAAATTTAAGTAATAAATTATGTAATCGAAAATTTTCACTTTTTTTTTTTTTTTTTTTTTTTTTTCTTGAGTTTTTTCAACCCCCCCAAAAACAATTAAAAGAGAAGGAAAAAAAAATGAGTTTGTATATATTAGCACTTTGTATTAACCAGTAAGAAGGACTAGACTCAATTAAGAAATGAAATACTTTCTTAACCTAATTATAGTATTCCTTCTATTTACTGAAAAGGTTTGGTCCAGGTGGTTTTTCAATCAGCATAAGATATGCAATCCAAATCCCAATTCTTTGGTACCATTCACAGGGTTCAAGATCATTCGACAATACAAAATCTCCGGTTATATAAAGCCAGTATCGATGCATTTCATAACTATATCACATTGTAACCACGGAAAAGTAGACTACCAAAAAGTTATTAGAACAGATTCAAGCGGTCACGTGGACTGGGATAAACCATTTTGTATGTTAAAACCCAAGTTGGGGGAGAAGTTATTAACCAGAAACCCAGCTTCAGCTGCAGCTACAGCTACAGCTACAGCTACAACTACTACAAACACTAATTTGAAAAATGACGAGGTAACCACAAATAAAAATAACAATAATAATGAGGCTCATTTGTCTACTAGTACAGATGACGACGATTCGGACTTTTTTGGAATTTTTGGATTTGTAATGACAAAATCTAAAAAAGTGAATAATTTGCTCCGCAAGAAATTCGATATAATGTTGGAGAAATTAACAAATGGCAAATGGGTAGAGTATATCGGGAAAAAGAAATACAACCATTACCAAAAATTGCTTAGTGGCGGCAATCCCCAAGAATCACTCAATTGGGAAAGCAGTAATTTGGTGTGTTATAAAATGGCTCGAAGAAAGAAATATGCTAGACGCAAAGTTTCCTTTTACATGCCCTATACATTTGTTGGAGCATTATATGAATGTTTGCTCCCTCTCGAAACAAAACATGAGATATTCCAGCAGTTTTTCCATAATAACGACGAGAATTCAAATTTCATGATTCAGGATTTTCAATTCACCTGTGATTCTCACTTATCAAGGCCAATTTCCCCCTTGATAGCTGAAGATTCAACAACACAGTGGTTCGAAAACAAGCTACACAATATCTTTAATCCAGGGATAATACAAACTATCCCATACTTGACAACCTCAACACCTTTGGATTTGAGGTTTAGTACATCTGAAACAAGCGACATGTACCGAGACTCTTGGGCAACAAAAATCGATGTGAATGAGATGTATTCATACGATGAAGCCGATTTACACTTGATTAGCAAAGCCGTTGCATATCTGGCAGATCTCTTGAATAAATTGATAGCCCCGATTGATTTTAATGAATTGTTGAAAAGCTACAACAGGGCAGACGATAAAGAAAAAGAGTATGATGAAGAAGAGATGGTGCAGATGGAAAAGTTTAATGTATCTAGTGCTCTATCAGAAGATCAAAAGTATAACATCTGGTTTGCTTCTGGTAATCATAGTGTTGTGAATGGAGTATTTGAGAAAATCGAGTCCCAATGGGATAAACTTGATCAAGATGATTTAGTAGAGTAATAGACGGAATGAGTTAGTACCCTTTTTCTTTTTATTTGTAGAAACAAACTTTGTTGTCTGGTTTTAGAGATATCTGCCTCAAGAAGGGGCGCTGGGCGCTGGGCGGTGCTGGTAATCTCAATTCAAAGTGAGGAAAAATAAAGTTGCAAAAAAAAAAAAATATATATATATATATAATTTCTGGCTGCAAAAAAGCATTACATTGAATCTTGGGAATTAACTGATTAGTATGGTGGTACCACATCCTAGTAACTGGCATATCAAAAAAAAAAAAAAAAAAAAAAAAAAAAAACCCCACACTGCAACACTGGGGATGGACTACTCACGATAGCACACTTGAGATGTGAAATATCCCAGTTTTGGAAAACCACGAGTACGCACTCATTCGGCAATAGTTTAAAAATTGTGCGTTTCACTCTGGAATATTTAAAAAAAAAAACGGTACTACAACACTGGAGACGCTTAATGGAACGTTGTGTGAGGGTATTCAACTTTGGGGAGTTCAGATGAAACACTGGGGATATACGCTGTCCTTTGTATTTCAAATTTACGAAAACAGGGCCGAGGTATGTGAATATATTCCAGAATAGAGTGTAAGGGCTGATTATTAAAACATTTCATCCATACCAAAAACTTCGGATGGTTGGTGTGTAAGGTCAAAAATAATCATTCACGTGACTTTAGCTTTTAGCTTAGTGTTTGGATTGATCACTTGGAAAAAACAAGATAAAATGTATTGTAAAAATAAGTCTGTAAATCTTATAAAGTTTTACCTTATAAAAGTTTAAATTTAGTTCCCAAAGAGGTAAGTTTAACCCAAACAGCAATGTGTTCAAGCAAAGGAAAAAAAGGAACAAAAGAGGGACAAAAAAGACTGCCGATTTTACCGATTTTCAGATTTCAAATTTATGGCACAGAAAGGGTATAAAAGATCGGACTTACGGGTATCTTCTTTTTGGGAACTTTTTGGACACAAATTTTTCAAACAACCTAAAAAGAAAAATAAGGTGAATTTTGATATAAAATACGCACTTTTTTCCCGCACGCCATAGTAGGCAAAACCAGACCCTTACTGAAAAGTGGAATGAAGTGGCACTGAGATTTCCAAACACTATCTCATCTCACCTTCCCCTTCCCCTCAAAAAAAAAAAAAAAAAAAAAAAAAAGTTACTAAAAATCAAAACTAAATATAATATCTATACAATATTGATACGATGATTGTCTATAAATAATTAGGCAACATCCCCTTTCTTTCCTTAACAGTGTAAAACTGGAAAGTAATGAAAAAGACAAAGGAAGAAAAAAAACTAAAGGATAACTTGAACGTCTATGTCCATTCGGCACTTATTTTTTGTTGGTGTTTTCAATTCAATTTTTTTTTTTTCTAAAGAAAATCCTTAGTATTAGTAGGATTCTTACCAGATAATTCAGAAATGAAGCTTTCATTTCTTTTGTGTATTTGATTAGTCATGTTGGCATACCCGGGATTTTCTTCTTCTCCTCGATTGAAATGTGTTGGTCTTAGATATGGATTACTGTCATTGTTATTAGCATTACTTGTTGCATTTCTTAAATTAGTGGCTTCTCCCTTATCATCCTCAAAGTCCTCATCTTTGTAACCAGTATCTACTAAAGTATCGCTCATTCTAGTGTTTTTTCCATCATGTTCTTGTCCACTGTCCTTCTGTTGATTTTTTTCTCCCATTGTTAACCTATTCGCTATTACATTTTTCCATTTCGTGCCTAATGATTGCTTCCTTTTTGGCTCACAAGCACTCTTTTCAGTCGATGAAGATAACGAAGAAGAATCCATAATTTCCTTATTGTTGTCATTTCTATTTGGTGAGACAACATAGCCCTCTTGTAAAGGAGCGGGAATATCTGAATTGTCCTGAGATAGTTCATTCAATTTATACATTTGAGCTTCCCAATCCTGTGAGTGGTCTTGTGCTGCCATACTTAAAGCTGCCAATTCCTCAGCACCAGCGCCCATACTGGAATGGACAGGACCACTTTTCTCTTCATACATTTGATTCTTGTTTTTGTTCCGTATTGAAAATTTCCTTTGGAATGAAAATCTGTCATCTTTAGTAGGTGCAAATCTAGCATCTGGGTTTTTTGTAAATATTGAGAATAACATTAGTACAACAATCATAATTAAAAGGATTAATGAAAAAGCGGCATTCAAAATAAAGAAAATCCATCCCATAATTGAAGCTACGGGAGCTTTTTGACCAAATATATCTGAAAAAAATAAAAAGAGGAATGAGTTGATGGTGGAAACAACACTGATCATGTAATTGATGACATTTGTTAGATTGTTCAAATATGGTGCTTTCCAAATGAGGAATATGGTATAAAATAAATCAGCAATAAAAACTGGCCAAACAGAAACTTTGCCAGCTCCACCTTGACAAAATGCAATAAATACTACTTTGAAAACATTGTATCCTAGCAATACAGTTCCAAACCAATATTTGTCTGCGTGAAACATTGTATAGCAAAAACCCCATTTTTCTAAAACTTTGCTGTCTCCATACAATTTTGCGGCAGGATTTTTATAGTCTCTGGTTGATTGAATACCAACTCTTATTACATTAAAGAATGACCATCCCAAAACCGCAATTAACAAAATGAGGAATAAAACTGATAAAACAACCACTGCTGCTGAGTCAACTTGAGTGAATTCCCATAATGAAAACAAAATCAACTGAGTCGATGCAATGTAAATATACCTCAACAATGACCCCTTAACAACATTATGAAAACCAGCTCTAAAGATTGTAAAAATTCTTGGATTCATCTTTTTGGATCTTGTTAACAAAAACGCTATTGATTTGGAAAAGATTAGAATACCAACAAGTAAGTACCCGATTAACATTGTCCAAGTATAACCAGTTGCAACAATCGAGGTTGGTTCGATATGTGAATTAAAGCCAATTCTTTTAATACCCCTCAAGACAATTAAATTTGTATTTGATCTTAAACCAAAATCCAATGCTCTTTTACCCAACCCTTCAACATATTCCAAACTTCTTTTCCTTTTTTGAACCAAGATTTGCTTGGTAACACCCAAGAAATAAGTTGTTGGAGAACCACCAGTCAGTTGGATGTACCATCTAAAAATCTTTTGCATAAATTTAATTTCAATCAACCCCATTGACCAAGCCAAATTCTCTGACCAGGCACTAGCAATAGGAGGAACTCTTTCCACTGCTTGCATCGAAACAAGAACAACGCTTTGGAAATAAAGGAAAAGCGAAACTGCGTTTGCTGAGATGTGTGAAGCAGCATATGAGTTACCAAAAGTTGACAAAATTGCTGCAATTAGTAAACCCAACCCTGCAACCACAGCAGTAGCCCATTTGACACCAGTTTGACTAATGGTTTTCCCGTTGGTGAAACTCGATTGGATACAGGATACTTGCACACCGGTATCTTTATCCTTGACTACAACTTTAACAACAGCATCTATATCGGGAACTTGATACGCGATTCCTGGAATTTGCCTGGTATATTCACTACTAATGTATTGAACTGAGTCAACTTGCAAAGCTCCCGGATAAAGTGGACAAAACTGTTTCCAGCCAATACCGCACATATCAACATCTTTTTCAATAACAAGAAACCCATAAGCATAAACTTGTACGTGGGCTATAACATTTCCACTGATCTCAGTAGTTAAAGATAATGCGTATCTCAAAGAATTATCATCTGGGTTGAAGGTGACGTTGAAATATGTTGGGGAAATCTGGGAATTTTCCATACATGTTACTAGCGACGTTGCCGATAGTTTTCTTCTTGCCTCGATCTTGGTTATGAAAAGCGATAGGATTGTGGTGAGCAATAGGGTCAACCTATTATATAGCATTGTGTAGCTTGGTTATGGGACTTAAAAAAGAAAAAGAATAGGCTATATTTTATGTGAAAAGAATAGGCTATGTTTTATGTGAAAAGAATAGGCTATATTTTATGTGAAAAAAATATGTGGTCCTCTCTTCTTATGGGCTCTTATGGGGGGGAGGTTCCCTTTTGGTTTTAAGTGCGATAAAGCAAGAGATAACGGTGTTGAGATTTGGGTTGAGCACGATATGGGTATGGGAACCGAATAAGTTGTCACTTGTCTATATACTTGCTCTCACTTGTCTATCACTTGTTCCTACAATTTCTATTTCTCTCACACCTTCACTATAAGCTATTTTCTTAGCGAATGAACAATGCCTATTATTCTTACAAGGTTAAATTGAATGGCTATAAAAAAGCAAAGAGCGAAAAAGAAAATTCCTAAAAATAAAAAAAAAAAGAACCAGCAAGGCAGCGGTAATGACAGGAAAAAAAGAAAAGAGAGAAAGCAGTAAGTCAAGTTGAGACAATAACTGCTGGTCTTTAGTAATAACTGTATTTTTTTTCCCTCTCACCAAGGGGGGGGGGGGGAACAAGTGTGGGAAAAAGATGTAGTAAAAGGCGTGGGAAGAGGTGTGAGAAATGAAATCGGATATCTTACACTCCTGTGGGATTATTCTCCCCACCCCCCTTATCAAATGATCTCGGAAAAAAAGATTATTAATTGGCCAGAAAAAATAAAAAATTTTCCTAAACTTAAAAATACATCAAAGTAAATAATAGAAGGAATAGAGGAATAGAGGGAAGGGAATAGAGGGGTTGTTTGCGGGTGGTGGTGAGAGTGGTAGTGCTTATACAATAAATGGTACTGCTCGATAGTTAGCTCCACTATCGAGCATAGCGAGATTGTGTTGCAGGATATGAAATAAGTAGGTGTATAATGCTTCACTGTTTAGTGTGCGTTGAAATCTTGAGAAAATTTTTAAAATTATATAGTTGTAGATCTCTATCCCCGTATCTCACTCACACACTACACTCACTCGATTAGTTTTACACATACACATATACACACATACTATTGCCGAATGCTGGACTAACAAATTATTAAATTTTTATTTCTTTTCGCGTTTGAAATATGCAAAACTATGTCTACAAAATACACGACTTTCTGAAGTACTAAAGCTTTCACTATAAACCATAACAACGCCAAAATGACAATTTGTCAATCTGCATCACAACAACGCCAAAATGACAATTTGTCAATTTGCATCACAACATCGCCAAAATGACAATTTGTCATTTTGTAGCTTGTTACAACACTATCTCGCTCTGCCCGATAGTGCTGAACTAGTGGAGCAGTATGTAGAGACACACGCGGAGTTTTCAACCACAAATAAGTTTGTGTCAACCAAAGAAGAAAAAACATTTTAAGTTATTCCGCTGTAAAGTTTATTTGGTTACAAACTTTAATCTTGAGCTGTTGAAAAAAGTATATTTTCATCTTTCAAAAACTTGTTACAAGTACATTACTCTCACTGACCAGAGGAGCCGAAGGCGACTCTAGTCGAAGGATATTAAATAGAACAGACTAAGGCTACACAAATCAATATATGAAGCCAGTTTCGTAACCCTAGCCAATGCTTCCCAACCAAGGGGTACCTCTAAAGTCGCGTGAATCAATCACCAGAAAATTAAAAAAAAAAGAAAACACTAAAGATATCACCACAACACTAAAGAATATCACCACTAAAGAATATCACCACTAAAGAATATCACCACTAAACAAGATAAGAACATCACCACTAAACCCTAAAGAACATCACCACTAAACACTAAAGAATATCACCACTAAACACTAAAGAATATCACCACTAAACACGATAAGAAACCAATCTAATAGGATGCAATCTTTTTTGATTTTTCACGGCTTACAGCAAGGGGCTTGACCTTTTTCGATTTTTCACGATTTACAGCAAGGAGCATGACCTTTTTTTTACCTTGTAAGCACCTCTAAATCGTTTACCTTGTAAGCACCTCTAAATCTTTTACCTTGTGTAAGCACCTCTAAATCTTTTACCTAAATCTTTTACCTAAATCTTTTACCTAAATCTTTTCCCTAAATCTTTTACCTAAATCTTTTCCCTAAATCTTTTTTTTACCCTAAATCTTTTATCTTGTCCTTGTGTTAATATCCTCCTAATTATAATGTTGTAACCTATTCACGACCAAGTCTAAATAATGAACAAGGCATGCAAGTTGGAATCAATATGCTAACGCCTTTTCCAGTAGGATCAATATTGAAGGTACGTCTATACGTCTTTATAGGACCTGACCATTCATCTACTCTTTAAACTAGCAATGCTCCTATTGGTTATTTCACGCGCTACCTATACATCTATAACAAAATCTCTTCTTTGCATTTCAATTCTACTAGTTTGCATTTCAATTCTACTGGTTTGCATTTCAGTTCTACTGGTTTGCATTTCAGTTCTATCAATTGGCATTTCATTCTATTAATTTGCATTTCAATTTTATTAGTTTGCATTTCAATGTATATTTTTTTCACTTCTTTTCCAGTTATTTTTTCTGCTGTTCCTCTGCTACTATTACGGCAACAGCTACAATAACAGTTAGAGATATAGCTACCTCCTCTACTCAAAAAACTCTCCAAACTTTTTTGTTCCTTCTCTTTCTCTCTCTCTCTCTCTCTTCTCCTCTCTCTCTCTCTCTCTCTTTCTTTCTTCTCCTCTCTCTCTCTTTCTCTCTCTCTCTCTTTATTTTTTCCTCTACTTTCGTCGACTGACCCCTAAGTGAGAGAGAGAAAGTAAGTGCATGTATGTGCGTGTAGATTGTGCATATATATATAATTCCAGAAGCGTCACTAGAGTCTAAAGACTGCTAAAAAGTAATTTAGGCTTGTAGAATATTAACTAACTAGCAATCAACTAGATACTAGCAAGTGAAACTTGTTATCAACTAGATACTAGCAAGTGAAACTTGTTATCAACTAGATACTAGCAAGTGAAACTTGTTATCAACTAGATACTAGATACTAGATACTAGATACTAGATACTAGCAAGTATTAATACTTATCAACACCAATCTATTGGGAAAGCAACCTCGATTTTCATCTCCTTCTTCTCAAATATGGCGACGACATTTGTCAAGAATATACAAGAAATACCGAACCTAAAACCACCGCAAGAGACATTTGTCGATGATCCTCAATCAATAACCGAAATCAACTTGGAAGATCTCACATTTGACTTGAGCAACGGTTTGAAAAATGTGAGCAATCTACATATTCTACATTGTATCTATATATCAACCGTGTTAATTCAATTCACCATAAAATTACAAGAATCTCCAATCTTGTATCAAAAATATAGGAATCTACAATTGAAAAAATGGGGTATCGACACGGTTCAAGAAATAAGGTGTAGTAGTGATGAGGAAACTGAGAAAGGTGTTGACAAGAGAGAAAAACTCTCCTTATCATCAACATCGTCGAGTGATTTAAGTGACTCAGGTGAATCAAGCGATGACTTGAAGATTATGGACGAGGCAATGGAGTTGAGCCAAGTTGGCTTTGAAATGGAAGATATGAACCAGTTAAGTAAGGGCAGTAACAATCTTTTACCCTCGCATGATATGTTTATGTTCGAAGATGAAGATGTAGACGAGATAAAGTTTAGAAAAAATAGCTCAATATTGGCATCCTCACCACCACCATATATTCCTATTGAGACATTACTCAAAACCACAGATTTATCTATAGACGATTCAATACAGCAACAAAAACAACAAACAAGTGCATACGCACGGCGACTCAAGGCTGAACTCGCGCATGCCTCCAAGTCCAAAGTGAAACATCCTCATCATTACAAGCACTTGTTGAAAATATTCAATTTGATGAAGCTCCCGCAATTAACGATATTACGTTTTCTTCTTCGAATAAACCAATACTCACCAAAAATATCAATCAACGCATACCTCCATTCTATTTTTCTCATTTATAAACTAACAATAATGATAGATTTATTTCAATTAACCAAAAAGAATAGCTTTAGATTTGTAATTGGTGCGTTAAGAACATCAATTAAGCTCCTAGATGACATTTATCAAAAACAAACAAGTTTTAAGAATGTAGTTGGTTGTAATTCTCATGATCTACTCAAGATTGAAATCGGGTTCCTATACTTGATGAATTTTAACATGAATTTGATAAAGGAGGATCTGGTTATTGCAAAGTTTCTACAGGAAGATTTTGTTTCCCTTTGTAAATTCATGAAATCAGAAATGGCAGAGTATTATAATGAAGTGGTTAGCCAAATGGAGGAAGGAGTTTGAGGCAGAAGGGGGATAGGGAAGAGGGAGAGAAAGTGGGAGAGGGAGGAGAAGAAAGTGGTGGAAGCTTACCTACTTACCTACAACCTATCTATTCTTATATATTTGTATGTACTATAATGAGTAACGAAAAAAATAGCCACCTATCCTTTCTCTTTTACCTCTCACCTCTCTCTTACCTCTCTTTCACCTCTCTCTTACCTCTCTTTTACCTCTCTTTCACCTCTCTTTCACTGCACTTTCACTGACCAAAATCACCATGGGGATTGGGGATAAAAAAAATAAAATGCGGCTTCTGTGGCTCGAACACAGTACCTCCAGATCTTCAGTCTGACGCTCTCCCAGGTGAGCTAAAGCCGCAAAGAATAAAACAAACCCACGCCGGGACTCGAACCCGGAATCCTTTGATTAGAAGTCAAAAGCGATAACCAATTTCGCCACGCAGGCTGTTCCTTGGCTTCTTCAACCCCAGTAGTAAAGCCAAGTTAATTTAGACTGGTATAGCATCTAAACACAAGTTAATTTATACTGCCATAACATCTAGTAAGACTAGAGGATAAAGGTTGTGCAAGCGTAATTTGCTTTACTAGAACAGTTTGACTCAACTGGGAAGAACTCAATGTGTTGTGAGCACTTGAGCAGTTCCCTGTCGATCCATGGTGGTGTTTATGGTTTTTGATTGTAGGTGAAAGATGATCTTGAAACTGACTTTATCCATTTTGGAGAAAACTCAAGGTTCCAACTATGAAAAAAAAAAAAAGAAAAGAAAAGAAGGCATCAATATTTGGTTTCTATTTGAAGGGTAAGTTTTAGAAAATGGATCTTTGGGGTGATATACCTGGAAATATAGAGATAGACAGTTGTGACAGGTTTAGAAAAAAAAAAAAGAGAATATTTTACCATTTAATTCCAAAAACGTGCAAATTTCATGACCTGGGTCATTATCAACATCAATACAGAAAATTACTTTTCACAGTTTTTGGGCTTTATTGTGTCTACTCCTTTTAAGTTTTACTGTGTCTACTCCTTTTAAGCTTTACTGTGTTTACTCCTTTTAAGCTTTCAATTATGAGTCAGATGAATGTAGAGAAATGATTCTTTTTTTGTATTGCATACAAAATATGCAATTTGGTTTGCTGTTTGGTGTTTTGTTACACAAAACAGATGGTTGACATTTTTTGCATCCATTGATAAGACTACACTCCACACGTGTTGACAATGTGTATTAAATGCAACCCTCCTCCCCCCCCCCACCCTCTTTTCGACACAAAGCAGCTATGGCAAGTGTGAACAAGTAGATGCTAGATCCTATTCTAGTCCAGCTTTCTCTGTCTCTGAATCCCTGCTAATTAAACGGAGCGATTCGTTTCTTACCCCTCTATTCTGTTATTGCAATCTTATCGTGTTTAAAAATGTCACTACAAAATAAAAAAGGCGGAGAGTGGCCAGCAACTCAGACACAGTGACTCCAGAGGATATCAACTCAGACACAGTGGCTCCAGAGGAGAGCACATGGGCTATGGGGGAAAGCGGTGTAATTGGTGATTCTGTTAGGTATCTATATTTTCAAATACGATATACATGTCTTGGTCCTCCCCTTCCCCCCCCCCCCTATGTGTCATATCTTTTCAGTAAACATATTTTTCTCCAGTGGCTTATGAAAATATGACTCTTTATTACATCAACACACTATTGTGCCTTTGCTACGTTTTAAGTATAAACCTGTCCCTACAATCGTATCCCAACCTCTGTCTCCTATTAACTAACTACTTTTTATGCTACTAGTTCGAGGCAATTTGTACGTTATATCAATGGCTTCAAACAGAACCACCACCCCACTCTCCACAAATATCACTACTACTGCTACTACTACTGCTACTACTACTACTACTACCGCCGCCTCATCCATCACTCAAGGTCACATTCGTTGCATACACAACTCGCATACTTACTCAAAACATGCCATCTTGATACCCAGTTCGTTGAATACATTGTTGCATTCGGATAAACACCTCAAGTATCATTTCCACAGCATTGGTGGAGATTTCATACGACTTTCGTCGTACAAGCGATTCAAGCAGTTGTTTCACCTTGGAGGCGGGTCGCTTATCAAAACAATTGTCTTTGACTTGTCGACGTTTTTGAAACAGGAGTTGAATGATGAGAAATCTCTGATTCATTTAGAATTGAAAAATTTCATGACTTTGAATAACTCAATTTTGCAGAAAAGAGAAGCTCGTTGGTGTTTGTGTGATCACCAGTTTGGAATGAAAAATTGGCTCTATATCATATTTGGATACATGTTGCAGCACTATACCGAGGAGGAAGTAAATGAATGTTTGGATGATATCATTAAAATGTATTTAAGTGCTAGGAAAAACCGAATATCACCAGATGATATCAGGATTATACGCGACGAACGAGATATCATTACTTTAAACACATTTCAGAACTTTGTCAACAAGGTCAAAATACGAGAAGATTTGCTATATGGCTCGAATCATCAGGCAAGGTTTGTTTCGTTTTCAGAAGCCAATAATAAGAGAATCTATTTACCACCATTACCAAAATTACACGATAGGGAACTATTAGTGAAGGCCTTGATGCACAAGGAATATTACCGACTTTTATTAGACCCAAGACACAGTTTTGCCAAAACAATGCAGTCTAAAGGTTACGATTTATCATTTAGTGAGTATGGTATTATCAGAAAGGAAATCTCATTCTTGGATGGATTAGGCGATTTCTTTCTAGCCCAGGAAACTTCAAAACTAATTTATGACTTGTGTAATGAAACAAGTACTTTGTCATCATCGTCGCACAAAGTTGACTTGAATGTTAATTCGACAACTTATAATCTAATCAAAATGATCCTTGCTACAAACACATTAATGTCCAAATTAACCAAATGCTATAATCTATACAGGGGTTTAGATGATGAAATAATCAACACTCGAATAGCCAATGACTATATCTCGTACACTCTAACCGGGGTATTAACTAAGGGTAAGGATATAGACGAAATGAGAATTTATGAGGAGGAGTTCTTGGGTGATTTTTTTGAAAGCTATATGGCTGCTCTACTAATTGAACAGGCAGATGTTGCAAAGCGTTTTATTAGAGAAATTTATAAAAGATTACTCCTGGTGATAACGGAAACTTTACCACCTCAAGTGACTTATCAGCACTGGACCACAAATATCTTGGGAAGAAACATTTATTGTAAGAAAGAAATTGCTTGATTTTTTTTTTTTTTTAAAAAAAAGAATACACAGCAACAACAACAACATTGGGAAAAATTACAAAATTACAAAATTATAAAATACTGCTATACAGTAAAACAGTGTGTAATAACAAAGGATATTAATTCAGTTCATCGAAAGGTTTTGAATTGGTACAGATTTCGAAACATCTTAAAAGTTTGTCAATCCTGTAAACAAATTGCTTTTTGCTTTGCTCTTCTTGTTTGCTTTTTTTTGAGATTTGGTGGATAGGAATGATCTATTTTTTTCATCATCTTCACTCAGTGATGACTCATCATCATCATCATCATCATCATCATCATCATCATCGTCATCATCATCGTCATCATCATCGTCATCATCATCGTCTTCCTCTTCGTCTTCGTCTTTCTTCTCTTCTTCATCTTTACCGTTATTTCGCAAAGTTCCATTAGGCCCAGAAGCATCTTTCACTTCAGGCACACCTCTAAGCTCTAGATCCGATAATGATGGTAAACCGGGTTTGGCTAATTTAGGCCGATCTGATTTTGGAACTGAGTTTGACACAAAGCCAAGCGCGTCTCTTGTAGAGGACATTGCTTGTGAGGAAACAGGGGAAATAGATGTTTTGTTGAATTCACCCATTAACAAGAATGGCAATGATTTCTTTGAATTCAAGGGTGATGAACGCTGCGAAGAAGACTCAATAATCGGGTTCTCCTTGGATGGCTCTGACGCAACCAAACGAGGTCTATTAACTTCTTTCTCTTCTTCTTCTTCTTCTTCCTCTTCCTCCTCCTCTTCTTCTTCTTCTTCTTCTTCTTCACCAGCCGACTCTTCACTTGACGTCGATTGTACATTACTCTTTGCAAATGGACGAGGACTCACTGACTCTGAAGCTGCGGCAATATGAGAATCGGGAACATTGTGCTCAAAGCTAGTATCAGACCGTTGACTCAATGTTGTTTCTTTCTTTGCTTCAGGTGAAGATGCAGTATCAACAAAACTTTTCTTCTTCAAATCACTGGTACTACCACCATCATCTCTCTCTAAACGATCACCTAAAATGTTTGGAATAATAGGCCTGTTGATACTGCTAGTGAAGTAACTACCCATAGTCATAACCACTGGTGTTTCCAATGACGTTGACTTACCATTTGTTGGATTACCAAGTTTCTTTTCAAATTGTTTATCTTCTGTATTTTCTTTACTGTCGAGGGAATGGGAAACAATTTCTTGGGTCGATGCTCTACTTGGCGTTTTTCCTGGCGAATTCAAAGTGACATTCTTTGCAAGTATATAATCCACATCAGTCTTTTGCGAGGACACTTCCTTTGGTGAGCTATCAAAAAGCCTTTTAGTGTTGAATGTAGGAGACTCCGCCTCATTAGTTGGGGTTACAGATGCTGCAGGAAACGGAATCAAAACATTTTCATTCCGTTTCATACGTCTTGCTTCTTTGGTTAGTCCTTCTTCGTCTTCATTGGAGTCGTAATCAATCAAGTTGTCGTATACGTTATCATCATCGTCACCAGAAGATATGTCGATAACATCATCGCTGCTGTTTTCTGGCGAGGGAGCTCTTACCATAGAGTCATTATTTTCTTGAGTCAATCTCGTTGTTCCATTTGCCTCTGTTTCTGCTTTGGATTGACTATTTGCAGTGTCAGGAGCAGATGGAACATATGGAGGAGGTTTCTTTAGAGTCAGCCAGTTTGGTACGGAAGATGGGGTAAATGGTGCATCTTCCTCTGTTTTGTTCAATAAGGAAGAAATCGATGCAGTAAATGTCTTTTCCTCTAAAGGGGATACCAGTCCAGAAGTAGTTTGATTCTCAGAGTTTTCCCCCGATTTTTTCGATACCGGATCATGTGTTGTTGTCTTTGTTTCTGTTGTCTTTGTCTTTGCACTTGCCTTTGCACTTGCCTTTGCACTTGCCTTTGCCTTTGTCTTTGCCTTTGTTGTAGTTGGTGGGTTTTCAGCAGTCTTCTTTTGGTTTGTTGTGGACGCGACTCCATTTTCTGAAGCAACGCCTTTTCTCTCTTCTACATTTTCTCCAGAAGAGCTCTTGGTTTTATAAGGGAGTTTCCCCTCATATCCCTGTTCACCGGTCAAATCAACACGAATATCAATAATGTTATCTGTGTAGATACCATCACACTTATACGGACTCACAGCAAAGTACTTTGGTACCTTTTGAAAACCACGTTCTTTCTTATTCTTGTACTTTTTAAGTTGGGTTCGAAAATTATCCAAATCTGTATTGAGACTATCAAGCAAGTTCATAGTTCTTGTTTCTCCATAAACAACATCCGCTACTTCATCCCCATTTGGGTGCGCGTAGGCCACTTTCTCATCAGCAATTGAGTTTGGGTGCGATGACGGTTTCAAACTGCCAGGTTGAGTTTTAGCACCTGCCGGGGTTGGGGTGGGCATAGGAGGAGGCTGCTGTTGAGCTTGTCGAGCAGCTGAAACAGGTTGGAAAGATGACCTACTTCCCTTTGAGATTTTAGACGAAGGAGTGGCTTGTGGTTTGGATTTGGTTGCTGATTTGGGAGTAGAAGTAACTTGATCGGGTATTTTTATTTTTCGCTGGCCCGAAGCCTTAGGTTTCGCAGTATAAGGTTCTTTAGCAACTGTTTTTCTACCCTTTTTTGTATCTACTTTTGGATGTCCTTCTACAGAGTCATCATCTAAAGTTCTCAATTGAGGCATGTCCAATTCTCGAGATCTTTCCCTCTTTTGTGATTCGTAATAGCTAAGAATAGTATGTTTTGCTATCGTTCTCGTATCCCCTGCTGGTGGAGCTCTTCCAATTGGGACATTTTCCTCCTCCTCAGAAGAAGTGCCAATTGAAACAGCAGTATCATTATCCTCGTCGTCCTCCTCTTCTTCTGCACCTCGAAATTTGAAATTAGTGCGATCAACTTCGTCTAGTAAAATAGTGTTGCTGGGACCTTCAGCAGTAGGTGGCTGAGCAAGCATACCTGATGTTATTCTTCTTCCATCTTTTGACCTGGGGGACTCGTTAATCTTCTTCACAGGGATGACAAAAGCAGAGCTTGAGGAGGATTGTGGCGGCGCTAACGATACAGGCGATGACGATGCGCGAGCGGTAGCCCTCAAAGGAGTAGCCCTCAAAGGAGTAGCTTCTTCGATTGTATGACTATTCATTTGGTCATAAGTTCTTTTCAACGACGATGCATTGTCAACGAATCCAGATTCCTTAAAAGTTTCACCAACCGTAACTCGAACAAGATCGTTTTTATCAAAGATTTGCAGAATCTTAAAATCAACGTCTACTTGACATAAATTTCGATCATGAAATTTCAAAATTGTAATTGGATTCTCACTTGGGTAGAGCTTACTAAATCTCTGTTGTATCTCGCTTACCATCTCACCTACTTTCTCATCACCATTTGTAACATGAACAAATTTCTTTACTTCCAGTGCATTTATATCCAGGGTTTCAATTGTAGATAATTCCAGCGGAACTACCATAATTTGCAATTTAAGCTCCGACATTGTGGGCTTCCTTGCAAGAAAATTTTTTGACAAAACCTGGCTGCAATTATTTTGGTATAGTCAGAAACGTGACAATGAATTCAGTCAGGACAATACGGTCGATGTGTCGACGTGTCGAGCTACTGCTTATAAGTTTGCGTGCCAATAAATAGCTTCAATAATGATTGAAAGTATAAGGGAAAAAAAAACGATGGTATTCCAATTTGATGTCTTTTAAAAATCACAACATTTTTTGATTCCTCAAAGAAAAAAAAAAAGAGCCGTTTCACAATTTCGACGTGTCTCATTTCTTTACACTAACCATGTACGGTTAGGAACCTAGGAACGAATTTCTGAAACGTTATGGGTGTTTGCGAAAGATGTGGTGGAGATGGAAAAGTGTTAAAATTGTGGGATTTAGAGAAAAAGAGTAGGGAGAGAAAAAGGGTAGGGGAGAGAAAAAGGGTAGGGGAGATTGAAAGGGTAGGGAGATGGAAAGGGTAGCGGAGATAGGGGAGATAGAAAAGATAGAGATAGAAAAGGTCTATTGAAGTTGACGAAAAGGATTTGCGTCCTCTTTGGCTTCGTCAGTGAAAGAACCATTTACAAAGACACTCACTAAAATCTAATCTGATGCTACCAGAAAAATAAAATGAAAATCAAACTCATCAAGCTCAGAGGCATCTGCACAACAAAGGTCACGTACTATATACACTCAACTAGTTTCACATAGACACCTCACTATCGAGCAGAGCGAGATAGTGTTGTAACAAGCTACTAAGTGCTGCTCCACTATCGACACTATCGAGCAGAGCGAGATAGTGTTGTAACAAGCTACTAAGTGCTGCTCCACTATCAAGCGGATTAGTCGAGTAGGACGAGACGCTATCGACATAGACACCTCCGCTATCGACATAGACACCTCCGCTATCGACATAGACACCTCCGCTATCAACATAGACACCTCCGCTATCGACATAGACACCTCCGCTATCAACATAGACACCTCCGCTATCGACATAGACACCTCCGCTATCAACATAGACACCTCCGCTATCGACATAGACACCTCCGCTATCAACATAGACACCTCCGCTATTCAACTAGTCTCGCTCTGCTCGACTAGTCTCAGAAGCATGGATACCCCCACTCGACTAGTCTCAACATGGACACCTCCGATCTGTTCAACTAGTTGCGAAATTATTTTCCTTTTTTTCCCTCAGTTAGGAAATAGTGAGCGTGATTTGTTTCAAATTTAGTAAAGAAGAAAGTACGCGTGGAGTATGAAACATGAGACATTAGACATTAGACATTAGACATCAGACTATGTTTCAAATGATATAATTGGGGAAAATTAAGGAGAAAAAGTAAATACGTGAATTTTGCACTAGGTGGAGCCTTTGGCTTTGCTGGTGGAAGAGATGGTGGATAAAGTAAAGAATCAACGGTGAAGATAGAAGCGACACTTGTGGAAGTGTTGGAAACAGTGGGCACACCAGCTTCGTATTTTGATCCGCTCTGATGGGAGATGAAGAAGCACTAGCGTTGTCCTTGGCTCCTGCTGGGAGATGAAGAAGCACTAGCGTTGTCCTTGGCTCCTGCTGGGGGGAGGGGGGACGTAACTCAAAACTCCATTGATTTCATTAATTCCTTCGCCTTAAGTGCCATGGTATGTCTCCTTAAAATCTGTTCCTCAATATCTTCCTCATCTTCACCTTTACCGTCAAATACATCATCAACATCTATGTAATCTGGAAAAGGTTTCCAACAAATAATTTCACCATCCACCGTTCCACAAAAATATTTGCACGTAAATGGCCCGCCGTTCACCATTGAACATGTTCTACCAATACTTTTCGACCCGCTTCTCGATAGTCTATTCACCAACTTACCGTCAATTGTCCTCAATACTAAAATATCTCCATTTTCCGATGGAAACAAAAGATACTGAACACTAGTTTCTCCCTTTGGATTGAGTAGCATCGGTATTGTTTGGGGAAATTTATTTCTTGTTAATGGTCCAAAATTGATTAGTTTGTTTATTGGAGGAAATGATGTGCCAACCATATCCCAAACCCTAACCTTGTCATCGTTGCCAGCAGAATACAAAAGAGTTCCTGATTCATCCCAAACTAATCCATTAACTGGACCCAGATGTGCCTTTACTGAATCTTGTGTCAAATTCGTTTTCTCACTTGATGTAGCAGCAGCAGCAGCAGCAGTAGCAGTAGAACAGTTTGTTCTCAACATATCCAAGCGGCATAACAAGCTTTCACTTCTTCTTATGTCCCAAATTTTCACTTCTCCATCATACCCGCCTGTTGCCAAAATATTTGGGTTTATTGGATGCCATTTTGCACAAAGTGTTTTTCCCTTATGGCCCTTTAATGTATGAGCACTGGATGTGGACTTGATATCCAAAATCCTAACCATTGGCTGGTCGCTTGCAGTTGCAATTAATGAGGTTTCGCCACAAACGTCAATACTATATACACGATTGTTCAAATTGAACGTGTGCACCGAGGTCAATTCGTTTGTATCCCAAATCTTAACAGTATGGTCAAACGAGGAAGATACAAACATCCCCGTATCGAATGGCCACCACTGAATGCTAGAAACTCCAAATATGTGCTCGGTTCTCCTGGGAATTGTTGCAATATTCTTGTACACCGAAGTGGGATTGTCATAGTCAAACAGGTCAAACTTTGATGGATGATGTTGTGTGTTCAACAGTGAATCTACTTCGTTTTCCTCTCGTACAACTTCTTGCTCCTTGATATCCCAAAGCTTAATACTCGAGTCTCCACATCCACTCAAAAGAAACCTATACTCATCCTTCTCCAACGACAAAGTATTTACCAGCGCATTATCATGGCAATTCACCGGAAAGACATCGTGCTTGGCTGTCTGATAAAGTTGCGAAGAATAACAATTGTCAGCTATGATATTTGAGAATTGAAGAGGCGTAATTGTACCCAACTTCCTCTCTAGTAGCAACGATTGCATAACATCTCAAGTAAACTTTTAAACCGAAAAAAGGAAGGAAGAAATATCCAACTCTTTTTGAAAGCAATCAAGTAAACCACCTTTTGACATGGATTTTTCAATTGGTTCTTTTTTTTTTTATTCTTTTCAATTGTATAGAAGGTGAAAAAAAAAAAGGAATAGGAAGAATTTTTCAACATGAAGGTAAATTTTTTCTTTCTCTTTTGAATAACCATTGAAGAAAACCACTGTAGTGAAAGATGTTGGATGTTAATGCGTTTATAGTTGAAAAGGGCGGAGATCCAGAAAAGATCAGGGTCTCGCAAAGGAAAAGAGGAGCTTCTGTGGAGTTAGTTGACGAGATTATCAAGGACTACAAAGATTGGGTTAGGATTAGATTTGATTTAGATGAACAAAACAAAAAACTAAATGCGGTCCAGAAGGAGATTGGTAAGAAGTTCAAGGCCAAAGAGGATCCAGCAGAGCTAGTTGCTAAGAAAGATCAATTGAATGAGGAGAAGAAGCAAATCATTGAAAAGGAAGCCAAAGCAGACAAGGAGTTACGTTTCAAAATAAACCAAGTTGGTAATATTGTTCATGAGAGTGTGGTTGAGTCTATGGATGAAGCCAACAACGAGTTGATAAAGACTTGGTTGCCTAATGGTTATGAGAAAACCGAAAAAATCGCAGCAGCGACCCATTCTCCAGCAGCTTTGTCTCATCACGAAGTTCTCTTGAGGTTAGACGGTTATGATCCAGAAAGAGGTGTTCGAATTGTTGGTCACAGAGGGTACTTTTTAAGAAACATTGGTGTGTTTATAAATCAAGCTTTGATCAACTATGGTCTTTCATTTTTGGCTAGCAAGGGTTACATTCCATTACAGGCACCAGTTATGATGAATAAGGATGTTATGGCAAAAACGGCGCAATTGTCACAATTTGACGAAGAGTTGTACAAAGTTATTGACGGAGAAGACGAGAAATATCTTATTGCAACCTCAGAACAGCCTATTAGTGCGTACCATTCCGGAGAGTGGTTTGAGAGTCCTCAAGAACAATTACCAATCCGATATGCCGGATTCTCATCTTGCTTTAGAAGAGAAGCTGGATCTCATGGTAAAGATGCCTGGGGTATCTTTAGAGTGCATGCTTTTGAGAAAATCGAGCAATTTGTATTGACAGAACCAGATAAGTCATGGGAAGAGTTTGATAGAATGATTGGTGCATCAGAAGAATTTTACCAATCATTAGGTCTTCCTTATAGAGTTGTTGGTATTGTTTCTGGGGAATTGAATAATGCTGCTGCTAAGAAATATGATTTGGAAGCATGGTTCCCATTCCAACAAGAGTATAAGGAATTAGTTTCTTGTTCCAACTGTACAGATTACCAGTCAAGAAATTTAGAAATTAGATGTGGAATCAAGCAACAAAATCAAACCGAGAAGAAATACGTTCACTGCCTCAACTCAACATTGAGTGCTACTGAGCGAACCATTTGTTGTATTTTGGAAAATTATCAAAAAGAAGACGGTTTGGTTATACCTGAAGTATTGAGAAAATACATACCTGGTGAGCCTGAATTTGTTCCATTTGTTAAAGAATTGCCCAAGAACTCCACTTCGCAAAAGAAAGGTAAGAGCAATTAGTTTTTGTAGAATAAAGTAATATTTTATGAAAAAGGCATTCTTTTGAAGGCATTCTTTTGAAAGGCATACTCTTTTTTCTTCTTCCTATTTTTAAGCCACAATCATTAAGATCTTGTTCTAACCAGCAATATACCGAAGGATTAGAAGAGAAGAGATTCTCTTTAGAAAAAGGGATTTTGTTTGGAAGAAGAGCTATATTGTGAAGTAGTGGCGGTAGCTTAAAAAAAAAAAATAGAAAAATTTACCCGTAAGATGAGAGACCCATCTTGCATCAATAAGAATTAGAGGTAAAGAAAGATACGTAGAAAATGTGCCAATATCATTGGCCAAACTCGTATATCAGTAGATTGGGAGTAATTGATCTTGAGGATTTAAGATTAAAAGCATCAAAATACAGAGAAAGCGATGATCCGCCTTCAATGTATATAGCAAAAGAAAGGAGATAGTTACATTACTGGATCTAACTTTGCAAATTGCAAAAAAAAAAACATTCAAAAAAGAATTGTACATTCAATACAATATCTGTCTAATAATCAAATTTAGCCCTGTTTCCATCACCAGTGTTTTTCTTCTAGTTTGTAGTTTACATACATATAGCTTCAGCACAGTCTTCGGCGCAACAACAACAAATAATAGCGGCACACTAAAAAAATAATGAGGAAAAACAGTTAGTACTTGTAAATCGGTCTTTTGACTCTTGATGGGAGATAGGGGGTGAAGAAAAATTCGAGAATTGAGAATTGAAAAACTAGACTCGATAGTGTCGATATAGTCAGTGTGCTCCACTATCTCGCTCTGCTCGATAGTGTCGCTTTCTTCTTCTTCTAACTCCAATCCCACCACTGCAATATTGTAACATACCATTCCACAAAACGCTGAACAGCAACCACCACCACCACCTTTCTGTGGCTGTTGTTGAACGTACATTGGTTGCTGCTGTTGGTAATAACCTTGTGGTGGAGGTCCTTGCTGATAGTAACCTTGTTGAGGTGGAGGAGGTCCTTGCTGGTAATAATTAGACTATAAAAATGAAAAAGAAATCAGTATAACTCAGATTATGAATCAACAACACACAAAACTTACTCAAACATACCATGTCAACAATTATATATATATATTTCTATACAGAAACTGGTCTTTCTCTAAGAATGAATTAAAAAAGAAGACTCGTCAAAGTTGAAGGTTTTTATCAAGTTTGATTTTTCTGATTAAAACTTGAACTTTTTAACTAGTTTGGTTTCTTTCTTTTTTTTTCCGATTCAATGTTGAAAAGCTTTTTGCATTCATTTTTTAGGAATTCTAAAGGCTGAGATATTACAAGCTTGTTGCATTTTATGAGTCCAATGACTGCTACAAGAAAAATTTTTTTACCAAAAGGCCCTATACATTGGTTTGCTTTCCATTGACCCCTTGGGCGATTGATCTACTAAGGTGTCGTACGTCATTGGTATTGTTTCTCTAGTTACCCGAGGCTACAGTTTCACTAAATTGTTTTAAGTTGACCAACGCGTATATTATTGGTAAGTGCTTGTTTTTTTTGTTTTTTTTTTTAAAATGAAACTTTAATTTACTAAGCCATGTAAATGCACCAGAACGCCAGAGTGCGTTAGGGAAGTAAGTGCGAAGAAGCACTGGAATACCCCACTCCATTTGGTTTACATACAAAGTGATAATCTACAAGCTATGGGCTACAAGTTATGGTGCACGAGTCAGCACTCCATGAGGTAGCATTCTACAATCTGTGTCTTTCTCGTAGTTTCTTCCCTGATTTCGCCCTGTAGTTCTCTCCTGCTTCGCCATCTATTTCTTCCCTGATTTCGCCCTGTAGTTCTCTCCTGCTTTAGCCATCTATTTCTTCCTTGCTTCGCCATCTATTTCTTCCCTGCTTTAGCCATCTATTTCTTCCTTGCTTCGCCATCTATTTTCCTCCTGCTTCGCCCTGTACATCTCTCCTGCGCCCCGTGGGGCTATGGCGAGACAAGTTTTAGGCTTTTTTTTTTTTTTTTTTCCTCAATTGATATTACATCTTCTGTACATTCAACTGTGAGCTTGTCCTTCAACAAAGTTCATAGCTTCTTCCTTATCTATTTCGATTATATTACTCACCTTATTAGCAAAAACAACTCCGTAGAATTTATCTGCTGCTAGAGATAACAACTCTGGTCTAAACGTTGTACAAATAAATTGAGCTTCCGAGCTTAGTGACTTGATCAAAGAAGCCACCGATGTTCGGTATTGAGTATCCAAATTACTATCAATCTCGTCAAAAAGGTAAAATGGCGCGGGATCACAATTCTGAATAGCAAATATTAGTGCAATAGCACAAAGCGATTTTTGGCCACCTGATAATTGTTCTATCTTTTGTTGTTCATCATCTTTAGAGTTGAATGAAACAGATATTGCAACACCGGTATAGTTTTCTATAGAATCGTCATTACCATCCTCTTTCTCATTATCATAATCATCATCATCATCAACTTCTTCTTCTTCTTCTCCTTCTCCATCATCACGGATGCTACCTTGAGTTTGCGTATCTGGTGACGTTTTCTTTTGAAGTATTAGATGACCAACTCCTCGAGGTACCAACTTCTCAAATATTTCATTGAATGATTTTGCAACTTGTTTGAAACTGTTCATAATAGCATCTTTTTTTTGTTGCTGTAGGTTCTTTATCAAATTTTCAATGGATCTCTTGGAAACGTCAAGATCATCACGCCTTGATATCAAATCATCTCTTTGCTTAGTAAACTGGTTGAACTGCTCCATGGCTTTCTTGTTGATATGAGAATACTTGACTAAATCCTCACTTATTCTATTCAATTTCTCAACCAAATCATTAGATGTAAAATCAATATACTCCTCAGCGTGGAAAGCTTCCTCAGGTAGCATTCCTAATTCACGTATCTTCTTGTTGATATCTTCCTTGGTCTGTTCTTTGATCAGTTTTTGATTTAGCAATTTAGTAGTATTCTTTGAAAGCTTTTCAAAATTCTTCATTGTTTCCACTTGCTGCTTATTTGCTCTTTCTAAACTCACTTCATTTTCGGCTATTTCATCACAAATTTTTTGATAAATCTCAGTACTTTTTGTAATACGTGTTTTGGTTTCTTCAAGTTGTACCAGTAAGAACTTATATTCTTGTTCTAGTTCGTTTAAATCTTGTTGGTTAGTGGCTCTATCACCTAGAGAAATCAGCTGTTGCAACAATATACCCTGTTCAAGCTGTAAGTTTTCCGCAGTATTTTCCAATTCATTGATTTTGGATTCCAAGTTCAAAGACTCGGTTACAATTTCATCCAAACTAGACTCCAAAGTTGAGATTTCTGCATTTAGGGATGAAAGAGTTTCCGACTGCTTCTCGCTGAGCGCTTGACTGAATTCTGAATCGAGTTCTTGTTCATGATGTTTCACATTGGAGTTCACCAAGTTCCTCACTGCTTCAACAGATGCCAAGTTTGATTTCAAAGAGGAAATAACTTGATCTACATTGAAAATCTTTGATGTCAACAGTGCCAACTCCAATTTGAATGGCTCTCTTGAACTAGATAGTTTATCCAAATCTCGAATGTTCAACTGTAATTCGTTGTTCAAAGACGTGATCTCCTGGTTCACTTTAGTAATCTTTTCACCAATACTTTTCAATTCTGTCTCGGTCTTTTCCAATTCAAGTCTTGTTTTGCTTTGTAGTTTTAAAACATCAATACGTGAGCTTTTATAATCACGATAACCACCCGAAACAACCCCCTTGATGTCAACTCTGTCTCCATCCAAAGTAATACCTGTCAATTTAAACTTTCTTGAAAGCTCAGCGCCCTTGTACAAGTCTTTTACAACCAAGGCTTTTCCAAAAATTTGCCGTATTGCTTTGCCAACTTTTTCCTCATCATATCTAATCTTTGAGATTAAAGGAATACATTGGTTTTCTGACGACTCTGGATAATCCACATTTGAGACCGAGATTCTGTTCAATGGAATAAAGGTGACTCTACCAGCTTTAGTTCTATTCAATTCCTCAATAATGAGAGCAGCAGTAGCATCTGTATCAACAACAACGTGGAAAAGAGAAGTACCGGCAATGACCTCAGCCGCCGTTTTGTACTTGTCATTGATATTGAACAATTCAGCAATCGTACCATAAACCTTGTCTTCTAGTTGCAACCTGTGAACAATACTGTTAACGGCTGCTATACCTTGCGATTGCGCTCTATCCATCGTTTGGTTGACAGAGTTGGTGGCATTAATGAGATCATTTGTAAGAGAATCAAACACACTCTTTAATCTCACTTCGTCTCTCCATAGAACTTTTCTTTGATCCACGCAATTACTAATTTTCAACTTCAATTCTTGATTCATATGCTTTAGTTCAGCGCTTCGTTTTGAATAGTGATCGTCATCATCATTAAGAAAACCGTCAACTTCCAGCTTCCTCTGTAACAATTTTTGTTTGGAACTTTCATTCTTTGCAATTTCAATTTGTAGTTGTTGCATTTCTTGTTCTTTCAATCTCAGTTCTTTTTTCAATTTGGATATTTCTTTTGTTAACCAAGAGTCTCGTTGCTCTTTGGAATCATACTTTTGAAATCGGTATTGTTTTGAGTATAATGCTCTTTGCTCAGCATTTAACTCCAGTAGCTTTTGTTTTAATTTCAGTTCTTTCTCTTGCAAAGTGAGCAAACGGGGCTTGTTGCTGTTGATGGACTCATTAATTTCCAAAAGGCGTTTCCGGTTGTAGTCGGTCTTGTTTTCAAGCTCCTTGTACTTTTCATCCGAAGATTCAACAATTTCACGCAATTCATTCACTTTGATTTCTTTATTGGCAAACTGTTTCAACAATTGATCATACTCCAACTCAGCTTCCTCCTTTTCCAGACTCGACACTTTCAAATTAACATTCAAGTCCTTTATTGAATTTTGCAAATTGATACATAGTTTTTCCCTCTTCTCCATCGCGTCCAAATCTATTTGAGACTCAAGCATCAACAGTTGGTATTTCTCCTCCAAGGTTTCTATAGATTGGGTCAAGTCAATGAGTTCACGGTCAAAGATATTATACTCCAACACTTTCTTCTCCTTTTCCAAGTTTTGGAAATCTTTCAAGTCTGCACTTTCAATTTGTAAATCACTAATTCTATCCTGAATGCTTTCTAGAGCTTCATCGATCCGTTGTCGCTTTAAATTGGACTGAGCCATTTCCTTCATTGAGTCTTTTAGCTTATTTTCGAAAACAGTAGCACCACTAACCTCTTTCAACAAGGCCAATCGTTCATGGTCTTTTGAATTCGTTAGACTGGTGATTCTTCCTTGTGGAACAATATAGTATGGATTGGAACGTGAGAAGCCGGCGCTTTCCAATAAATGCATCACATCGGACCTAGTAGCGGATTTTCCATCCAAAGAATAATCATCCTTCTTTAAACCTATAGTTCGTCGAATCGAGATTTCTTTATTGTTAATAGGAAAACGACCATCTGAGTTGTCAAAAACCACCTCAACGTATGCGGACATGATTGTCCCCGAGCCGTCGTGTATAAGAGCCTGTCTCTCTTCCCTTGTCATGTGGGTATACGCATCACTTAACACGAACCTGATGGCAGCAAAAAAATTGGACTTTCCAGATCCATTCCTACCAACAACAACGTTACAATGAGGACTTAACAAGTCTATAGTAGTAAGATTCTTGTATGTTTTAAAGCCTTGAATCACAATCTTCTTTATATGCATGGTAGGATGAAAAGAGCTACTGCTGTGTTGGCATATCTTTTGAGTATAATCGAGTGTTTTCTTTGCTTAATGGTTGGTTTATCATTTATAGTTGATGATGGTTTTTTTCGTGTCAAAGATGCTTACCAGACGCGTCTTTAAAAAAAAGAAGACGCGTCTTGCCACACCGAACATTTCAATGGAAAATGTTACTAGAATCGAGCCCATCCTGGAAGAGTAGAGCAACGGACACTACACTATCGACACTACACTATCGAGCAGAGCGAGATAGTGGAGCATCTTTGACTACACCGACACTAAGGAAATAAAAGCCATGATAAACTATTGATCAGCTTAATTGAATGATTGAGTTGTACTATAAAGTAAGTATATTACTACTGTATTTGTATTACTACTATATATGTATTACTACTGTACTTGTATTACTACTGTATTTGTATTACTACTGTACTTGTATTACTACTGTACTTATATTACTACTGTACTTATATTACTACTGTACTTGTATGTTCTTTTAATAATTTAATCTTTTTGGTAATGTATTATGAATGTTGCTAATTGTAACTATATAGTTTAACATGGCCTTAATTCTTGATTACTGAGAAAAAAGAGTTTATTTGCAACACTATCGAGCGATCTATCGTGCACCTAATAGTAGCACTATCGAGAGCGAGACGTAATAGCAGCATTATCTCGCTCTCGATAGTGCTGCGTTTATATTGTATGAGGCAGATTATGCCTATAAGTAGATTTTGCCTATGAGTATGTTGCCTATAAGTAGAGATTGTCTATGACTCAGATACCTCATTCAACTAGTTTCTACACCTCCACTCAACTAGTTTCAGAAGTATAGACACCTCCACTCAACTAGTTTCAGAAGTATAGACATCTCCACTCAACTAGTTTCAGAAACATAGACATCTCCACTCAACTAGTTTCAGAAACATAGACATCTCCACTCAACTAGTTTCAGAAACATAGACATCTCCACTCAACTAGTTTCAGAAACATAGACATCTCCACTCAACTAGTTTCAGAAACATAGACATCTCCACTCAACTAGTTTCAGAAACATAGTCATCTCCACTCAACTAGTTTCTACACCTCTGCTATTCAACTAGTCTCGCTCTGCTCGACTAGTTTCAGAAGCATAGACATTTCTGCTCGACTAGTTTCAGAAGCATAGACATTTCTGCTCGACTAGTTTCAGAAGCATAGACATTTCTGCTCGACTAGTTTCAGAAGCATAGACATTTCTGCTCGACTAGTTTCAGAAGCATAGACATTTCTGCTCGACTAGTTTCAGAAGCATAGACCTATTAATCCAGTGTCAATGAGAAATAGTATCACTTAATAATATATACAATAAAATATAAAATATGTTTTATACGCGTTCGATAGTATTGATAAGATGAGAGCTAGAGTGCTCCACTATCTCGCTTCGCTCGATAGTATTGAGGGCTAGAGTGCTCCACTATCTCGCTTCGCTCGATAGTATTGAGGGCTAGAGTGCTCCACTATCTCGCTTCGCTCGATAGTATTGAGGGCTAGAGTGCTCCACTATCTCGCTTCGCTCGATAGTGTTGAGAGCTAGAGTGCTCCACTATCTCGCTTCGCTCGATAGTGTCGCGTATCAAGCCAACTAGTTTCTACACCTCCGCTATTCAACTAGTCTCGCTCTGCTCGACTAGTTACTGGAATTTTGATATTATTCCTTTTGTTTTTCTCACCTTCTATACCATGATAGCGCCAGTCCACACAAAGAAGATGTTCAATTGAAAAACATTTTTTTCTTTTTCAACTTCTACTTGATGAGGTTCTATTTTTATCATTTAATTTTTTCAAAAGATTTTTTTTTGACAAGCAAAAGCTAGTTGAGGAAAGCAGTTGAGGAAAGCTAGTTGAGGAAAGCTAGTTGAGGAAAGCAGTTGAGGAAAGCTAGTTGAGGAAAGCTAGTTGAGGAAAGCAGTTGAGGAAAGCTAGTTGAGGAAAGCTAGTTGAGGAAAGCAGTTGAGGAAAGCTAGTTGAGGAAAGCTAGTTGAGGAAAGCAGTTGAGGAAAGCTAGTTGAGGAAAGCTAGTTGAGAAAAGCTAGTTGATGAGGAAAAAGAGTTCCAATAGGCTGGGAAAGGGTCCCATCCAAGAAGATATAAGTAAAAGGTCTACTGCTGAAGTATTTCGAAATGTGGACCTTGATAATTTTGCTATAGAGAAAGAGGAAAAGAAAGATGTACCAAAGAAAAGTTTGCAAAGCAATGTCGAAAACACAGCTATGTTTCCGTTTAATTATTTATCAAGATTTGAAAATTACTTGAGTGAACATATGACCCTCTTGAAAGCGGTACAAGCACTCATTTTTGGCTTTTTTGCCCAGTTGGTGTACCTCAAGCAAGATGAATTTGATCATTTAAGGAAATCGTTACCAATGCTTTTCTTCAATTGTTTGGGCACTGTTGCTTGCACAATTTTGAGTGTTTTAAAGAGCAAAGAGACTTTGTTTAGTCCACCCGAATTCAATTATTTTTACAGTTTTCTAATCCCTTCGTTGATCAATATTTTGTACTTTGATGCAAATTGGCTTTTGGTCAATTCCTCACTCAACTATTTTGTTGTCGACAAAATGAACTCGATTTTCAAAATAGTTTCAAGTATTATGTTTTACGTGCTTTACAAAGAGGAGGCTCAAGCTACCATGCCCATTTTCCAAATGGTTCAAATAACAATTGCACATTTCTTTCTTTCGTTTGTGTTGAGCTACTTAAATGATACAAAAGACTCTCAGGAGCCCAATGGGTCAAATCACAAATCATTAAAGAAATCTGAAATCCAATTGATCTCGTTATTGCTCATTAATTTGTTGTTTAATCAGAAATTGGTCAATGGTATAGTGCCATTGGTGATTTTTCAAAAACTATTAATAAGTCTACTTGCTACTTTGTTTTTCTTGTTTCCAGTTTACGCTTATTTACCAGAATTCATCAACTTTGTCATTTTTGGAGCCATTTTCACCTATTTGACAATTTATCAGTTGAAATTTGTTCTCGGAAACAACGCAATCATTTGGCTAATTGAATATATACAACACGATTCGCAACGGCTATTCTTGATCAAAGTTTGGATTGCTTCGGCCTTTGTCGGTATCCCCGTTGTTTTTTACTTTGCCAAATCATTCAGTTTGAATTTGAGACGGAAAATTTGGCACTTGCTTATTATTGTTGCATTGACATTCAGTCCAAGCATTCTTTTTGACCAAATTGAATTCACTTTGATTGCCTTGCTTGGAATGATTATTGTGTTTTTGCTCATTGAAGGAATAAGACTCAACGACACGTCTTGGCTTGGAAGATATCTTTCCAATAAGCTCACCTACTTTCAAGACTCAAAGGATTCAATGGGAGCTTTGAATTTATCCTACATTTACTTACTTTTGGGCGTCTCGTTTCCAATCGTATACGACTATCGCATTAGCATTATTAGCAACAACACGAGCGCTACCATAATCAGATACATGGGGATCCTAAGCTTAGGAGTTGGTGACACACTTGCATCAGTTATTGGCCAACGATTTGGAACTTTCAAATGGAAAGGAAGCTCAAAATCGGTCCAAGGTACTGTTGCGTTTGTATTAAGCACTATCCTGGCGTTCTACCTTGTAGAGTATCTCAACAGAAAAAATATAAAGTATACGCCGATTACAAACTGGGAAAACGCTCTTGTTGCTGTGATATTGGGAGGCGTATTAGAAGGTGTAGCAGACATTAATGACAATTACTTGGTTCCTACATTCATACCAATTACATACGACTTGTTAAATAGATGTTATAAATGAAACTAGACCAAACAAGAAACACACACTTTTCCTTAAGCAGGTGACTCAAAATGCAATGATGGTGCGACTTCTTTCTTGCTCGTACCAATCTGCATACGAAATTTTTTTTTTTTTTTTTTTTTTTCTTTTTCAAATCACCAGATATATGAAAAGGTATATCGTATCTTCAAATCCTCCTTTTTTTTATTTATTTTGTTATTAACCAGTAGCTTGGGTCTGATTATTTTTTCCCTCTTCTTCTCTATATCTCTTTTTCTCAAATTTTTTTTTTTGGTGTAGTAGTAGTAGTAGTAGCAGTAGAGGGCCACGACCGAGAAGTATGGGGCGTGAGTATAAGGTATTATCTCGGAACGAAGTAAAGGATTTGATTGCCGAGGGAAAAACAATAGTCATATATGAAAAGGATGTACTCAACATAACACAATGGTTACCTCGACATCCAGGAGGCGAAACGGCGGCATTACATATGGTTGGACGCGATGCTACCGATGAGATGAACGCATACCACGAAAAAGAGACAGTGGAGACTTTCAAGAAATGGAAAATTGGTGAAATTGATTATTGTTGGGAGAATTTACTACCGCCAATACAAGGTGCCATATATAGAAAGGGTAAGGCGGCAACAAGTAAAGGAGACGACTCATTGAATGAAAAGTTGGATCGAGAGCATTTGAGCCTGTCAGACGTGGATCTAACATCATCCTCAAGCTCTATACAAGAAGAGGAAAAAGAGGAAACGAAGGAGAAGGAGGAAAAAGAGGAAACGAAGGAGAAGGAGGAAAAAGAGGAAAAAGAAGCAGCATCAAAGGATACAAAACTTACGGATTATGAAAAGAAACTCACCCCCCCCGTGGTACCACAGAACGTTTTGGTTAATGAGTCCAATGAGAACATCTTGTTTCCTGTAAATCACTCAAACACCGCTATAGTTGATCCTAAACTGCTTATGAAAGATTACGACAATAGGCTCTCACGGAAAGACATGAAACTGATTCCATCTCTAGATTACAAAACGCAGCGGTATTTAAGAGACGAATATGTTGAACTACATAACTTGATTATCAAGAATGGATTTTACAAATGCGAGTATTCTGCATATGTTCGAGAAATGGTGAAAATTGGATCATTATTTTTATATTCTATTTCGTTTCTTAAGATGAATCATTTGTTCTTAAGTGCCGTTTTCATGGGCATGGCTTGGCAGCAAGGGACGTTCATTGCCCACGATGCAGGTCACGTTTCCATTACTCACAATTACCAATTTGATAACATCTTTGGTATGTTGATTGCTGATTGGTTTGGTGGGTTGAGTTTGGGTTGGTGGAAGCGGAATCACAATGTTCACCACTTGGTGACCAATGATCCTGTGCATGACCCCGATATTCAACATTTGCCATTCTTTGCAGTGAGTGTGAGATTGTTTGGGAATGTTTATTCAACCTTTTATGAAAAAATTTTATGGTTTGACAAATTGGCCCAGAAATTGATACCTATCCAGCAATACATGTACTATCCAATATTATGTTTTGGAAGATTCAATTTGTACAGGCTTTCTTGGACATACCTTCTTATGGGACAGGGCCCAAGAAAGGGCCGTGCGGCATGGTTTCGATACTTTGAAATTGCCGGAATGAGTTTCTTTTTTTATTGGTTTTTCTACTTGCTAGTGTTTAAATCTATTCACGGTGGATGGAACAGATTCATATACATCTTGGTGAGTCATGTATCCACAATGTTGGTACATGTTCAAATCACATTATCTCATTTTGCCATGTCTACCGCTGACTTGGGTGTGAGTGAGTCATTTCCATCCAGGCAGCTTAGAACTACAATGGATGTGGATTGTCCCGAGTGGCTTGATTTCCTCCATGGAGGTTTACAGTTTCAAGCAATTCACCATTTGTTCCCACGTTTACCACGTCATAATTTCAGACGCGTTCAACCTTTTGTTATACAATTCTGCAAAAAAGTTGGGTTATCTTATTCTATATATGGGTTTGGTAGAGGCAACGAGATTGTAATTGGCAAATTGGCTGAAGTTGCTAAACAGTGTTCCATATTACTTGACGCCACAAAGACTTATGACGGTGACTTATATTAGAGAGAAAGAAGAGAAAAGAGGGGAAAAGAAGAGGAAATAGAGAGAGAGAGAGAGAAATAGAGAGAGAGAGAGAAATAGAGAGAGAAATAGAGAGAGAGATCAATCTGGAAAGGGTAGTATTAGGCGTATTAATATAGAATGGTAAAAATAGAAAAACAATTTTCTCCATTTATTTATCATTTCCTATCTTTCATTACTTCATGGTCGATTAGCCCTTTCTCATCCAAGTATTTAATAAAGTCGATAATCACCATGTTCTCATTCAGCATTTGGTCACTAGTAATCAAGTGTTTGAATAGTGAGGAATTTGAAGTTGGCGTGTTTTGAGTTCGATTGGAGTATAATTTTGGAATGAGGGTGTTTATTCCATTTATGATTCTTCGATAATGAGTTGTGTTATTGGCATTGCCATTTGCAATAGGATTTGGGTCAACTACAATTTCGTGAACATTCCTACACTTGTCACCGAACTTGCATTTTTTGTATTGCTGGTAATTCCGACAAAGACTTTTACCTCTTTTGGAGCTTAGTTCTGACTCCTCAGGTAAACGTTTTCGAATATTGCTGTTATTTTGTTCAATCTTTGTTTGTTCTTGCCCTTGTTGTCGAGCCTCTTTCTTTCGTCGTATATTTGCTTCCGAAGGCCAGTTTCTTTTACGTTCCTCGATCCACTTCCTAATATCTTCTTCCGTTTGTAAGGTTATATTAGTTCCAGGTATTCGAATCACCTTTTGGTTATCATCAACAGACCTATTTTCTTCCTCCTTTTGGCAAACTCCATGGCTAGATTCAGGTTTAGACAATAACAGCTCAGTTGGTTCTGGCTCTTCATTAGGTAGATAAGTTGGTAAGTCCTGTAGAAACAGCAAGTCCAAGCCACTCATTATATTTAGCAAATTATTTCAGGAGATTATTCAAAGGACTTATTTCGCTGTATACTTTTGTTCCGATGAGATGAGCATTTTTTTAGGAGGTAAATTGTTAAGTGGCGGATAATGAGCATTATCGAGCAGAGCGAGATGGGGTCGTAACAAGCTCTCGTAACTAGTTACAAAGTGTTGTTCTGCTCGATAGTTCTCAATTGCATAGTAAAGTATCATTTATCGAGCGAAGCGGGATAGTGGAGATAGTATTTGTGGCAGTTACTGTGCTCTCATACCTCTAATCTAAAGCTCACCCTTACCCACACCCTCTTCCTCACCCTCTCACCCTCACCTTTTCTCTATGAGGAATCTGATTACTCACTCACCTTTTCTCAATGAGGAATCTAGTGTCGATAGTGTCAATGTAGTCAGTGTGCCCCTCCACCATCTCGCTCTGCTCGATAGCGAAGCGAGCTAGTGTTGGTAGTGTTATAACAAGCTATTCAGTACTGCTCCACTATCTCGCTTTGCTCGATAGTGTTGGTCAGTGCTACTCCACTATCTCGCTTTGCTCGATAGTATTGGTCAGTGCTACTCCACTATCTCGCTTTGCTCGATAGTGTTGGTCAGTGCTACTCCACTATCTCGCTTTGCTCGATAGTGTCGGGAATCTGATTACAAGAGCTCATTCCTAAAATTCACCCACCACCATTGTATGCTTTACCTAACCTACTATAAACTTTATCTTTTTAGAGTCGCCATGTAATCCATTGTAGTACCTATACTGTATCTACATTGTATAGCTTTTACCCTCAGCAATTACTTGAAAACAAAAACATCCTCCTTGTTCTAGCTGTTTAACTTGAAAGACAATGAATGTTTGTTTCAAGCTCTATATATTTACTCAAAGTTCTGTCCTACTTAATATCCTTCGACTAGAGTCGCCTTCGGCTCCTCTAGCCTCTCCCTCCTCTAGTCTTCGACTCCTCTAGCCTCTCCCTCCTCTAGTCTTCGACTCCTCTAGTCTCTCCCGCCTCGTGCTAATGCCAACGCGTTCAAAGCCAGGGGAGAAAAAATCAAGAGTAAAGATATACAAGAGGAAAAGATCAAAACAATAAATTTTCGTAATAAGGAGAGAGAAAAGAAACTCTTTACCAACTGGAGACCAGTAATATCCACATCATCATTTCTGTTTGAGGTACACAGAGGCAGGACAACTATACTCGGGCAAGCACATTGGTTGTTGGTCTTTTACTGGTCTTGATTTCCACCAAATATTGTACATTAGTTGCCAGGTTTTTCTTGTTCCATTTTATTATATACATATATTTTTTTTTTTTAAAGAGCTTTTCAATTCATCATTTGTATACTAGATTTTCAACATTGGTAGACATTTCTGTCCATTGATTGAGGGCCTTTTTTTTGTTAGTGTTTGTGAAGTTCTCGTGAAAGAGGAGGTTTATTGACAGTGATGACGAGATCAGTTTCGATTTCTGCAGTGGCTAAATCATCACCAACAACAACAACAACAACAACAACACAAGGACGACTTGGAAATGGGCATACCACAACGGGCTTGAGAAGTGCACTGATTGGATCCAGTTTCTTTAGCAACAAAACAACTAAAATCGATTCCGAAACTTCCGATTACAAGTGTGACAAGAAGAAGAAGAAGATGATGATGACGATGGATAGTAGCGGAAGATCTTTACCAGACGAGGATACTGTTGATACTGTTGCCCCTTTATCAGACCAGAATGCTGTTGAAGTAATTGATGAAGATGAATCTGGCAAAACAGGAATTGATATTGTTGGAGCAATAAGAAATTTGAATTTCAATGCTGTTGAAAAAAACGATGATAATGATGATAAGGAGGCAGACAATGAGGAGCAGCAGCGGCATCAGGAGGAGGGGGAGGATGACGAGGAGAGGAAAAAGAAGAAGAAGAAGAAGAAAGAGGAGGAGGAAGAAAAATGTAATGCCTCAAAAGCAAACTCTAATAGTGCAGAAGGACAGAAAAGAGGTTATTACTTTGGCTCTCTTCCTCGCTCCATCACGCCTCCACAACCTCCCGTGGACAATCTTGACGGATCAGATACTACTCAGCCAGTTAAGTGGACTAGTGGTTATGTGGGTGCAGAGACTGGGCAAGATTTGTCACTCTCTGAGCCTGCGTTAAAACCAGATCGTGATGGTAAGGAAAGTTTCGATTCTTTTATCAAACCATTTGAACCGCCAGAGTCTGAAGAAGATACCAAGACTCAACAGCAAAACGGATTGAATTTACCTCAGAAACTTGATCAGTATCAGCCAGCTAGAGCCAAAATTATTGATCCAAATGTTACTTTTGAAAATAATCAGTTTATGCTTCCTCCTCATTTAATGGGGAATCCCCATGTGCCACCGCTAAATGTAACACACCCTCAGTTTAGTCCTTTTTCACCAGTCCCCATATCTCATCACCAAGGACCGCCCCATCCAATGATGCCACCATACCAATACTCATCACTTTCTCACACTCCAACATCAACTGGGTTTCAAAATTTTGACTTGAACTCCCCAGGCTTACCGCTTAAACCAAATGGTCCTGGGTTTCAACAAGGGTCAGTATGGAATGCTACACATCAAATGCAAAATATAGGTGGTGAAGGAATTGCTCAACAGAACCAGCATCCACAGCAACAGCAACAGCAACAGCAGCAGCAGCAACAACAACAACAACAGCAACAACAACAACAACAACAACAACAACAGCAGCAGCAGCAGCAACAGCGGCATCAGCAACAGCATCAGCATCAGTATCAACATCAAATACCACCACTTCAACAAGAACCGTCTCATTTTCAACCGCATCAACAAAAAATAAACGGTGGATTCCGTTTTCAACACCGGAATGGACAATTTCCAAATAGCGAAACGAATCAAGATCAAAGAAGGCATCAAAAAGGTGGAAACTATTACACAAACCGTTATAATTCTCATCAACACCAACATCACCAACACCAGTACCATCCCCTACATCAACATCATTATAATTTCAATCAGGCCCGTCGTGGTGAAGATGCACGTAAGTTCATTGATGCCAAGGTTGAGGATTTCAAAGGGCTGATATTGAGTTTATGTGCTGATCAACATGGATGTAGATTTTTGCAACGTGAATTGGATGAGCAGCGAAAGAAACATAGCAAAAAGGAGGAAAATGAAAAGGAGGAGGTAGAGGAGGAGGTAGAGGAGGAGGTAGAGGAGGAGGTAGAGGAGGAGGTAGAGGAGGAGGTAGAGGAGGAGGTAGAGGAGGAGGTAGAGGAGGAGGAACAGCGGAAGGAGCCGGATAAGGAAGCAGTGATGGGGGAGAAGGATGATAATCCAGTGGCCACGCTTATTTTCAACGAAATCAAATCTAATACAGCAGATTTAATGGTTGATGCATTTGGTAACTATTTGATTCAGAAATTGATCGAATGTATTACTGCTGAGCAAAGATTAATTTTGGTGCAAAATGCACAAGACGAACTAGTTCGAATATCTTTAGACTCACATGGTACAAGGGCTTTACAGAAACTAATTGATTGTTTAGGCACAGAAGAGAAGGAATCTAGAAAACTAATTATTGACAAATTGGCACCTCATATTATTGAATTATGCTGTGATTTAAATGGTAATCATGTTGTTCAAAAATGCCTAACGAAATTATCCAGTGATGATAAGGATGAGTGTGGAAACCAATTTATATTTGATACGTGTTTGGAAAACTGTGAATTAATTGCAAGTCATCGTCATGGATGTTGTGTTTTACAGAGATGTCTTGATCACGGGGACGAACAACAAATCAAACGGTTGAGCCAGGAGATTAGTTGGAAAGTGGATAAGCTTGCATATGACCCGTATGGAAATTACGTTATCCAGTATGTTTTGACTCATCATGATGGTAGTGATTCAAACAGTATTCAGAGAATAATATCGTATTTGAAGGAGAATTTTTATGAATTATCTATACATAAATTTGGATCAAATGTTATTGAGAGATCATTGCGATTGAAAGATGAAAACAACTGCAGTGGCACCACTACAGTTAAGGATGAAATTATCCAAGTATTGTTCACAAAATTATCGACCGAGGAAATCAATCAAATACTAAACGATCCGTATGGTAATTATGTGTTACAAACATGCTTGGATGTTGCTAAATTAGAAGAGTTGAAGAAATTGAGTAATATATTGATGCCATTTTTACCAAATATTAAAACAACGCCACATGGAAGAAGGATAATGAGTAAATTACAATAAAAATAGTAGTAATAGTAGTAGTAGCAGCAGCAGCAGCTGCAGCAGTAGTAGTAGTAGTAAGTACGTTCTTTTTTGGAGGAGCTTAATATATTGAAAAGAAAAGAAGTTGAAAAAAAAGAAGTTGAGAAAAACGTAGGCTAGAATATTTGTCAAATAAAAGGGGGTGGCAGTGAGCAAAGACAAGAGATAGAGTGATTGGAAGCATGCTTATCATGGTCTGCGGTATCGACCACTATCAAGCAAAGCGAGATAGTGGAGCAACACTCAGTAGCTTGTTACAACACTATCGACCGACACTATCGACCGACACTAACTAGCTTACTACAACACTATCTCGCTCTGCTGGATAGTTGAGCATACTAACTAGCTTATTACAACACTATCTCGCTCTCTCGCTCTGCTCGATAGTGTTGCTCGATAGTGTTTACATATTTTTATTTTTTATTTTATTTTTGACACTATTAATTAATTATTATCAAATATCGAAAGGTCTAGAAGCCAGAGTGTCTAACAAGTGGCAGTTTCTAGCCATTTATTTTTTTTCCTACTATTCACATGGTGAGTATACAATAGACTTACAATAGTAGCTTTTTATAAATTACTCATAATTGGAATTGTTTCCCCTCCTTTTCGACCCTACCTCTGTTGCGGTATATCCAAAAAAAAAAACCCCTCAATTTTCCTTTTTTTTGGGCTTGGGCTTGGGCTTAGTACGACTCTCTCACATCTATTTACCTCTTTGTTCTTATTTTTTTTTTCTGTTGGTTCGAAACAAATTCAATCTTTGCTCTTTATGTTAACGAGCTGGCAGGGGGGGGGGGGGAAAGCTCGTTTAGAGAAAACAAAAATGGTAGGCTATAATATAGGCAACGCTACCAAATGCATTGTTCAAGGGAGGGGTAATTTTTTTCCTGTTTTTGCAACCTATACGAACACATAAAGCTTCATCCTCGAGAAGTTTCATATATAAATGGATAGATGGATGAGTTAGAGAAGTAGGTGATAAATCTATCATAGTTGTCTTCATTGAAGCCATTTAATCCATATATTCACTATGCTCACACGTTTCTCACGCTCATTGTTGAAATCGCCCTTTAGAACCGCAATTGCATCTAAACCATCTCAATCATCTCTATTGTACAATTTGCAGCAGCAGCAACAAAAACAAAAACAGCAAGACCCTTTTTATATATACACCAAGTCACCAAATGCGTGTGTACAAACGCAAAATTGTGAGCTGTCGCAACTGGCGCAATCGAAACTGTACCATGATATAGATTACAATACAGCAAATTTCCATGAATTTTACAACACAATGCCACATATCCATCAACAAATAGGCATTGATGGTGAGAAACGATGGAGGTATGTTGATTTAGTACATCCTCATGTTGCTGAGTTTGCTGATTTATTCTAAACTATTTTGAACATTCTTATTTTTTTGATTTTCGTTTTTTTGGTTTTGATTTTGGTTTTGGTTTGGTTTTGGTTCTGGTTCTGGTTCTGGTTCTGGTTCTGGTTTTGGGCTATGGCTATGGAATAGCAGTTAGATACTCTTTAATTATTAATTTCATTTTACTCTTTTAATAAAAGTGGCACATATTTTGTTAATTTCAGTATGCAAGTTTATTGCTAAACTAAATATTCTCTATAAAAAAAGAACAACAACCAATGAGTAAACTAATGAGTGAAAAACTCATTAGCTCAACATGCAATTATTCATTGAACAGTCACAATTAAACGTCTCTATCAAAAAAAAAAGTATTTGTAGATTGTCCAATCATACTTCAAGTAGTTCTCCTATTTCCTCCCATAAATTGAGTAAAAAAATTACCTAATCTGGATCCACTGCTGCTATTGCCATTACTGTCAACAGTGTTGAACTCACAATGGTTAGTTTCTTCTTCATTGTTATACCCGCCAACATTATCTCTAATGCCTAAACAGCCATTGCCATCGTTGCTACCTCTTCTCAAAACCATAACTTCTTCTTCGTCCTCTTCTTCCTCTCCGTCCTCTTCGTCCTCTCCGTCCTCTTCGTTAACTGATAACACAGATGAAGAAAAGCTTCCATTTCTCGCCTCATTAATACAGTTGGAATCAACTGTAGGTGGTAATGCTGATGGGGAAGGTGCACGCTCTACACTAACAAGTGTAGAAACATCATCATCAAAACTCCTCCCTGTTGTATTGGAATCACTTGTGCTCCTGCTGCTCCTGCTGCTTCTGCTTGTGAATCCTCTTGTTTGTCTAAGTTCGTTGACTCTTGAATGAACTGCACTAGACCCCAAAAAGTTGCTATTAGCAGTATTGATTGCTTCCACGGCAGGTGGAGCAAGTGGTGGTATTGTTGAAGGAGAAGGAGAAGAAAAAGATGATGATGATGATGATGAAGAAGAAGAAGAAGAAGAAAAAGAAGGAGTTGTTGATGCGTTGCTCTGAGCAGCAGCAGCAGATAATGATGATGATACATTATTAGCAAGAGAAGCTCCCTCTCTGTTTTCATTTCTCCTCAAAACGTTAGCAAAGGAGTCTGTATGCCTCCCAGACGGTTGAAAACTATCAAAAATGAGATTCATAATTTCGGTAAAGTCAGGAGGTTGTTGTTGTTGTTGTTGTTGTTGCTGCTGCTGTTGCTGTTGCTGTTGAAAATGTTGTTGATGTTGTGTAGTTGTAGTCTCACTTCTCTGACCAGTGCCAAACAGTTGATATAAATTTTGAATTACTCGAGAAATTGTAGAAAAATCTAATTGCGGTAATATTGATTGATTCGTTTGGTTATTTTCTCCAGTCTGATTTCCAGATGCCGAAGTGGCGGACTCCATGGATCTTGTTTCTCTTCTATTGCCTCTTGGATTAACTAAAGTATAAAATGTGGTATCATTAGTGTTTTGGTTTGATCCCGATTGATGTCTCCGAGTTATACTCAGAAACCCACCTAGATGATCAACCGTAAAACGATTACTAGATCCCGTATCTAATGCATTCCCTATGTGTTGTTGTAAACTATCGGAAAAATGCCAAAATGGCGAACGAAAGGTATTTGATGTATTGGTATCACTATTGGCTGCAGCCGGTCTAGTATTGCTCTCATCTCTATTGAGATTAGAACCATTTGAACTAGAGCTTGAATTTGAATTTGAATTTGAGTTTGAGTTTGAGTTTGAGTTTGAGTTGGACCCATTGTTTCCAGGTGACGGAAATGAAAAAATGGTAAATGTTTGTCCATTGATATTACGACGCTGAGAAGACGACCCTCCAAATATACCATTAGCATCTCTTATCCCTCCATCATTATCATTACCGTCATTGTTATTATCATCGTTATTTGTTCTTGATGATTCACTTGTATCAACAAGTGAAAACCTACATAATGGGCAAGTTGAATTTTCCTTCAACCACTCACATAAGCAATCTTCTCCAAATATATGATTGCATGGTAGTTTGGTTGCACTATGTGAAAGCAGCCCCGTGAAATCAAGAAGATAGACTGGTTCCGCTTCTGGTGGAGGAACCGAAGTTGTTGGCAGATTAGTCGTAGCATTAGTCGTAGTATTGGTAGTAGTGGCAGCAGCAGCAGCAGATGCTTCCGTAGATGTATGTGGCAATGAAGCAGTATTAGCGTTTGCATCATCAGTTGAAAGAAGTGATGAGTTTGATGCTTCTCCAGACAGTGAATGCTCATCAATTAACTCAGTCTTTGATCTAGAGAATCTCCTCATCAACTTAGACTTTATATTCAGGAGTCTTCTTTTCTTGCTTGTAATAAATCCGTCAAGGTCTTCTTCAACACAAGACTCGCTTTCCTTCTCCTTCTCATTCATATTCTCCACTTCTTTTTCATCCTCCAACGGCTCAAATTCCTCCAAACAAATAGAACATACTCTTGTCTCATCAAGTAAATTTGCCAATTTCACTTTTTCAAATGATTTGAATTTTGAGAGTTTGATTCCCTTCTTTTGACTTCGGATACTAGTCATTATCAAAGAATAAGCCATTTGAGTTGCCATTCTTATCATCTCCTGTACCACACTGGGATCTCTAGTGGTAGATGTATTAGGCAACGAAAGAACTAAGGATCCTGACCTATTTGGAGTAGTTGGTCTATTTTCATCCGAAAATACATAGTCAACGGTAATAATGGTGGCGCTTTCCTCACGACCGCTGCCACGTAAAAAGTCTCTAAGACTTGTGTTGGGAAGGTTTGTGGTGGGGGTTGTACTTGCATTTGCTTGATTGTTCCCAGTTGCTGTGGAAGTTGTGCCCAAAGACTGTGGATCGAATCTTTGACGAAAATTGTCAAATCCGTTTCGTATTGTGCCCCTGCTAGTGCCTGTGGATGTGCTAGTGTCAGTGGCCGTGCTAGTGCCAGTTCCAGTTCCAGTTCCAGTTCCAGTTCCAGTTCCAGTTTCAGTGCCAGTGCCAGTTTCAGTGCCAGTTCCAGTGCCAGTTCCAGTGCCAGTTCCAGTGCCAGTTCCAGTGCCAGTTCCAGTGCCAGTTCCAGTGCCAGTTCCAGTGCCAGTTCCAGTGCCAGTGCCAGTTCCAGTACCTATACCCGTACCCGTATCCGTATTCGGTGACTGATTAAGCTGTTGTGAATCTTGATTGCTGTCCATATCCATATGAAACAAAGATCAAATACCTGGTATTTTCCAAAAAAAAAAAAAAAAAAAATTTCTTATACCAAAAAGATGAATTTAATAACAATTCAACCAGTAGATGTTAAAATTTTCTCTCTTTCTCAGTTTGTCCTCTAAGGTGGCGAGTTTTATTGGAAAATGTACCTAAAAGCAGTATGATGGATGACCCCCATGCGATAAATGACAAAAAAAAAATAGTTATATATATTAACTCCACAAAAGAAATGTGAGAAACAACTTCAATCTACTTTAGCCTCTTGGTCGAGAAATAACTATTATTGTTAGAACTTATACCGTACCTCTTCCTTCTATATAAAACTCTGTCATATACCCCTCCTAGTAGGATATATTGCTAGTTAATAAAAAAAAGCAAACAAGTAGAGTGTAATTAATAATCAGATTTTCACTGGACATTACAAAAACTATTTTTGGCCCTAATTGGATCTCATGGTCTTTTTTTCGCTTTGGTCACACAGTGCACATTCTGATATATACGCTACCAAATACTTATCTTATCTCATGAATTGAGATATCAATGGCGATAGCAATGGCGATATCAATGGCGATATCAATGGCGATAGCAATGGGGTGATATCAATGGGGTGATATCAATGGGGTGATACCAATGGGGCAATACCAATGGGGTGATACCAAAGGGGCAATACCAAAGGGGCAATATCCAAGGGGCGATAAAAGTCAGTTCTTTTATACCTACCAAACTCCCCCAAATTCGTTATTTCTAATAAATAAAACAATCAACTTCCATCTCCTGGTTAAAGTAACAATTGTCCAAATCACAAAAAAACCCAATATACTTAGCAAGACACCAAAGAATATCGTACTTAGACATATTCTAATTATGCTATAGATGACATCTAATCCAGTAAACAAAAGTGACAAGAAATCCGTAAAGTAAACTAAAAATAATTGAGACAGGATCAATTTGTACCTAGCTAAACTGTTTGCATCTTCTGAAACGTCTCCATATATTGTGGTCAAATTGTTTATTGCTAGAAACTCATCAAGTCCATTTGTGAATGGCGGTTCAAACGAGTCAGGATCAAATACTAAAATTAAGGGGATTCTTGTAACCAAATTAGACAATATATCATTTCTGATGTTTTCAACTATAATTGACGTCAAATTCAACCAATTAATCATCCCTTTTAAAAACTTAGCAAAACATATCAACAATATGAAAAAAAAAACTTTGGCTTTACATGCAAGTGAAAAATGTCAAAGAAAGGACTGGCCTGCTGAATCACTGGTGCTGTAGTACTTTATTATAACAACCAGAGCAGAGAAAAAAAAAAAAAGAATGGTGGTTAACACTTTTCCCCAACAAAAAGTTATGAACTTGTAACTATACCTGACGCAATACACGGTTTTGTCCACTACCTATACTCTGTAACTTAGGTAGGTGAAAGCACGATTGGTACAGTTTAATGATATAAATTAATTTTCGACTTTCCTTATACCAAATGCAAGTTTTTTTTTGTTTTGTTTTTTTTTTTTTAGTGTGCGCGCCCACGACTTTTGTATCACTCCCCCTCGAGTCAACCTATTCTAAATCCCCAAGATGAAGCTACTGGAAGTGGGAAACAAGCTCCTCTTTAAATTTTCTCCGCTCAGGGGCCAAGAGAAAGGCATGGGTGAGTAAGAAAAAATCTTTTGTTTTAGATTTTTTTTCTCCCAACACCGCCAGGGCAAAGTTGAGGGTACTTGTAAAATCCGGGGATTATTACTCTTTACAGTATAATATGTCGTTTTTTTGATTTTTTGTGGGACCAAACAGTTTTTGCCCCACCTATTGACAAAATAAAACACAAAATGCACATTGGTTTATTTCTGATTGATAAAATATTGCGCTTATCAAAAAACCTTCGTCTAATTGACAAACGAAGGTTTCTGAAGAGTCAAAAAACTTGTATAATCTTTTACTCTAAAGACGCGTGTTGGAAAATAATATATACTGAAAGGAAAAAAGGGAAGGATAAGGATACAATAGAGAGAAGGATACAACAGAGAATTGGGAAAGAGAGAAGGATACAACAGAGAATTGAGAAAGAGAGAAGGATACAACAGAGAATTGGTGTCTTTTTTCTTTCATTATAGGTGTTCTTTTTTTTTTTTTCTCTCTTCACAATTGAGCTAAATCGAGATGAAAAGAGTTAGAGATAGATTTGAGGTGGAAGAATTTCTTCCCTTGGCAAAGCACAAAGTCAAACAGAAAAGCATTAAACTAATTGACCTACCAGAAGACGTATTTGATGTCATTTGCTTTTATGTCCCGTTTGAGGATCTTCTAAACTTATCTATTACCAACCACAGATACAGACACTATTTGAAGCCAAGGATTTTCAAAAATGTAAAGACCTTCTGGTGGGTAATCATACGTGACGGTGGGTTCAGATACGGTTTTTTACATGAGCATAAACATTATATTCAACAACTTCATATACTTGATGCGTATACATATGGCGAATGGAATAGGGATATTTTCACAGCTCAGATTGGATTACTTCCCAATCTACGTCATTTGAAAATTAATACATTGAACTCATCTTGTTGGATGAAACATAGATCTAATGATTATATTGAAGAATTATCAGTTTACAGTAACGCTGATGCGATAGACTCACAATTGAAACTAAACTATTTTGAATGGAGAAATACGCGTCATATACTCCCCGTTATGATGGACTGTTTTGCCCTTCCACATGTTGAACACTTTACAAAGCTCAAAGCGCTAAAATTACGAGCCCGTGAATTTGTTTGGCTTCCTAACTGGCCAGAAACGCCTTCGTTGAGGTTGGAAACCTTAGAATTGTGTGATTGTCGTTGGATCTGGCCATTTCGAGTTTCGCAATTTAATTATTACAAGACTTTGAAAAACTTATATTTGAGGTATAACGTCAGCTCTTCGTTTATACGTTCAGCAAATTTCAGAGAGCTTTTAGAATTCAAGGGCGAAAATTTGAAGAGCGTTACTTCATTTCGGGTACATTATTACGTTGCTTTGAAAAGAAACGTTGAGTATGTGCTTGAAGACAGATTTCAAATGGCAAAATGGCCAGAGTTGCAAGAGTCGGTTATAAAACATTTCTTAAATCCTGAAAACTTGCCTAATTTAAGAACATTAGACTTGAGTGGATGGAACCTAATACTAGATAGAGGATCCTATGATTGGATAATAAACCAATTGAAAAACAGTGATCATTTGCAAACATTCAAATTGAATATTTCCAATAAAGCCTCGCCGCTTGAAGACACGTGTGCACATCAAGTGGATGTTTATAAGGCTCAAGAGAAATTTAGAAATGCCATTCCGGGAAAATCGATTTTTATTGATGGCTTAAGGAGCAAGACCACAACCGGCTATCTTACTAACCGTTTGAACGAGTGGCAGCGATTCTCTTTGTTACAACGCGATTATTTATAGAGAGATACCAAATGATGGGCAACACTAGTGGCACTATCGAGCAGCACTGACCACTGACTAGTGACCCTGTGACAAGTATTTTTAGAGACCAACCAGTGTGTGCACTCTCCATTTAGAAATCATAATTAACTAAGCTCATCATCTCTATTTTTTTTTTTTTTTCTTCTTCTTCTTCTTCCCCATACAAGACTTGTCTTTCACACAATCGACACGAGTAGAGGGGTTTAAGTCGAGGGTTTTACATTGGGGGTGTGTGTAATCAAAACTATCTCATGATTCATCTCATTAGCCTATTTTTATTCTATTTGTCGATATGTCTAGCAAACACGGAAACTTATCTCTTGAGCATTCCGCATTATTATAACATACCCAAACCAACAAACCGAATCACCTCGGGGTACCCACGTGATATTCAACATTTAAACACCACTCATTCTGTATTGCTACAGTACCATATTGGGTCAATACGAGATCAAATACCATTTGCTCATAACAAATATACCATTTCAAATACAAATGCAAATACAATTGTTATACCTTATGATACTACTTTGCCAGTGCAAAAGACGCTATTGGTTAAAATCAACAATTATAGCGATTCCATTATTGAAAGCAACGATTTGTTGTTTATAAAGCTATGTTGGCCTGCTACTCTGGCCTATGATTTTCGACTATCTCATGAATATATAAAGACAAATGAATTATTGGGAATTGATAGAGAGTCTAAATCATTGGGAATTGATAGAGAGTCTAAATCATTGGGAGATAATGATATCGAGTCCAAGGATTTAGATTTGTACTTGCGTATTGATTATCAGTTCTTTGGTGTTACTTATAATAGGGACAAGTTTTTACACAGTGAAGATGAATTAAAGTTTCAGTTGTATATCAATAAATTACCACTCAATTGGTTACCGATCCCTTTAGAGTTATACGATTTAATTATATACTTGGTTGATATATTTATAATACTTGTCACCCAATTGGGATATATCAGAAGCTTACTAAATATATAAGGGGTGAGTAGGGGTTTCAAAAGCTGTGTTATCTGTTCCACCCTTTTTCCTCCTTACTTTTTCTTTTTTTTTTCACCCCCTGGATGCACCATCTTCCCTCCCCCTGAATGAACCACTATGCTTTGAGTTTCGCCCTGAATGCATCATGCTTTGAGTTTCGCCCTGAATGCATCATGCTTTGAGTTTCGCCCTGAATGCACCATTATGCTTTGAGTTTCGGTAAAAGCTCACACTTGTGTCTCCTCTTTACAATTGACACCTTCCCCCCCCCCTCCTCTAGTTTAAAACTGGGCAAGCTGAGTGCTTAGGATACGAGAGACGTCGTGAGAAGAGAAGGGAAGGGGGGGGGGGGGCATTTTGCATCCATACATCAGTATAATTTAAAGTAAGCTAACTATTATTAATTTTTTTAGTACACCACAACTAAATTGTAATTCAAAAAAAAGTCACTCTCTTATAAAGTTGAGAAGTCATAAAGGTTTGCTTTCTTTTTAAAAAGAGTGTTATTTTCTAGATTGGGTAGAAAAGAAGCTTGATAAAAGTGATTATATAAAATTTCCCAATGTCTAATCAGCTCAGCGACGATGATCCGTTGTCAGAACCCCAAAATACTCAGAATATAGACTTATCAAAGCTATCACCACAGGAACTTCGAATTTATAAAATGTATGGTAGATTGCCAACAACGCAGCAAATTTTGAGTTCTCAGTTTCACGATAAGAAATATTTTGATAGCGGTGATTATGCGATGCAGAAACAGAAACCTGGCTATAATAAGAGTTTAAGTGGTGTTTTGGGAACTTCCAATGGTATGCCTATGAGGCATCCGAATGCTGAACGAGTAAAGGAGATGTCAGTGAGGAATTCAATAAGTGCTACAAATGCTCAAATATTTGCCAATGGTAAAAGCGGACTCTTGAATGAAAGCACTCCAAGGGCAAGTCAGGAGAAGAGTGGAAATGATGATGAAACGGTATAGCAGGTGAGAAAGGGGAAAAGAAAAATGTTGTCCATTGGCGGGTGAAGAAGAAGAAGAAGAAGAAGAAGAAGAAGAAGAAGAAGAAGAAGAAGAAGCTAGCTTCATTGGAATGTGTATACCTATGGAAATGGAAAGGGGTGTCAAATATGTGGGGCAGGTGTAAAGTAAAGCGACGGAAAGAAAAAGAGTGCATTTGGAGAATTTCTCACTAGTGTTCTCCAAACTTGGGGAAATTATTGATGAATATTTCCACTATTGAGCAGGGCGAGATAGTGGAGTAACACTTGGTATCTTGTTTGTATCTCGCCCTGCTCGATAGTGGAGTAACACTTGGTATCCTGTTTGTTTGTTTGTATCTCGCCCTGCTCGATAGTGGAGTAACACTTGGTATCCTGTTTGTTTGTTTGTTTGTTTGTTTGTTTGTTTTTGGGAGGAGGGGATGAAGGGCAAAGAAGAACGTGTTGTAATACACGGAACTACCAAGAGTCAGTCATACATAATAGTATTAGTAGTATTAGCAATAGTAGCAGTAGTTTTCAAACTAGCTTGATGTTTTTAAATAGGAGTTTTATCTTAATGAAAAATTGTAAAAAAGAAAAAAGACTAGTATCGAGATTGGAAAAAATGATGATTATTTGTAGGTGGTTTAAAGAAATATATGTTACTGATAACGAGCGAGCAGTTTGATGCAACAATAGTACTATTTAGTGAGTTGATTGTAGGTAATCTACAGTCCACCCTTCCATTTAAAGTTCTATCCAGTATAGTGAGAACAATTGGTGAGGACAAGTGTCTTTTTTTTAGCATTGATCTTCTTGTTGATATTCAAATCAGAATTGACTTCACTGTGTCATACGACAAGTTCTACCAAGTACCAATTTATCACTTACGACTATTTATTAATGATAAATTAGATTTCGATATAGAGAAAGTGTGGAACATACTCAGAAGCAATGACAATCAACGGTTAGAAAAAGTTGATTTATTAATTGTTGATCATGCTTTATTGCAACTGCCCTGGTTACAAATCCACCCTTGCGAAACACTTAATACACTAGATATTTTCACTAAAGGCCAAAACATTAATCAAGAGACGGAGACTGGAAAGGAATCTAAATCCACATTACAATACTTGATTTGTTGGTTTAACTTATATGCATTACCAACTACATTTCCTCAATTCTCACTTCGACCCAATTCTGCTGCTGCTGTTGCTGTTGTTGATGCTGCTGATGCTACTACTACTACTACTACTACTACGCAATAAAGAAAAACCGTTCTTCTGCAGTTTTTTATTTTTTTTTTTAAAGTGGTGAAGTGCTCTGTTGTAAAGGATGTGGGTTTTTCGATTTGATATCGGTGAACATGCGACATGGGTATTGATCAGTATACATTCCATGAACACTTTCAGGCAAGATTTCCCACTTAAACTTGTTTAAACTTGGTGCCACAATTGGTTCTCCTTGTTGTCCCAAGATTTCGCCTCGTACGACTGTTTCGGGCACATGAGACAAGGTGTTGGACAAACAAACTACTTCTTTGGCAGCTGTATATGTACTCAACTCCTTATTGCCCTTATCTCCTATAGAGATTCTTGGATGTGCTGCATTTCCCAATTGCAATAATCCCGAGATTTTAGTTTGATCAAAAGCGTGAGTCTGAGGGTAGTTTCTTCTATAATCTCTTTTAAAATAAGGATTTCCCTTGATATCGCCTGCTGGAACCGTTATTGGATCTTGGTATGCTTTAGCTTCACGAACTCGTTCACCAGGTGGAATACTTCTAAATAGCGAAACAACTGGATTACCTGATGATCTATTTGGTACGAGCACTAATAATTGTCTCAATTTCTCCCATATACCTCTTGATCTAGTTGTGTATTTCTTCCATATTGGGACAGGACCACCAGACATCTTTTCTTTAGCAATAAACTCAGTAAAGTAACCTTACTTACTATAATATGGTTAATCTCTCTCTTTCTTCTCTATTGGCTTTTTTTTTCCTCTATAGAGATCCCTTTACTAAGGCTTTTTTTTTCAGCCAATGAAGAAAAAGTTAGTAGTAATAGTGTTTGTATGCAGGAGAAAGGCCACCAAAAACCACCAGCAAATACCACCAGCAGAGCCAACGGCGATGCTGGTGGGAGAGAGGGAGAAGCTTGTAGATAAAGAGGAACTGTAGGTGGGAGAGAAGGAGAAGCTTGTAGAGAAAGAGGAACTGTAGGTGGGAGAGAGGGAGAAGCTTGTAGATAAAGAGGACCTGTAGGTGGAAAAGGAACTATAGAGAAAGAGGAACTGTAGGTGGAAGAGATAGTGTCGCTCGATAGTGTCGTTCGATAGTGTCGCTCGATAGTGTCGCCTTTGAAGAAATAGCACGTGCTTACCAAACTTTTCCTCCATCATCATTACCAAATTCTACAACTTATTCCAAAAATATACTCTATTTTATATTTACCCATGCCGTTGAGGATGCAGCTTTTATACATAAGGATCCCAAATACCAATAAATATACAGTAAAAAATAAGATATATATATATATATATATAAAAAGGGGAAAAAGCCAGTTTTTAAAGCTTAACAATCAATGTTGAAATGAAATGTTGAAATTTGTATATGCAAAGTTTTGTTTTATTTTGTTTGGTTCTTGCCTAATTAACCATCAAACATAAAATTGTGTCTCGCCCAATTGTAAAAACGCAGTTGAGCGAATGTTTGAGAAAAGAAGAGACTGATGTTGAAAGTCTCTTTTTTTTCTCTCTAACTAGGCATTGTTGAATTGCCTTTTATTTTAATCCTCCTCCTCCTCCTCCTCCTCCTCCCCTCACCATTAAGCAAGAATGAAATTTGGTATACTCCTTACATCTCACACACGGTGGAAGAGATAGTGTCGGTGGCAGCTAGTGTGCTCCACTATCTCGCTCTGCTCGATAGTGTCGTGGTGGGGAGGATTATGATAATTCGTCAAGATTTAAGTTATAAATCAAATTGAATAGTGTTGAGTTTGAATCAACAAAGTCGTTATTAACCAAGTTACACAAGACAAAGTCTTGGCTGAACTCAGTCATCATATTGCTAAAGCTTTGTAGTTTTTGTTGATCTTTAATTTCTACTAAACTGGAAGTCAACACTTTATTCCATTCTGAGAAAAGTCTGTAAACTTCATCTTTCCATGCCAAAAAGGAGGTCTTCTCCACAATGGTTGGTTGTAGAATCTCTTCACCTGGGAATACTCCCCATGTGACAGCATTGATATCGTCGTCATCACAATTTGTTGTTAAATTGCCTGCTAAATCAACTGCATAATATGAGATTATAGCTGGCGACGACTCGCCTTGGTTCAAATTATACTCGTCAATCCTACTAAGCAACTTAGTAATAATATCCCTATGACAGAAAAATTCCAAATACTGTTTTTGGTAAACATATCCATTCTTAGGGCCCCAACCAAACACCTTGTCTGAGGACTTTACTGAGTTGAGTGCAGGTTGCGAATTCATGGTCAACAATCCTCTTTTGTTCAACTTGGTCAAATCATCAACTATAACTTTGGTATCGTCTCCTACGGCACCATCGAACCATGGCAAGGATTTCAAATCTCCCTTCAAGTACGAAATAACTATTTCGCTCAATTCTTTTAAATTTGCAGGAGTATCCCATAGCTCATATGCTCTCTTGGGCGACTGTCTTAACAATTCAGATGCACACAAGTCTATATCACCAAAAGCAGGAGACCTCGAGTCTCCCCATCTTCCATTTGGGAACTCGTCCCAAGTTGCTGTTCTAGAAACATAGGAGTATTTCCTGTTTTGCCAAAAGATAGGACGAATTGATTCTTTAACTCTTTCTGGGTGCAATGATTTTCTCCATGGTAATTCTGCACCTCTAACAGTATCGTGTGATTGAATAGCTTCTATGAGGTTCAATCTTTCTAAAACCATAACCGTTGCTTTTTCCAAGTTCATGGTGTAGAAATGTAAATGGTTTACATACCCTGATCTAACCAATTTCAAACACATCTCACTAACCAACTCTGTACCTTTTTCTCTAACTAGGAAATCATCGTCTTTAATAGGATCCAATGCTTCTAAAAAATGTGGTGGTATCCTAATTTCTGACCATTTAGCTCTTCTGACAAATGCAGCATAAGTAGATATTGGCATAATACCGGGGATTATGGGGATCTCAATTCCGATTTTGCGTAACTTCTCACACCAGGAGATAAAATTATCCACATCGTAAAACATTTGGGTTATTATAAAGTCAGCGCCAGTATCGCATTTTTCCTTTAAATAATGTAATGTTCTCATTTCGTCCTCTTCCTCAGGATGGCCCTCGGGATAGGCAGCCACTCCAATATTGAAATGGTCACCATATTTAGTTCGAATATATTTTATCAAATCCTTGGCATATTTGAAATCCCCAGTTGATTCACTTCCATCCAAGGGTAAGTCTCCTCGCAATGCTAAGATATTTTGACACCCTGACTTATAGGCCTTGTCCAACGCTTCATCAATCAACTCCACCTTCATATTTGTGCACGTTAAATGCATACACGTTTCCAACCCCAAAGCAGATTGAGCAGTGTAGACCATCTCATTAGTTAGCTTAGAGGATCTACCACCGGCATTCCAAGTAATATCAATAAAAATAGGGTTCAAGTCGTACATCCTATCCATTCTATCATAAAGATTCTGTACACCCTGTGATGTTTTAGGTACAAAAAACTCAAATGAAAATGTAGTGGGACATGGACGAACACTGCTAACATCACTATGAGCCTGGTGTAACTTTTCTGATATCTTCATCTCGCAAAGAAGGATCAACCCAAAGCACGAGAAAAGGAGGATATAAGATGCTGGCGTTGTGTAAAGTAAAAGAAAGATTGAAAGAAGGTGAAAAAAAAAAAAATATATATATATATATATAAAAAATCAATTTTGATAGTGAAATTTCCAGCTCTTTTGTTGGGTGGTTGATTTTTCATTTATGAGTTATACCTGAAAAATTGAAATCTGTACCACCACCACTACCACCAAAAGGGTAAGTAGTTAGCTCATAAGAGGATACACTAATAGGAACCAAACCCGTGTGTAACAGACACGTGGATTTTACCACTAGCAATAATAGCCTCATATGCCATTTCAATTAACTGAGCGTTTTTCTCATTAGCTTAGTATTATAATCATGCAAGGAATTAAGACCATTTTAAAAGATCCTCGTGATTCACACACAAAAAAAAAGAAAAAAAAAAAAAGAAAAAAGAATATTAAAGGTAAAGGTATAAAAAACATATGTGTGGTTGATACATCGTATGGAATAGGTGGTGATGGGCCTTTATTGATAGGAAATGGAGGAAACTATTATTTGAATTTGATTGTAGGATTTCATCAATAGCTTCCTTGTGACAATAATGTAGACGTACAAAAACGTGCTTTAGAAAAACATAGATGTGACATATTGCACAAAACCATTGCTAACTCCATATTTTCGCAGCCGATGCATAAAGAAAAGAACTTTAATAACCGAGTTTGATCAAGTGATGACGAGTCTGTTCACGTATCATCCGCAAGCACTCTATCCAACCTTTTAACAAAATCTCTAAACTCTTTCAGCAGACACTGTTTTCTAATTAAAAGTCTCAATTCTTTATCGGTTACGGGGAAGGCACCTTCCTGATGGTTGAGTAAAGTTTGTGGAAACATTTTTATGGGCTGTGACCATACTTGTGCATGAGATAATTTCGCTTCAGTCTGGCTGTTTGCATTGTGGTATTGCGTTGTGGGAAAAATTGAAAATTGCTGATGCGGCTGGTACTGATTGGAAGTTGGGTGAAGGGTTTCAAGTGGTTGCAGTTGGTAGTTGATTGAATTGTGACTATTGAGGTACGACTGCTGTGACAATGCTGCCATGGACAAGAATAAAGGATGAACTTGAGGCTGAGGTTGAGGAAGGGGCTCCATGTAAAGAGGGGTACAGTTGGTTTGTAAATGATGGATAGATTGTGACTTGCTACTTTGTAATTGATGGATAGATTGTGATTTGTTACTTTGTAATTGATGGATAGGCTGTGACTTGCTACTTTGTTGTGGTGGTGTTGGCGTTTGTATTTGACTCAAAATATTGGGTTCCTGGTTGGCATTTGTCTTGGAATTCCATGTTTGCTCTTGAGACTGAACTAAACGAGATTGCACCTGAGATGCAACAAAGCCGGGTTGGGACTCGGGCAAAATAATTGCAGACGTTTCTCCTCTTTGGCTTTCTTGAGTTGTTGTCCCCTGGGATGAATTCAATTTCAAATTCTCAAACATCTCACTACATTTGACAAACTCAGCGTCATTTTCCAAGCTGATCTGAAACCTGAAAAGAATTTTGCCTAAGGAATCACATTGTTTGACGCCTATACAAGGACTTTTCCTCAAAATAGAAGTAGTTACTTTGGCTGTCAAGAATAGTATGTGTCTATCCAAATTGGTACCTTTCCATTGTATAAGCACTTCAATTTCATCAGTTTTTTGTAGAAAGTTGATGGACAAGTCGGTCCTCTGCGGAAAATGCACCCAAGTATTCTGTCTAAAAGTTGAATATTTGTTGATCTTGAAAAAGTTAATAGACGTGGCCATTATCGTGAGGTTGACTTAACTCTAGCACTATTTTGCAACCGGCTATATTTTTCACCTTTGATGGAGAAAATACATTTTATCAAAAGTTACTATCGAGCGAAACGAGATACACTAGTCAATGTGCTCCACTATCTCGCTTTGCCTTGCAGGTTTAACAAGGAGAGATGGGTAGAGATGGGTAGAGCAATTGTTGCCAAATTGTAAAATAAAAGAGAATGTAAGAGTTGCCAAATTGTAAAATAAAAGAGAATGTAAGAGTTGCCAAATTGTAAAATAAAAGAGAATGTAAGAGTTGCCAAATTGTAAAATAAAAGAGAATGTAAGAGTTGCCAAATTGTAAAATAAAAGAGAATGTAAGAGTTGCCAAATTGTAAAATAAAAGAGAATGTAAGAGTTGCCAGTGGCAGTGTCAGATGCTCTCTTTACTGCCAGTGCAGCAGGCACTGGCAGTAGTGCTTGGATTGTCCTTTATTGTTGATTTTGTTGATGTCATTTGTGTCCAATGCTGTGGCTCCAGACCCTGCGCTGCCAGACCCCGCGCCGCTCGCCAGGACCCTTTTCTGAGATCCTCAACTTGCTCAACATGGTGCTTGATGTAGCGGAGAAAAGAGAAATTTCCCAGCAATAAATTGGAGACAATATCATATCCACTATCGAGCAGAGCGAGATAGTGTTTTCAACTCTCTTCTACTCTATCCACTATCGAGCAAAGCGAGATAGTGTTTTCCACTCCCTCTACTCTTATCTACTCTATCCACTATCGAGCAGAGCGATAGTGTTCTCCGCTCTCTTCTATTCTACTCTTATCTACTCTTCTTTACTCTAAAGATAGTGTTCTCCGCTCTCTTCTATTCTACTCTACTCACATAGTCAATAGGATAGAGCTAGTCTTGGCTCTACTTGCTAGTCGGATCTACAAGTTACTAGCTCCACTTTAAGAAGCTCATTAGACTAGGGAGTACAACAACCACTGTGAGTATAGCGACCACAGAGAGCAGCAAGCACAGAGAGCAACGACTACAGAGAGCACAGCGAGCACAGCGAGCGGGTGGTAGGGAATGGTAGTGGAGTAGCTTTAGCTCAATACTATCATGAAAAGAACGAGAAATGTAAGTATATTTGCAAGTGCTCCACTATCGAGCATAGCGAGATAGTGTCGGTGTAGTAAGTGCTGCTCCACTAACTCGCTTTGCTCGATAGTGTTGGTGTAGTCAGTGCTGCTCCACTAACTCGCTTTGCTCGATAGTGTTGGTGTAGTCAGTGCTACTCCAATATCGCACTATGTTCGATAGTGTCGGTGTAGTCAGTGTCGGGCGAAATTTAATTGCCGAAACGCAAAATTGACAAATAGAATTAGTAAGGGAATTACTAAGAGATTTCAATAAGTTTCTTGAAATTATGAAAAGTGTCGATAGTGTCGGTAACAGTTAGTGCTGCTCCACTATCTCGCTTCGCTCGATAGTGTCGGTCGATAGTGTTGGTATCAAAAAAATCGGAAACAAGGGAATCGGATGCAAGAGAATCGGATGCAAGAGAATCGGATGCAAGAGAAGGCAATCAGGTTCATATTTTCCAATAACATGACTTTATCCAGGTTCAGTTTCCAACTCACTTGAACCCAATTATAGTCAACTGGCCCCCCTCACCCCTCTTCTTTTTTTTTTTTCTGTCCCCCCCCCTTCCCCCCAAGGCTGAGTCGTTAAATTGGCATAAGTAAATAAAGGTAAGCAAAATTTAATATGTTCAATCCCTTATTATTACTTTTTTTTTCTTACTTTTAGTACAAATTTCTTGTCCTTCAAATTGAGTGTTGATTGGTTTACAAACCCTCAAGAAAAGGATGAAGCAAAGTTTTTTGTGTGTATTGGTGGCAATTTGTTTGAAATTGATGGTGGTATCAAGAGGTCAAATGACCCTGTAATGCATCTTTCTCTAAGCCACCCTACTTTAACAAAGTCATTGGCTATCAAGAAAAAACAATCTCAACTAAAGTATTATTTTCTCTAATGAAGAAAGAGTATATAATACAATCCAAGACATCTCTCTTTGCAAAAATGAAACAAGTTTACTTGGATTGATTTGATAAACGTCTTATCGTCAGAGAAAAAAAAGACGAAACATATAATTTTTAACTCGATCTAGTTCGCACTGCCTCGCAGGACCCCCAATTTCTTAGCATTGTTTTCCAACGCGATAAAAAAAAAATCGGTCGATTTCATCGTGCTATTAAAAATAAAGTCCGTCGATTCCATTGTACAATAAAAAAGAGATTGGTACTGTTCTATTGTTTGCTATAATTAAGATTTCTTTATTAGTGGAGCTGGAAAGTTGAAAAAAAAAAAATTAAAATTAAAATTAAAAGAACGAATAATCAAATCTGGGAATTCTAATATCCTTTTACATTTGAACCAGATCTTGTGCTGTTTTTATTGAGACTTATAGTCCAGTTCTAGGCATTGTCTATTTTTACCCTTTATTGTCATCACCGTTAGCCTCACAACTAAGATGAAGTTCACCGTTCAACTTGCATCCTTACTAGCGGCATTATATACCTTGGTGCCGTTGGCCGAGGCAATAACAGCACCACCAGCACCAGCACTAAATGTCAAAAAGAGACATCAAGAAAACTACTACAAAATGGATTTCAATATTCGTAGAGGATCATCGAGAAGCGATTTATCCCCCGTTGAAGATTCTGCGCCAAGGTTGGTGAAAAGAGACGACCCTGATGGTTCATTTGAACTAGTCTTGTCTAATCAGCAAACTTTTTATATGGCCGATTTGTACATTGGCTCAAACCAAGAGCTAAATCAAGTTTTGGTTGATACTGGAAGTTCGGATTTGTGGGTTATGTCTCATGACTTGAGATGTTTGGCTACAAACTACAAAAAGAAGAGAGACGCTAAAAATGTATTTCAGTTTGGTACCGGTGTTCAATTAGTTCCCGACAGCATGATTGACAAAGAGAAGAGAGACGCTAAAAATGTATTTCAGTTTGGTACCGGTGTTCAATTAGTTCCCGACAGCATGATTGACAAAGAGAAGAGAGACGCTAAAAATGTATTTCAGTTTAGTACCGGTGTTCAATTGGTTCCTGACAGCATGATTGACGAAAAGAGGCAGGAGCAAAACAATGAGATTGACAAAAAGAGGCAGGAGCAAAACGATGAGGATCAGGAACCAACAAAGGTAGTTAGAGATGATGCTATTTACACAACTATATATTTAACCGGTGGTTCATTCTTCACTGGTCTCCCAGACTTTTTTTCTTCATTATTACCTGGCGGAAGTGGTGGTAGCAGTGGTAGCAGCAGCAGCAGTAGTAGTGGAAGTACAAGTACAAGCACAAGAACCACAAATTCAGGTGGCACAAACTCTTGTACATCAAACGGATCGTTTAATACTGGAGATTCAGATACGTTTGTAAAAAACAATACAGGCGCATTTTCTATTCAATATGCTGATGGGTCACATGCTATAGGAATATGGGGCTACGATAATATCAGAATGGGCGATGTTACTGTATCAAACGTCTCGTTTGCTGTAGCAAATGAAACTTCTAGTAATATTGGAGTATTGGGAATCGGATTGCCTGGTTTGGAAAGAACTACTGAATACAATTACATGTATGAAAATTTACCCATGAAGTTGAAGTCAGATGGGATAATCAATAGAGTGGCTTACTCTTTATATTTAGCAAAGGCGGATGACAAGAGTGGTAGTATTTTATTTGGGGCAGTTGACCATGCCAAATATGAAGGATCTTTAGTAACTGTTCCAATGTTGAGGACTTATCAAGTAATCAATTACCCAGTTAGATTTGAAGTCGAAGTTTCGAATATTGTATTTAATAATAGTGGAAATACAGAAACAGTATTGAGTGATTCAATTGGTGCTGTTTTAGATTCTGGTTCAACATTATCATATTTGCGTCTGGATCAAATTAAAGCAGTTGCAAGTCAATTAGATGGACAATACGTAACGAGCGCAGGATTTTATTTGGTTGATTGTGATTACTTGAACTCAGATACTACATTAGATATCACTTTTGTCAACAAAACAATTAGAGTTCCTGTATCTGATTTAATATTTAGAGTATCTTCAAGACAATGTGGGTTGGGACTTTGGGAGCAGTCATCTGGCTCACCATACATTTTGTTTGGTGATAATGTCTTGAGAAGCGCATATATTGTTTATGATTTGGAAAACTATGCAATTAGTTTGGCACAAGCTTATTATACAGACGAGGAAGATGTTGAAGTTATTACAGATTCAGTTCCATTACCAGGTGGTCAAAATTCAACCAGTGTTGGTGGTGGAAGCAGTTCATCATCATCTTCTTCTTCTTCATCGGGAAACAGACAAAGTTTAGCTGTAACCTATCAAATCTCCTTTATTTCATTAATATTTGGGTTCATCATCACGATAAGTATTATATTATAGAGTTTCTTATATATATATACACACACATATATATTTGCAAAGAAAAGATGAAAGAGAATTCGTACTAAAAAAAAAAAAACATACTAGTTTCTTTATGGTAAAATGCTAGCAAAGCACAATCCATTTCTTTTCCTACAAACTGCAGAATAATCCCCAACAACGCTAAAAAAAAAAAAACAACAACAAAACAAACCCCAACTCTAATTATCTCAATGTCATCTCTGTAATAATACAAAAGGACACCCGCTAGCGCTGGTAATACCCATTCTATCCCTCTATTTTCTGTACACACCTTCTCCCGCTTATACTCACTTTAAGATGAAAAGAATAATCTAATGATTTCTAGTATAGCACCACCACATACCAAGAACAACAACACAAGCAACCAAGGTTTCGATACTGGCAATTCTACTTTCTCGTCATTACTCTTTGGTTTCCCCCATTGTTTTGTAACTTTTTTCTCAAATTTGGCATTTGCTGCCTTTTGTTTTGGTGTTTGTAAGGCCTTTTTGAATATAGGTTAGTATTGCGAAAAGTGGATCGTAGTAAAAGTTGACATACCATTATTTTAAAAAGCTATGAAATAACTGTAGGAATAACTGTATGGAATAAATGTATAAATAACGTCTACGTGTGTCTACGTGTGTGTCTACGTGTGTGTAGAAGTTATTAAGTAGAAGTTCTTATACAGAGTCTTGAATTTTTCATTTTAAATTTGATTTCGTGTTTTCTTTTCAATCCTCCCCATCGCTTTACGTTTTTCGGCGCTAAATGAAAAGGTTGAGAGAGAGAGAGAGAGAGAGAGCCACGTCATGAGTGAGAAGCGAGAAAAAGAGAAGAAATGGAAACTGCTACCGATTGGGAATCGTATTGTTTGTATAAGTGGGAAAACTTATGACATGGTAGCAATGGTGTATGTGGATGAGGAAAGGGGAATAAGAGCGAGGGACACTATCTTTAGGGGAACCTGAAGATAAAATTGTTCAAGAAGTTATACGTATGGGAAGGGGGTGAGAGCGAGGAAAGGGGGATAAGAGCATGGGAAGGGGGTGAGAGCGAGGGAAGGGTCGATAGTGTCGGTGGCAGCTAGTGTGCTCCACTATCTCGCTCTGCTCGATAGTGTCGATAGTGTCGGTGGCACTTAGTATTGCTCCACTATCTCGCACTGCTCGATAGTGTCGGTCGATAGTGTTGGTCCTTAGTGAAATACACATGGTAGCGATTTATAGATGCTTTTTTTTTTTTTTTTTTTTTCAATTGGGTCTTAGTCCTTTTCACTCATTACAATTTTTCACCTCTACTAAAGGCTGAGGATTAGACCCCCATATTCGTAGATCCTGAGCCCTGGTGGAGGTTAAAAAAAAACCATGTATAGAAAGTTGTTATTTAAAAGGGCTTTATATGCAGCCAACGGGTGCAGAGGATTAGTCTATTGTGCACTGCAAAGGGGTAACATTAGTAAGTCGGTAATACTACTGCCCATCTCATTCTATTCCAACTCTGCTTCAGTGCCATTTACAGCAGACACATATTCATCCAAAGTACAGCGTGACCCTAAATATAAAACTTTAGAACCGTCCGATATTGAGTTTTTCAAAACAATCTTACCTGAAACCAGCTTGGTTACTAATCAAGACGATTTAGATTTTTATAATGAAGATTGGATGAGGAAATATAAAGGTCAATCAAAATTGGTACTTAAACCAAAGACAAGCCAGCAGATCAGCAAGATCTTGAAATACTGCAATGAAAAGAAATTGGCTGTTGTTCCACAGGGCGGTAACACTGGATTAGTTGGCGGATCGACTCCTATATTTGATGAGATAATCATTTCGTTATCCTCGATGAATAACATTAGAGAGTTTGATCCAACTAGTGGGATTTTGAAAGTTGATGCAGGTGTTATATTGGAAACAGCAGATCAATTCTTGGCTGAACAAGGCTATATTTTCCCCTTGGATCTTGGAGCTAAAGGATCTTGTCAGATTGGCGGTAACGTTGCATGTAATGCTGGTGGTTTACGGTTATTGAAGTATGGATCCTTACATGGATCGGTCTTGGGTTTGGAAGCTGTGTTACCCGACGGCACAGTATTTGACTCGATGCATTCTTTGCGTAAGGATAACACGGGGTACGATTTAAAGCAATTATTCATCGGATCAGAAGGAACATTGGGGATCATCACTGGGGTTTCTGTATTATGTCCTTCTAGACCACAAGCTTCAAATGTAGCCTTTTTGGCGGTAAAGGACTATGAGACGGTGATTAAAGTGTTTAACGAATGTAAAAAGGAGTTGAGCGAAATATTATCGGCATTCGAATTTATGGATTTGAAGTCACAGCAATTAACCCAGCAGTATTTGAAAGCTGATCAACAACCAATTCAAAGTGGAGAATATCCATTTTATGTTCTTATTGAAACATCGGGATCGAATAAAGAACACGATGATGAGAAATTGGAGACTTTTTTGGGAAACGCCATGGAGAATGGGTTGGTTGAAGATGGTATTATTGCTCAAGATGAATCGCAAATACAAAGTTTGTGGGCCTGGAGAGAAAGTATACCTGAAGCCAGTACCATGAATGGAGGAGTTTACAAATACGATGTGTCTATCCCATTGAAGGATTTGTACGGTTTAGTAGAGGCGGCTAATGCAAGGTTGGCCGAGGCCAATTTAGTTGATTTTGATAATAAAGATAAGCCAGTTGTTTCGGCTATTGGGTATGGACATATCGGGGATGGTAATTTGCATTTGAATGTATGTGTGCGAGAATATTCAAAGAAAATTGAACAAGTGTTGGAGCCATTTGTTTACCAGTGGATTTCCGATAAAAAAGGGTCAATTTCAGCTGAACATGGTTTAGGATTTCAAAAGAAGAATTATATTGGGTATTCCAAGAATGAGCAGGAGATTAAATTGATTAAGGAGATAAAGAATCATTTTGATCCAAATGGAATAATGAACCCATACAAATATGTATAAAAAAGAAGAAAAAATAAAAAAAAAAAATAAAAACAATATGGTAAACTGCATAGCACACACAGTATGGTAAACTGTATAGCACATTGTTTTTAATTTATATGATACAAAGAAATATTTATGTATTTGTCATCGCCTTATCCTTGCAACTCCTTTTCACCATAGTCTTTTTTTCTTTTCCTTTTTTTGCTTTCTACATAGTAAGGTCCCTCGTTGCCTATTAGACTATTTTCTTTAAAGAGGGTCCAAAGTGCATATACCCCAATATCGACCGTTTTCAGTTTGTTTTTTTTTTTTTTTTTCCTTTTAGTTCTATTTTGTGGTTTCTTTTAATTTGGTGCCTGCTTTCAAGACATTGGTGGTTTTTGTGGGGGAAAAGGGCTTAGAAAAAAAAAGGGGAGGGGGATATAATTAAGAACACGATTCTTGTTTAAAAGGGTATGGGAAATCTACCAGATGCAGGTGGGGGGGGG